GCGTTACCCAACCTAAAACATGTCCCCTTCTTCACGAAATGTCGGGGGTAATGTTTGTGAATTGTGAAATAACGACCTCTCCTCTAAACTGGGTCCGGCCCAATTTACCCGACACTTTATGAAAACCCTACGGCAAATGTACGAAAGGTCGCGTCCTTAACGTCCATCTTCTTCGTTTCACGAAAGACCACCTGAATTTCGAATTATCATATTCATATTCGAATCATTTTCATATTCATATTCAAATCATTTTCATTTTCATATTCAAATTCATTTTCATATTCATATTCGAATCATTTTTATATTCATATTCAAATCATTTTCATTTTCATATTCAAATCATTTTCATATTCATATTCGAATCATTTTCATATTCAAATCATTTTCATATTCATATTCGAATCATTTTCATGTTCAAATCATTTTCATATTCATATTCGAATCATTTTCATATTCAAATCATTTTCATATTCATATTCAAATCATTTTCATTTTCATATTCATATTCAAATCATTTTCATATTCATATTCAAATCATTTTCCGTGCATTTTTCTTGCAAGGTTTTCACTGGTAATGTGCTTGGTGGTGAGATGTCAATCTCGTTTGATGCTGAAGTTGAGGGAGCCTGTTTTAGGATCTACCCTGATGTCGCCTCCACGTGCAGGATTAGATTCTCACTGCTCATAACAAGTCAAGGTAAAAGCAGTCTTTATGTTCTGTAATCTGTATGATGGTGGCGGATCCGATATTTTCAGACTACGAGGGATCTTGACGTTTTTCTATTCTCACGAAGCATAACAAGTATACAGATAAAAAGGGAAATGATGATCTGGCCACAAGGGGAGGGGATAGGGAACTCGCCCCAAAATATGAGACAAGCACACAAAAATAATAAGTTACGCTTTTAAGTGCTTTTTTACTGCACAGTTTTCGGATAACCAAAACAGGAAAGGAAAAAAACCAGAAGGTTGTCACATGTTTTACATGATCATATGATCTTTTACACCATAATGGTCAGATGAACGAAAAGTGGAAAAACATTAAAGCTTTCCAAACGTGAATGATTAATTACTCATTGATTTTAGAGTCAGAGACGAGCCAGACAAGAACCCCATCCATCTCAACTAAAATGTGCGGAGGATCAAGAACTGGACGCAGATTTAGTGGTAAGTAAACAAACTATTGATATACATGTATTTAATTTTCAGATATTTTATAACTTACTGTTTGTTTCAGTTGTTGTTGTTCTTGTCGTTCTTGTCATTGTTTTATTGGGGGGGATTTCAGGGGTGTTTTGAAACAAGAACTGAGGAAAGCTTTTATATAGAGATAATCCTTATTTCATTAGGGTACTTCTCGCATTTGCTTATTATCGGTATTGTTTTTATCGCCATGTATCATGTTCCTAGAAATTAAATGACAAAATTGATACTTGAAAAGAAGTAAAAGAATTACAAATACACCACCTCGCTGCCGAATATGAGGGTGACGGTTGCCCGCCATAATATGCCCCAATATGTTTGCCTACCCCCTCCCCATCTCCAGTTTATGATGCGATTTAAGTGCATAACTACAAAAGTTCTACGGAATTAAGTATGCGAGCTATTGAAATATGTAACAAGATAAGTTAAAGATAAAGTTGAGTTCTGGTCATGCGATTGCATTGTGAAAGAAAACAGGTGTGGAATGGATCAGAAAAAGTTGATCATGTAGCATGTAAGTAGTGGTGTGTACTGTAAGGTTCTGGCCCAGTTGGTTAAGTAACAAGCACTGTACACAGGAAGATGTATATGGGACTACACAAATGGCATCGGGGCTACTAACCTTGATTTCCTTATCTTTCTATGCTCATTACTCAGCCAGTATACATTTTTGTTAATTTTGTTTTTATTTTATTTTATTTTGTTTGAACCTACATGTATAACTGTAACAGTGTTTTTTATTTCATCATTATTTCTTCTTATGCCACTACAGCGAGGCAAGGTAGAAATCGCCAGGCAGGAGGTAAGGTATTCAATGTTGAAATGGGTCGTTTGCATGTTATGTATATATTAAACATGATTGAGTTCATTCTCCCACATTCATGAAATAGCGCATTTGAAGTTTGTTATCAATTAGGGATCACTTTAAGACGGCGATATCTTGCCATGACTATGTGTGTGGTGTATGTGGGTGCGTGAACTTGTGTGGGTGTGTGGATGCATGAACCTGTGTGTGTGTGTGTGGATGCGTGAACTTGTGTGGATGTGTGGATGCGTGAACTTGTGTGGGTGTGTGGATGCGTGAACTTGTGTGGGTGTGTGGATGCATGAACTTGTGTGCGTGTGTGGATGCGTGAACTTGTGTTGGTGTGTGGATGCTTATATTGAATATAAAAATTTACCGGTGCTCCCGGTAAATTTTGATAAATTTCAATTAGCGCCTACTGCCGTACAATGGTATCAAAATGGTATACAAAAATCTGTATGAAAAAAGGTATCAGATGTATAAAATTACTTGATTGATGATAAGGAAAAACTTCTGACTCGTCAGCAAAGTGAACACAAAATCTGATTGAAACTAAATTATTTGTCGTATTATTCTTTAACCCGAGCTGTAAAGTGTCGCTATCGAATGAATATTGAAAAATGTTTTAAAAATGTAGTCGATCCTTTAATGCCGTCACATATCAATATACTAATACATGACATAAAAGGTTGTCAATATATTTACAAAACTTCTCTTGGAAAACAAGTTGTGTACCCTCAATATGTCTGAATTGGGAACGACATTTAGAATATACCCCTGAATGTCAAAGAATGCAGAAATATCATAGGATGATATTTCGTTTTACTCCAGATATCGGTTTGAGATATTTTCAGTATAAGAAAGTAAATAGGATTCTGTATTTGACCAAGCAACTGTATAAGATGAAAATAGTGAGTACCGTAATAATAAATGTTCGTTTCGTAAAAATGAGCTGGAAGATATTGTAAATTTATTTTATAATTGTAAAATCAGTAGATCAATCTGGAATGAAACGGTAAATGGATAAATGAAGGTTCTCCAGGACAAATAGAGTTTAATTTAGAAAATGTAATTTGGGGTTTTGAAGACAAAAGAAACAATGCTTTAAATTGCATGGTGACTTTGATTAAGCATCAACTATTCGTACAAAATCTTAATAACAAAATTCCAAATGCTAGTTCTTTGAAAAAGAAAATTATTCAATATTATAAAGACGAGAGATATATTAATTCTATATCTGGTATGTGCACAAATTTTTTTTACTAAATGGCAGTCACTTCAACATTTGTTTGTATGAACAATAAAGAGAGAAATTTAAGTATTCTGTTTTATTTGAGTTCAAGAAAGAACTCATTTCATTGAATTTTTGTTTGACTCAATAATATAGCATATGGGGGGGGGGCTAAAAAGTTTTTTAAAAAGTATTTACAAGTTATTTTTGTTTAACCCACCGGTATTAGTGAACTTTTTAGTGACCTCGTTTTAATTCTAAGAAATTCATGGAATTTGGTAATGTTTGTCTTTTCATTTATAACCCGCTGCCCATCAAACGTCATTAATGCTCTGAAATCATATAATAATATGAACTGCAAAGTACCAAAATTGCTCACTCAGTAGCAACATTTATTGATAATTGATTATTGATTAGGGCCTCAGAGTGGATTCCACAAACTCACAAACCCTTTTCCTCTCCACTCACAGGCACTAGTTTCTCGAATGTAGACCCTCCCCCGTTCCTTTACCCCCTCTCCCCCAAGACCCCCATCCTCTTCTCCCTACCCACGGCCATGATAAGAAATCAGCCTGATAGCGGATGCCTCTCTGTGCATTTAACAAAATAAGTACCAATTAGAGAGTCTGCCATTTTTAGCTGTTCTATAACGGAGTGTGCAAAACAAGTTTTGGCTGGAAAATGGTTACCGTTTTTAAATAAATTGAAAATGGAAATAAAAAGGTATGAAATGAAATGAATGTGAAAGAATTGAAAACGGAATGAAAAGGAATGAAATGAAATGAAATAAAATGAAAGTAAAAGGAATCAAAATCAAAATTAAAATCAAATGAAGTGGAATGATTTGAAACGAAATTAAATGAAATCAAGATAGGAAGAAAATTCTGAAGGAGATTCATATCACTGAAATATTTGTCGACGCAGGTAACAGGCAGGAGGAGACCAGCAATACCGAGACAGTTGAGCGCCCTTCCCAGCGATCTGGTAGTGGCCGAGGGTCATCAAAGGGGAGGGGTGGCGGCAGGACAAGTGTTGGACAAGGACAACGGAGCAGTGGAGGGAGCAACACTGGCACTGGTAACACCGAGAGGGGAACCGGCCAGCGCGGTTCTTCCCAGCGATCTGGTAGTGGCCGAGGGTCATCGAAGGGGAGGGGTGGCGGCAGGACAAGTGTTGGACAAGGACAACGGAGCAGTGGAGGGAGCAACACTGGCACTGGTAACACCAAGAGGGGAACCGGCCAGCGCGGTTCTTCCCGAGGTAGGCAGACATCTAGTGGGTCAACCCATAGCGGTCGGAGCGGACAAGGTGGGTCCCGTCGGCGTTATTTTTTTATGCGGCACAGATTGGGGCATGGCGCGTGTTAAACCTATGGGAAGTACGTTCTTTCCCTTCTGAATAGTGTCTGCACGTACGTGAGACTAGTCATGTTCGCTAGCGCATTAGCGCTGCAAAGAAGTTTGTATATCCATCGCGAACTATGTGTTTAGATAACATTCCTCTTTGTTTAAGTTAGTTAAGTTTTATTGACTAATTATTGTGATGTTCTCCTTATTGACGTGCTGCCTCCTCTTCAGATTTCCAATTTGATTTTAATTGTTGATGTAATGATTTTCCATGCGGTAGTGGATTACATGTAACACTATTAAAAACAGACCTCTACTACTTATACTGTCTAGTACGCACACGACCAGTATTAGTCTGTAAATCAAGACCCCTTTAAAAAAAAGCCCCAATCTGTGCCGCATAAAAAAATAACGCGTCCCGTCGGCATGGTAAGGGAGAAGCAGCGCCCTCTCCAAGCCATCAAAGTAGAAAGGCTGGACAAAGCGGCAGTACCCGACGTGAGTAGTCTCGTGGTTAATTATAATAACCATGGCGGGGTGGCTCGAGCCAGGAGGAGGGGGCAAACCCAATCTGGAATGCCTTTAATACATACAATGTGCCCCTGACAAGAAAAGGCGCCTCTGAAAATATGATACTTTATTTGTCTTGCTGGAGATTTAGAATGTGTGCCTCCATCAAAAGAATCCTGGATGAGCCACTTTAAGAATTGTGTAAGACGTTGAACTTTTATATCCATGTTCACCTCAGGATATGTGGAGGGGGGAGGGGGGCTTGTAAGATATTTCTGTGCCACTCCCCCCCCCCCCTTCCGCAAAAGAATGGTGGATTCGTCACTTTAACGAGTTGTGTTAAAATGATATTTACGGTTAACAACCAAATTATTCATACCCTCACCAAGTTTTTTGTATTTGTTTAAGTATATGAAAAATTTATTTGTCCCGATTTATGTTTCTTGAGAATGTGACATCTAAAGTTTATTATCTAAAAGTATTCAACAAAGCTCATATTCGACCAGTCCACCTTTCATCCTTGAGTTGTGAAGGAAAAAACATAAACTTTACAAGTGGTTCAAATAATTTAGTTACCTGTATATATTGTTATATAGACTCTCTGTTAGCATCTCAAGATAACTATCAGTTACGGATCCGGAATGTTCTAAACGAGGGGATGGGGGGGGGGTGTCAGAAGTGCCAATTCAGCTCAGGACACATACATGTTTATTTACAACTTTACTCTCCTATGTACTGTTGTATATTTTATACTCCCCTGGATTAGGAGAAATAGAGCTGCGCTTTATAGAATAATTGACCTGATTATTCATAAGTACAACCAATCTAATCTACATTTGGTATCTACATTTGAATATTAATACATTTCAATGCATGCGAGTCTGAAATCAATACTCTTCTTCTTCTATTTTTCTTCGTTTATCCAGATACCAAAGGACGCTATTAAGCCAGAAGTGAAAAGTAACATTTTCAATTTATTCTTCACGTGAGTAGTGCGACGTTGTTTTCTAAACGACGTTTTAATGTCATGCAAAGACAAGCCAAATTACACATCAGCTCACAATCTGGATATTTGGAAAGTTATTCTAAAGTGAAACAGTGCGGTTTATTGGAGATGATATTGGTGGTGGTGGTGTTGTTGTTCTTATTGTTGTTGTTCTTGTTGTTGTTGTTGTTTAAGTTTTGCTTTAACTACGCTTATCATTCATTGTTGAATTATTTTGCACCAGATTTTTTATTCAATATAAATAGTATCTTTATTACTAACGACATCCCAAAATATTTTCGTCGACCATATTCTCTACCAACATACTATTTTCCTGCACTAAAGTTAGCCTATCATGTTCTTCGATTCAATTCTCGTTCATTTCAGATAATGCTGCTAGTATGATCATAAGCCAATCATAAATTGATTTCTGCATCTTGATCAATAATACTTTGTCAGGTTTGAGGTATACGTATTATGATCGTACGTAGTTTTATTGATATAACATTGCATTTATCAATAAAATCACATATTTTTCTTCTTTTCTCCGTTATGCAGATCTCCATTGAATGGGCTTTCTGACTTCTTCGCTCACCCTTAGATGGCATGCAGCTAGTTCTCATCTCAGTGTTATGATTTCAATAAATAGTAAGCAAATAACTACCGTTGGTGAAGGTGATGGGACAAACTATCACTTCCGAGGCGATCTGGATGTAGCTTTCTTTCCGAAGCGAAGCTGAGGAAAGATAGCGTATACATTCTGATCGACGAGGAAGTGATAGTTTGCCATTGCCTGAAACCAAAAGGTGATTATTTGCTTTAAATTCCACATCTAAAACAATTTAACTACAAAGAGAAAAGGACCTGTATGCATCTACATAAAGACACCAGGCCAAAATTCACACCAAAAAAGTTTAACCCAACCCCTTGAGGGTACGGTGCGCGCATGTGTTTGCTTTAATTGCGCTCATTGGTAATGCGCGCTTAATTACGCCTGTTTTAGTGCGCTTTCGGATAATCTTCAGTGAAAGTGCGTTGCACTGTGTAGATAGTAGTACTATCTACACAGTGTAACGAACTTTTTGCTTCTCCCATCAATAATGGGCGAACTATCTTTCATCACGTGATTTACTTTTGACCATTCGTAGAGCAAGATTCTTAGTATGTGGAATATAACATGCATTGACAAACTGTGATAACAAATAGGTTATTTTGGTCATTATTAAATCTCGATATCACTAATAAACACCTCCTTATATAGATCCTTTATAGATTGTAATGCATTTATTGATGGCCATAAATTAAAGTATGGTATAATAACATTATATTAACTTACTAAATAAACTTATGAAATTGTTTTAAAAATGATGATAGAAGGAGTTGTTGTCATTGCAATCATAATGTTTCTTTGCCTTAATACTATACTACTTTTAGTCTACTTTTCATCTTGAATGTTGCGAACGTTTAGTTGAATTTCACAATCAATGGGATGTCATCATTTTCCTGATTTACTTTCTAAATAATGATAGGAATACTAACAACCGGGATTTCTCTTCCAAGGAAATTTGAAATCCCTTGAAATTTAAAAAAAAAAAAAATTCATATGACGATTCGAATCCTCGGTAATTAAGATTTTCGCATGTTTGTTTTGATTTTGATTTGATTTGTTTTATTCTCCAATCTCCACATACTAGATGGATTTTTTGTTTTGTTTACATGGTTACAAGGTATATACATTTTAAAGGCATGAACAAACTTCAAATTACGCATTACTCATTAATCACCGAGTAAGTCATATTAATGATTTAATCTTAATCTTTATAGAATCAACACTAAATTTTAAAACAAATATACATCTTTTCCATGTTAGGCAGTGCGATACCAATGATTCTCTGAGCTATTTTCCGTGGTCTGTCTAGCGCTTTCTTACCGTTACATGTTAGTGTGCCATGAAAACAAATTCAATTTAACAAGAGAATGGACTAGATGATCGACTGATAAAACAACAGAAGAAGAGTATTATCTAAGTGCTTTTTCTTGAGCCGTCTCAAGAAATATAATCTCTGATTAATTTACTTTTGTGTGGCATGTACATTGATTGACCAATCCAGACTGTTTGTTATGGTAGTACCGAAGTATTTATATTCCTTCACTTCTTCTACTACATTATCATGTATGGTGAGAGTTACATAATCATCCGGTACGTTCTTACGGAAGTCTACGATCATTTCCGTAGTTGTTTATATGTTTGATTATTCGTTTCAAATACTATTGCAAAATCTTCCAAAATTGGATCGTAGTCAGATCGAATAGTGTGAGTTTGGCTTTAATACAATGTTTGCCCAAGTCCCTTGCCTGTTTTTATCTACTAAATATTATTTCTTCTTTCTCAACTAAGGTATAACCTTTTACGTTTTAACTTTAATAAATATCCCCACTTCTATTTTGAAGGAAATTAAAAAGAAGAATCTTTATAATAAAAAAATTTTAAAAAATTTGTTATACTTCAGTCATTGCAAATTTGTCATGTCAAAAATCAGTGACATAAAGACGCCATATCGCAAATATGATTATGGCACTGACTGCGTATGCGGGTAAAGTCTTTTCTCCTTTTTTTTTCTTTCGTTCATCAAAAAAGATTTTTAAAAGAAAAGTGTAAACAAATAATGACGTCGTCATTACGATTCTTTATAAATAATCAAAGTCGTAACTCGTAAGTGTATTTTTCTGTTTGTCATGATTTTAGCTTGCATTAAAACTCTCTCCTGTAGTACATAATTGTGTCTAAATTGCGTTTTGTGTTAGAATGTGACGCATAAAATAATTTCTTCATGGTTGTGTGTGTTGGTAAAGTTTTTGATATGTTATTGCTATGCTTTCCATCGTTAAGAATGGGTTCATCCGACTTGTTCTGCATCATTATGTTGGATGCATGTACATTATATTAGTTTCCTTGACGAAGGAAGATGCATCTCTCAGCCTTTCTCTACCTCTCTTTATTTCTCTCTTCTGCTCGCTCTTTCAAATCTCTCTCTCTCTCTCTCTCTCTCTCTCTTTCTCTCTCTCTCTCTCTCTCCCTCTCTCTTCTCGACTTCATCTGTACACGAAATAACCTGATATCACAGTTTGGTTGTCATTTTATTAAAAATACTCTTTGCATACGAGTATTTTATTAATGGAAGCATCAGCATTCATTCTACAGGTACACTTTTCAGACATGCATGCGCATTGCTGTTCACTAGATGCTCTAGAGATGTATGTGATTAATACTTTTAACAATTATAGACATATGGCGATAAAACAAAGCATGGTTAATACATGTATAAATGAAAATCGGTAACGATAAAACAATTCTGTGTCGAAGTTTACATGGCAAACTTAGACAGTATAACCCTGTATTAAATACAATAATCTAACCTTCTTATGTAAGAGGAAAAGAATACAAAATGTAAAAAAATGTCCACGACACATGGTAAGCGCCATGAGCACCGAAAGGTGAACCTGTGCGCTATACAAGTAGCCACTATTATTATTATTATTAAATAACAATAGTCCACGACACATGGTAAATAACAATTTAAAAAATAGTCCTATCGTGTGATGGTAATTTTACACATTTCACATTTTCTGGCCATCATACCAGTGGAGGATTCAGGGGCACAGGGGGAACGTGCCCTCCCCCCCCCCCTTCCCAGCGAAAAAAAGGGGGGAAGGGGGAAGAAAAAGGGAGAAAAAGAGGAAAAGGAGGAGGAAAAGAAAGAAAAGGGAAGAAAGAAAGAAGAAAAGAGGGGGAGAGAAAAGGGGAGAGGAGAGAAATGGCGGAAAAGGAAGAAAGGGAAACGACGGAGGAGAGGAAAAGGGGGAAAAGGAGAATAATGACAAGGGAAAGAAAGAAAGGGGCATGATATGATGAGAAGATGTTTTTTTACCGGGAAAGGGGCGGGGGGGGCACGCAATTTTGCAGTGTGCATAATATGGGTTCCCTCTTGCCAGGCGAGTAGCCCCCCCCCCCCCTTTCCTCCAAAAAAAAAACATCACAAGAAGAACAACAAAAAGAGATGGAAAAAGGGGGAAAAAAGAGATTTTTTTGTGAGTTTAAGGAGAAAGGAAAAAATGAAAGAGAATTAAACAACGATAGAAGAGAGGTGCGAGAGCACGAGGAATTGCACTTTTTTAAAAAAGAATAATGGGATAACAACCAAGGGCGTCGCTAAACTTGGGGGGGGGTGTTTGGGTGCGACTTCCCCCCCCCCCCCCCCCCCATCTGTCAGAATATTGTCGGTAAAATTGCGCTGCTGTCGGGAAAAATGAGAAAATGGAGAGGGGAGAATGAGAGGGAAAGGGAAAGAAAATTAAAAAAGAAAAGGAAAAGAAAGGAAAGAGAAGAAAAGAAAAAGAGAAAGGAGAGGAAAGAAAGAAAAAGAAAGAAAAGAAAGTAAAGAAGAAAAAGGAAAAATAGAAGAGAAAAAGGAATCATAAGAAACGTGAGATGAAAGTGAGGATAGAAAGAGGGGGTAAGAGCCTGAGAGAAAGAGGGGTGGGAGTAAGAGAGAGAGGGGATGTTTGGTGGAGTCAACACGTCAAGGGGGCAAGAAAGATACGCATAGATAATTATGTTGCTGTGTCGGGTTTGCTGTGTCGGTATTCTTGCTCGATCCTCGTGTACTATATCAACGCAGTCGGTGAGATGTACTTATGTCGGTCAGCCGGAAATTTTTTTTCCCCTACGAAGTGTGACTTTTTATCGGACAAAGAAACATTTTTGAAATACCCAGACAATAATAAAGAGTAGATACAACGAATCGTCTTCTTTCTCTAATAATTTAATGAAACGAAATGAATTCAGACAAGGTTTAAGAGTAATAACTCAATGAAACGTCGAAGCTTCCGCGCTTCGCGCGGGAGAAGGAAACTGAATTCAGACAAGGATTAAGAAACGAAAACAGTACAACGAATTGTCTTCTTTTTCTAATAATTGAATGAAATGTCAAAACTTTCGCGCTTTTCGCAAGAGGGGGAAAAGTGAATTCAGACAAGGATTAAGAGTAATAATTTATTGACGAATCATCTTCTTTCTCTAATGATTTAATGAAACGTCAAATGAAACGGGAAGGAGAAAGCAATTTTACGTCATATTACTCCAGGAGGTGCCTGAAAAATGCGCCTAATGTGGTTCTAAAATTGCAAATGCTTCCTACTCTAGGAGGGAGTTCTGACCCCCTCCCAGACCCACCCCCGCCGCTCACGCCTCGCTCTGTCGCTTCGATCCATCGTTTTTCATATTTGTAATCCCATGCGATTTTGCGCTAATTCTCCACAGACAGTGAGATTGATGGAACCCCCCCCCCCCCCCCCGCCCCTGTCCCCATGATTCGTGATGACTATAATGTAAACATTTCACGGGAAATTTTACTTGAATTGGAACCTCTCGTCATTGCCCGTATAGGGATAACTGAACACACTTGTACTACCGGGAGAATGCTTTATGCAGGGATATGAGAGTTTAAAACACCTCCCTGCTTGATGCGATAATTCAGCTTCATCACTTTGATTGATTGATTGATTGATTGATTGATTTTTATTCGACAAGCTTCCAACATACAACAATATACAATAATAACAGATCAAAAATAAGTCAGTTTGAACAGGATAACCCACGAAAGCTCGAGAGCTTATTTCCAGTGGGGTCCCTTACAGACATGTATAAAATTAATCAGTTAAAATAGTAATATTTACAGACAGATAAGAAATTTAAAAGAACTACTTATTAAAGATAATAATAATAATAACAACATTAAACTGATGATAGAAATGATATTAAGTACGAGAAGAAAAAGAAGAAGGAGAAGAAGAAAAAGAGGAGAAGGAAGAAGAGGAAAATAATGATGAATTTGTAGAATTTCTATAACGTACGAAAACATAAGTATATACAACATGAAAAAGCATGAACCGACAAAAGAATAAAAATTTCAATCATATAACATGTCATTCACTTCTCTTCTCTGACTGTCAAGTATTAGGTATTCCTTTAATTTCCTCTTAAAATGATTATAGTTTCCTATTTCTTTTACACCATTGGGAAGGAAATTCCAATGTTTTATGGCATTGTAATAAAACGAATTTCCAATACTATGTACTCTTTCTGGTAAGTTAAAGTTTAATCGTCTATTTCTTGTATTATAATCATGTACGTCAGTAACAAGATCGAAGTTGGATCGAATATAATGATTCGACCTAGTATGATATATTTTATGCACGTGATGCAATACGAGTTGTTTTGATCTTTGGTCGACTTCAAGAAAACCAGCTTTAGAAAGTTCGCTGTAGCCAACATGAGTTCTTGGAGCAGAACAGTTGATAAATCTCACCATTTTGTTCTGTATAATCTTCAACTTCTTTTGATCTGACTTGTTTATGTTACAATACCATGCAGGGTTAGCATAGTCAAATAAACATTGAATAAGAGCAAAACAGAGTGTACGTCTTGCTTTTAAATCCATACAACTTTGATATCTGTACAAAAATTTCAGACGAGAATTTGCTTTTTTTACAACTGATTCTACTAAAGATGAAAATGAAATTGCGCTAGCCAACTCAATGCCTAAATACTTCACAGACTCTTTTCTCTTGATTGCTTGATTATTGTGTGTCACTTTGAATTCAAATGACTTTTTAGAACTACTTTTAGAACAAAATAAAATGCTTTCTGTTTTTCCTAAGTGTAAAGAAAGCTTATTATCAGTCATCCAATCGACACACGTAGACAGCTGTTCACTGAGCTTTACCTCAATATATTTAGGATCAGGATTTGAATAGAGTAGTACGCTGTCATCTGCGTACAATAATAGTTTGAAGTCTTTTATACAAATACACATATCATTTATATAACTTGAAAATAGAATTGGGCCTAAAATGCTTCCCTGAGGAACACCGCATGTTATAGGCATTAGTTTGGAACGAATATCATGAATGGCCACTACTTGGTGCCGATTAGATAAGTAGGATCTAAACCAATCTAAACTTGCCTTATCAAAACCCATTAGTTGTAACTTCTTCAATAAGACGCCATGATTAACTGTATCAAAGGCTTTTTGCAGATCAAGGAGCACCATACCAACAAAGCGCCCTTGAGAAGTTTCTCTCCTCAAATAATCAGTCAAATGAATTAGACATGTTTCAGTCGAATAATCATGTCGAAAACCAGACTGAAATTCATAAATTATATCATTTTCTTTGAAGTATCTTTCAATTTGAACACAGACCGATTTTTCTAGAATCTTTGATGCTACGCTTAAAACACAAATAGGTCTATAGTTGCTAACATCAGTTTTATCTTTCTTTTTATAAAGTGGAGTCACTTTTGCTATTTTCATATCCGCTGGAAAAGTACTCGTCAAGATAGATAGGTTCATTAAGTAACTTAGAGGCTTAAATAAAACCTTCGCACCATCTTTTAGAAATTTAGCTGGAATCAAGTCTAACCAAGTACTTTTTGATACATTCAACTTACGTAACTCTTTGAAAACAAATTGTTCACTGATTGGTAATAACTCGAAGCTGTTTTCACGTACACCTTTTCTTTCGTAAAAGTCACGAATACAATCATTGTCTGCGCTGAAAAAGTCTTTGGAAGGGGGGAGTTTGTCTACTAATTTGGCAGCCACATTTATGAAATGAGAATTGAATTCATCAGCGATGGCTATCTTATCATGACATAATTCCCCATCAATTTTAATGACAGATTCTTGTTCTTTTCGCTTCTTATTTTTCAATCCTAAGCTTTTTAGATTCTGCCAAAGTTTTTTTGAATCTTGTTTATTTTCTTCTATCTTGTTTTGTAAGTAATCGAGTTTAGCCTTTTTCACCTCTCTTTGGACCATATTTCTTAATACTCTGTATCTTTTATAGAGCTTCTCATCTTTTGCTCTTTTCCTCCATTTTTTGTATACTATATTTCTCTCTTGAATTAGGGAAAGAATATCTTTAGTCACCCAAGTTTCTGATCTTTGTTTTATTCTTATCCGTTTCAGTGGCGCTATCATATTCAAATTTGAGATAAAAACATGTCGAAATATTGACCATGCCTCATATCATCATCATTATTACCACCATCACTACCCTTGTCATCACTATCATCGTCATCATCATCACCATCACCTAGTATAATCTCAATCATCATCATTGTCATCATCATCGTCACCATCGTCTCTACTCTTAACCATCATCATTATCATCATTATAACATCATCATCATCATCATCATCATCATCTCTAATCACTGTTATCTTAATTATCATCATCATCATCAAAATCATTATGGTCTCATGGCATTTTATTTTTAGTTGAGATTAGCATTCACTTCAGAATGTTATATAGAGTTGTCAAGCATGAGTTTTAGGGTCGCGACTGTACGGAGTTTCCTCGGCACCTTGTACTGGTTTGCAGAAGTCGTGCTGTTATCAAGGATCAAATCATGCAGACGATCAAATGTGCCGGGTTTCACGATGTGCACAACAGGAGGGGCTATGCTTCCTTTCTCCCGGAACGAGTTGTATGTGAAGGAATGGTGACAAAGTTCTTCGTCAATCTGTCCAAGAACAAATATGGTTGTATAGTTCGTTATAAGCGCATATACGGAAAACTCTGTTAAAATTTAGAACGAAAGCAGATTATTGGTAAAAAGAACTCCTATAATATGTCTCTTAACTCAACAGCGGCCGTAAAACCGACCCTTCGGTAGGAACCCGGGGTGTGGCATGTCGGTTATGCGACCCACCCCAATAAACACATTCCCAGTAGACCGACAGCCCCTAATACAGTCGGCTCAAGAGACCTATACCATGCCGGTCTCATGAATCCTCAAAAATAGTTGTTGGTCCTCGATTCCAAAATGTCGGTCTCGTGGGCTGTCGGTATCCAGACCCCTTCGGCTGTTTTATGGGACGTTTTACTCGGCGAACGGTCTAGTGGAGACAATCCATAATTTAGTGGGTCATGTGGTAATACCAGATACCGATCGCTTACCTCCATTTTTACAATCTGTTGGATTTAATAATTCTTTCAAAAGACTTTACAAGAAACATCTTCTCTCTCTTTATAACGCATAATTTATTTTAAGACCACACCTATATTACTAATACTCCTTTTTACTTTTCCTTTTTATTTTTTTTCTTCTTTTTTTCTTCTTTTTCTTCAAGTATATGTTATTATTACTTCTGCGCCTAGTGCATTCAATTGTCAAGCCTTACTGGCTTTTACGGATGCACCATTTTCCATTTATATTTTGAATGCTGTTATGTGAATTTTATATGTAATTTTGATATTGTTACATGTTATGGAATTCCATATTTTATCTTTGTATATATTGTCATGATGATGGAAATAAATTTCAATTCAATTCAATACTGAGGGTAATATACCATTTGGTAAAGTCCGAATGCCAAACAAAATAGCACAGATATGCTTAACTTATTTCTTAGATTATAGATCACATAACAAAAATGGCATCCAAACACAATATACAGAGGGAATGGAGAGTCTTGTATTGCACTGTTACCTTGTCCAAGGAGATGTTGATTATGGAATCTTTCTCGGGTGGTGGACTCAGCTCCAGAAAGACGACATAGTACGGCCGATGGTCCGCATCGGTCTTCACTGTTCGAATAGCATAATTATTAACAAGGAAAAATGAAATAAGCAGAATATAAAGTGAGGCAATTTCGAGTCAATACTTAAATCAGGTGATATTATGTCGAAAGAGCCGATAGTCACTTCATATTCAAAGGTGCAACGAATGATCGTCTATAATGACCCCCTATGTTGCGTGCTTTCAAGAACACTTTTTCACAAAAGATAACATCAATTTGCGTATAAAAACAGGTGCACAAATATGCTCTAAACGTAAGCCTCTTTAAGCTTTAATACCGACTGCACATTTTCTCAAAAATTATCAAAGTTGCAATCACACGATTGCGAACATTGCGAAAATATGATCCCTTTTTCGCGAAATGTCTTGCTCTTTTAAAAAAACACGCCCCATTCTTCAAACCCCCGAACATTCCCTAAAATGAGCCCTTTTTTTTTTGTTTGACATTTCAAACTATCATGAGTACGTAAACTCAAGAGAGATCAGACATGTGTGCCTCCATCAAGAGATCCCTGGATGAGCCCCGGGATAAGCCACTTTAAGAATTGTGTAAGATGTTGAAATATTATATCAATTTTCACCTCAGGATATGTGGAAGGGGGGGGGGGGCTTGTAAAATATTTCTGTGCAGAGGCGGCCCTCCCGGGGGCAGGGGGGCACGGTGCCCCCACATTTTCAAGCACCCCAAAAGTGCCCCTTTTACATAGGAAAAGTGCCCCTTTAACTCTTTTTTAGAAGTGCCCCTTTTTACATAGAAATAGTGTCCCTTTTACTTTGACAAGTGCCCCTATCAATTTGTAAAAGTGGCCCTTTTATTTGGACACGTGCCCCTTTTTCTTCGAAAAGTTCTCATTTTCCTTTGCAATAAGTGTCCATTTCCATTCTCATGAGTGCCCTTTTTAATTTCTAGTAAGTGACCCTAGTTAGGTACAAGAAGTGCCTTTTTTCACTTTTGATAATTGCCCCCTTTATATCTGATAATTGTCCTTTTTAAATCTGAGAGGTACGTGCCTCTTTTACTTTGACAAATGCCTCTTTTCCCTTGTAAGAAGTGCCCTCTCCCTTTTTAATAACTACCCCTATTTTAAATCGGATAAGCGCACCTTATATTTTCACATGTGCCCTTTTTCCTTTCTAACAAGTGCCCCTTTTCCTAATGATAAGTGCCCCGTTAAAAAAGAACCCTTCTCCTTCTCATGAGTGCCCCTTCTCTGGTAAATGATCCTTTACAGGTACGAGAAGTTACTCCTGTTCACTTAAAATAAGTGCCCCCTTCACCTCCGATAAATGCACCTTTAAAATCTGATCGGTGCTCATTTTCTTTTATCTAATGTACATTTTCCTTTATTACAAGTGCCCCTTTTTCATTCACATAAGTACCTCTTTTCATATCTGGTCATTGCGCCTTTTCAGGTGCGATAAATGCCTCTTTTCACCTATGATAATTTCCATTTTAACAATATATAATAATATCTTATAAATGCCCCTATCAAAATCTGATGGGCCCCTTTTCCGTCGATAAATGCCCATTTCCTATTCTCATGACTGACTTTTTTCATTCCTGGTGATTGCCTCTTTTTGAGGGTGTAAGAAGTGCCCCATTTTCACCTCTGATAATTACTCTTTGTTCTTTGGCACATGCTCTTTTTCTTTCCTGATAAGTGTCTCTTATTCCTCTCATCATTAAACGCGCCCTAGCTAATTTCAGGCGAGTAAGAGCAATTTCCCCCAAAGCTCGCTCGCTACACTCGCACTTATTTGTAGACGATACACTTATGTTACTTATCAAAGGTCTTTTCAGTCTTCCGTTATGAGAATGAGCTTATAACACCATTAGGATTGGGTTTTCCTCTTTATAAGATATAATTTTTCGCACTGCGACCTCACACATCTTAAAAATTTCCTCACTCGCTTCGCTCACTCGCAAACAATTTTTTAGACAATCAAACCCAGCTGCATTGGATGATGCTTAAGCACTATCTTGTATGGTGTATAAAGTGAAACAAATATTGAAATCATCCCTGGTAAAAAAAAAAAATTCTTGGTGCCCCCCCCCCCACTTTGGAAGTCGCTCGGCCGCCCATGTTTCTGTGCCACTCCCCTCGTCCCCCCCCCCCCAGGGCGTTATGGAAAGGGTCTCTATTTAAAAATAAATTTAAGATAAAATTAAAGAAGGAGAACCCAAATTCGTTAATTCAGTCGCACAAGTTTAGTCTCATCTAGGAAAGGCTATTGGGAAATCGCAAATCTGAAGCAGAGCTTCATGACCATCAGCCCCCCCCCCCCCTTCCCCCCAGGCGGATTCAGGATCCCCTGGCAGGGTAAAGCAAAAAGACTTAAAAAGATAATTAGCTCATGATTCTTTTCTTCATCCCATCCTCCCCCATTCGATAGGGGGGCGCAGTGACGTCGTGCCCTCCCCTGGATCCCCCCCCCCACCAGCACCACCACCACGTACCACCCACACCCTACTAGGAAAATAGTCTAGACAAACCATGACCAGAGAAAGTCTTCTTACCGAGTTGATCGAGGAGAGTACTCTCAGCTACAGCATATTCCTCTAGAGACACATGGGGCCAGTGGGTCAGTGCCGCATCCATGGCGTTCTTCACCGTGTGTTGGTCAAGCTTCTCCGCATGTACATTGAGGATTTGACCAGACCTGTGGCATACGATAATATTATTATATTTGAGAGAGGTTTGCGGTAATACCACGTATACTTTCGACAAGATAAGATCTCGACGTTTCGATGGGATGTACCTATCGTCTTCAGGATGAAGGACAGTCAACCTGCTCTTGATTTTTTTTTTTTTAATTAAGTCAGCTTGAACAGGATAACCCACGAAAGCTCGAGCTTTTTTCCAGTGGGGTCCCCGACATGCATACATATACAAAATTAATAAGTTAAAATTATTATTAATATTATTAATAGACAGATAAGACAAAACTTATTAAAGAAAATAATGATGAAAATAATAATAATAACAACATTAAAATAATAATGATAGAAATGATATTAAGTACAAGAAAAATACGAAGATAAAGAAAATAAAGAAGAAGAAGAAGAAAAGGAAGAAGAAGAAAAAGAAAAGAAGAAGGAGAAGAAGGAGAAGAAGAAAAAGAGGAGGAGGAGGAAGAAGAGAGAAACAGTGATAAATATGTTGAATTTCTAAAAACAGACAAAAACATAGCGCTTACAGACTTCGGTGGTAAGCGCTTTATAAGTAACGTTTTTATTATTTATTATTATTATAAGTATATATACAAATTTAAAAAGTATGAACCTAGCAGAGAAAAGAAAAGTGTCCTGTATTCAGGCTATTTCAATAAACATGTCATTCGCTTCTCTCCTCTGACTCTCAAGTGATAGATATTCCTTTAATTTCCTTTTAAAATGACCAAAAGTTTTCTATTTCCTATATCATTAGGAAAGTGAGTGTGTCAGATTGCGATAAGGGAGATGGGGAAGAGAGAGAGAAAAAGAGAGAGAGGGGTAGAGAGAGAATGAGCTAGAGAGAGAGAGAGAGAGAGGAGAGAGAGAGATGCGTGGGGTCCTGTTCCTTCAGTTGGAATTTCATGCGTGTGGACGAATTAAAAGGGTGTTTTTTTTTCTCCAATTTTCTTTTGAAGCAGTTTAGACCGGGAGTAATCATGTCATTGGAGGTGTCGTGGTCGAGTGGATATGCCGTCGAACTATGGATCACAGGGTTCGCGGTTCGAGTCCCGCCGCGACACTGATAAAACATTAATTTACATTTGACACACTCGACCAAGGTAGGGTAAATGGGTACCTAGCAGGAATTAATACCTTGAAATGCTACAGCGCCGTAATGGCAGCCGTGCTAAAGCCAGGGTAATAATCTCCCTCTGTGCCTCAGAATAGTTTAGTAGATTGATGGCGCATAATGAATGCTGTAGTATTAGTTTTATTATTATTATTGGCAGGATTAAATGATGGAATAATGTTTAAATTCAAGCGAGCATGGCCATTGAAAAAGAACATTCAAATAACTGGTCACAAAAGTGACTCGTTTGCCAAGCGCAAAACAAGGGATGGTATATAGAATTCCAACTACAGAGGTAGTTGTACTCATCCAAAATGAAATATTTAAGGCGACAGTATGCAGTACCTGTACATGAATTCCACCACAGGCGTGTTGAAGTGGTACCGCCTGACTCTAATAACGTCACCGTATCTAAATCTATAGAAGCCAAACAACTGAGTGATGACGATCTCGTAGACCCCTCCAACTTGGAGCTCGTCGATGAAGAGTGTCTCCGGTTGATCTTCACTTCTGGAAGAGAATATTGACATAAGAGTGTAAATGAGTTTTCTAAAGATACTTCAGTCACACTGCCAAAACGATTCCAAACCGACCAACTCTTATTCATTCGGGGTAATATAATATTTGTTCGGTGTGTTCTCGTTCTGGTGCACATTTCGTTGGTGGAACTGAAATATCATTTAGAAACGCTAAATTAGGTTTGGCTAAGCATAATTTACTTATCATGAGTCACCATTATTACGTAACATATTTCAAAATCTTTAATGACATATGAATAAAGTGAAAAGAAGCAAAGGTCACATTGCGTTGGTATGTCAGGAGCGGAAAACAATCAACATGTTTTTGATTATGTTATAATCGTTGCTTACGAGACGTCATTTTGATTACGTAATAACCTGCGCTCTTATCAAACCTGTTTTTAGCAATTTCAGCATATACGACAGTGATTTAAAACAAGGCTTGCATACCTTTCATTTCGCATTCACCTTTAGTATGGTACATGGCTAATCAAAGACTACACCAGTCACTTAAGCAGGGCTCCCACTTAGCCGAGTTCGAGCATCGAGTCGTGGCGAGCTGGCGCGATCTTATGGCAAGCAGTTTTATCATTAAAACATGTTTCTTGATATCAATAATTCAATTCTTGATATCACGAAACCGAATTCCTGATATCACGAAATCGAATTCTCGATATCAAGAATTACCATTGCTTTACAACGTAAAATTATTTCTAGATATCAAGAATTGATTTCTTGATATCAATTAATAAGAAAACGGCTTGCCATAAGATCGCGCCAGCTCACCAGAACACGAGGTTCTAACTCGGCTAAGTGGGAGCCCTGCTTAAGACTGTCCTACATCAGGAAAAGAGCCGCCTCATATGCAATGGGCGTTAATGTTTTAGAAAATATGCGGGCAACGTCATTTTACAATAGGTGCTGCACACAACGCGTCATATTTAGTTAGAACTTACATCTTGTCTTCGGGAATAAATTCAAAGGCACATAACCCTGGCATCAGGACGAACTCATCTTTTTCCGGTGACGTGGGCCAGAGATTGATACCAAAGATACCCTCAGATGCACCAAGTACCGCACCAAAAAGTGGCAAACCTGATGAGAAATTGGAAGTTACAGTTTACAGTCAGTGGTATAACTACGAGGGGCGGGTCCCCTAAGTCCCCCCCCCCCCCCCCCCCAGCCACCCTCTATCCAATGACGGGGAAAGGGTGAAAAACTGAGAAAGGATGGGGACGAGAAAAAGAAAAGATGATAGGCATTCCTCTCACCCTCCTTTTATAAGTTCTACGAGAGCAAACTACATTCTTGTCAATAAGGCAAAGGTCTCATTACTTATAATCTTATCCATAAACTCCATATGCATATACTATGTAATGGCCGAAAGAAAGGTCTGACCTCTAAACTGCTAACCCATCGAGGGCAATATGCCTAAACGTTTTCATTTTTTCCTCTAATTTCAACGATTATTGTACAGTAACAAAATCAATTCTTTAACCCTATTTTGATTAATGTAACTAGATTAATCCGGGCCCAACATCATATGTGTACTATATGTGTAGATCCGTGGCTGTTCGTATTATTTACCCCCCCCCCCCCCCCCCCATAAAAAAAATCCGAACCTTTCACATATGATTTCAGTAGGGTATCTTTGAGTCCTAATGAATCCGGAGAGTGAACGTGTGTCATATGTGGCCAGACTCTCTTGATGATGCCTTCGAAACCATTCTCGAATTCTCTCTTCAGCTCTGCCGCTCTCTTTGGATCACCACCACCCATCTCCCTGACGAGGGTTTGATGAACCTCCGGTGGAACATTGGTCGTCGTCACCGTTCCCAACTCGATGTCGCGAACGAAGTCGGGCCAGCGCTGCTCGACCATTCGCATGGCCGACATCAAGTTGGAGGTGAAGCTAGTGTTCACGCACCGAAGGTACGGGTCGCGAAGCCCAAACAGGAGGTGGACGTATACGGAATCGACAGGATCGCTAATGCTGAAACCATCGGCAGGTGTTGCATACATGACTAGAAACTGTCTAAAAGATTTGGTTATTACTGAGGCAGGAGCCATCAGGATACCACCTTCGGAATACCTCAGCTTTGGTGCCGTATACAAGTTAATCTCTCGTTGGAGACGTCCATCTGCACCAAAAGCGTTCACACGTACATCAAAGAATATGCCAAATAGCCACCTGTTAAGATGCTTTTGATAGGCTCCACCGTACGGAATCATCTTGGATTTCCCGGTAGTTCCTGACGTCAGCGCAAATCGCTCAACAGAATCTCCAAGCAAAACACCCTGTTCACATTTCGCCAACCGATCTACATATGGCCTATACCTTTCATAGTCCGTCAATGGGTGCATCTTTTTAAGATCCGACAAAGACGTTACAGAACCAAGTCTAAAATCCTTGATGTATTCGGTTGCAGCATTTGCCTTGAGGATAAGTTTTAGATACTCCTCTTGGAATTTCCTGGGTTTTTTCCAGGATTCTCTGCACTTCCTCACCATCGAATAGCGGGTGTAGAGAACTAGTGAGATGATGATGATGTGGAGATAGGATGAGATGAGTCCGTGCCCGTAGGATATCCGCATGGTAGTCATCCAGAGTGATAGAACGGCCACCGACATGCTCAGTACTCCAAACAAACCTACGAAAGAGGAAAGAAAAGATATTGGATAAATACGATCGCAAAGACTTTCGAAAAACAAACTCTAGCGCAGTGTAGTATTTCCCGTGGCACTCACTTTCGGAGTAAGTATTACGTCCATACAATGTTTGCACATTTAAATTTTGAAGGACAAGGCTTTAGGAATTGTCTTAGGTTAAAGGTATTACAAAGTTTTGGGAAATTTTGAAAATTGGGTGGAGAGTGGTTCTTTACAATCTTGATATATTTGGATGCCCCTGTGCATGTATTATAAGCACTAGAAAATTTAGCCCCTAAAACACTTCTGCTTTCGAGAAAAATTGAATATAAAAATTTACCGGTGCTCCCGGTAAATGTTGATAAATTTCAAATAGCGCTTATGGCCGTACAATGATAGCTGCGACCCTGAAAATCTCAGAATATGTAGTTGTGATATATAATTACCAAACGGGAATAGCTAATCGGTCGATTTTAGTCAAGAAACATTTTTTTTATAGCTTGATTAATATCTTGACCTTGAGAGGGAGCTATACAACTTAAAGAGTTTATTATTTACAATTTCATAACTTTAGAATCGATTTTAACCGCGACAAGTATCACTAAATATTGTAGGATCGCATATGCTTCCAATATGTTCATTTGAACCAAATTCATGACCCCATACCAAAACTTTGTATTACCTTTAATTTTTTTAAAGTCTTTGTGATCGTGTTTATAATCGGAAATAATATCTTTCATTAAAGACACTCCTGACACATTTTCAAATGGGGCTTTTTCTGGTCTTTCGTAGAAACTTATATGTTACGTTTTCAAATCAACAAGCAAGAACGTCAATGTGAAATAATGTTAAGATTAATGTATAGTATGGAGTTTCAACATAAAGCACTTTGAAAGTGGAATATTCTGGATTCAGTAAAGGCTAGAATGACAAGGTTATTATAATCACGCATATTGAAAGTACTGTTGAACTTAATACTGTATGCCAATACGTTTTGTTCAAAAGTGATAGAAGCAAATAAATCGGTCATGACAGTGGTAATTCATCTTAAAATGCTCTTATAGTGAAGTTGAAATTCATAAATAAAGATTATAGAGTAGCGGAATAGAGGTTTCGTGGACGAGTGGATATGTCACTGGACTGTGGATCACAAGGTTCAAGTCCCACCGCGGCCATTTGCCACTCCCCATCCAGGTGTTAAATGGGTACCGGTAGGATGCGAAAGCTAATGTGCTTAGATTAGCAAGTGTGCGCTTGTAAAAATGTGTGCGGGTAAGCCTGAATCCGATGACCGGGGTAATAATATATATATATATATATATATATATATATATATATATATACAGGCGCGTACGCAGGGGGGGGGGGGGGGGGTGTTTTGGGGGGTTAACCCCCCCCCCCCCCCCCTTTGGTATTTTTATGTGTGTAAACCCCCCTAAAAAATCCCTAAACCCCCCCCCCTTTGTTTTTTTGTTTTTTGTTTTTTTTAATTATTAAAAAAAAAAAAAAAATCACCCCCTGACCTAAGAAAGGTGACCTTACCCCGCCCCCCCCCCAACGGAGCAAAATGTCAATTTTTCAAATTTTGAGACAAAAAAAAAAAAAGTGTCCTCTTACCCCCCCCCCCCCCCCCCCCCCCCCCCCCCCCCCCCGCTTATTCAGCGGTCGGTTGAGTCGTTGCGATTTTTTTGAGACCAAAAAAAAAAAAAAGTGTCCGCTTACCGGTTACAGTTTAGGAAGGCTTTTTGAAGTAAAAGGCTTTTCAAGAGCAGTAAAACAAGAATCTCAGTAATCTCTCTCTATTTTTTTTTTTTTTTTTTCCCCATTCAATTATGATGCATTTTCTTTTTTCCTTGACAGTGCTTATTCGTTTTTTGATTTAGTTTTTGTTTTAGGCAAAAAACCATCTCTCACTCTCTCTCTCTCTCTCTCATCACTCTCTCACACTTTCTCTCTCTCTCTCTCTCTCTCTCTCTCATCTCTCTCTCTCTCTCTCTCTCTCTCTTTTATCTCTCTCTCTCTCTCTCTCTTTCCCTCTCTCCTCTAATGGATCCTCTATAGTGAACGATTACTCAATTTCCCAAGGAAACAAGCCTCCGGTGTAATAATTTAAACACTCGGAAACGGGCTTTGTGAAAGTTGCAAGGTGATTATTCTCATTTTCAGGATTTTTAAGAACCCAGTCAATACCGTCAAAGTGGCCTGAATTTAAGAGTGTTTCGCCTAAGATCCTGTACCTCAGTCACACCAACAGATCGACACCCAAACAAAAAATTACAAGGCTTCTAGTATGTCAAATTCAGTCACTTTTGGTGGTGTGAATAAGATTAAGCCCCATCGCCCAATGGGACAACCAAACTGATTCTTGGCTATTCGGTGTAATGAGATATTTTGTTGAGTCTATTGTTGGTCTGATGGCAGTCTCGTTAGTGTGACTGGAGTATTAGTTCGTATGTGACCTTTCTCAGTTCCTTTCCTAAATATTATCGATGCCCTAGCTTTGCAAGTATTGTTGCTCTGTTGACTTTCATCTGGTGTAACGGTCGGTTGTTGGTGGTGTGGAAAAGATTAAGCCACCTCGCCCAACCGGACAACCAAACTGATTCTTGGCCTTTCGGTGTAATGAGATATTTTGTTGAGTATATTGCTGGTCTGATGGCAGCCTCGTTGGTGTGACTGGAGTATCACTGGCGTACTGATGGGGGGGGGGGCTTGGGGGCAGTTGACCACCAAAATAAAATTCAAACATGGTTTATTTCTAATTCGATACCAGTGATTTACAAATGTTGCTGAAATGACATGATTTTCCAGGTTTTTCTCTCATTTTTGCCCATTATGCCAGTGGCGGCACTTCCGGTGGGGGGGGGGGGGCACTGTGCTCCTCATTTTTCAGGTACCCCCCCCCAAAAAGCACATTTTTCCATAGGTAAAAGGCCCCTTTTCTTTTCTAATAACTGTCCTCCTCATCCCTGGTGAGTACGTCTTTTCAGGTGCGGGAAATTTCCCCTTTTCACTTTTGATATTTATGACTTTTCATCCTTTGACTCGTACCCTTTTTCCTTATTAATAAGTGCATTTTTCCTTTTTAATAAGAACCCCTTCACTTTCTCATAAATGCCACTTTTCACCTCTGAAAAGTGCCCCTTTTATTATTAATTAATATTAAGACCGTCACACCCAACTGCAAAGTATGTTGCTTAATTAAGCAGTATCTTGTAACACGTAAAGAAAGAAACAAATATTGATATCATCCCTATAATCATGACGATGTAGAATATATTATACATCGTACCAATGTCTAAAAATGGTGTAGGTTTTGTTGATGTTCCCTTCGTAGGTGCCCCTTTTTCTCCAGAAAGTGCTCTTTTTTGTTGATGCCCCCCATTCCTATTTTGGAAGACGCCCTGCCGCCCCTGCATTATGCTACTTGGTGGTGATAAGGATTTTGTTCTGACCCCCAAACGTTTTTGCTCATTATGCCACTGTGGAGTAGGAGTTCGTATTTGACCTTTCTCATTTCCTTTCCTAAATATTATCGATGCCCTAGCATTGCAAGTATTGTTGTTCTGTTGACTTTAATCTGGTGTGGCGGTCGGTTTTGGTGGTGTGAAAAAGATTAGGCCATCCCGCCCAACCTGATTCTTGGCATTCGGTGTAATGAGATATTTTGTTGAGTCTATTGTCGGTCTGATGGCAGTCTCGTTGGTGCAACTGGAGTATGAGTTCGTATTTGACCTTTCTTAGTTCCCTTTCCTAAATATTATCGATGACCTAGCATTGCAAGTATTGTTGTTCTGATGACTTTCATCTGGTGTGACAACATTCCAGCCTTAGGGACACTTCTTTGTATTAAACGAGCCAATTCCGGCTCTCCTTCAGAGAAGTGGAAATTTAAAGCTATGGCTCTAAGCGGGCCGATGTAAATAAAGGCATGATAGGGGGCGCGCAGGCTGGAATAGTTAGATTTTGTTTTGTATAGCCAACTGAAGGGTATATTTTCCCCTATACTTGTCCCATATTCGTCACACAATATCTACAAACATCTGGAGATTTTAGAGTTGGTTGGTTTTAATCTATCTGCTAAGAAAGCATGCACATGCTTGTAGAAAGCAACCAGGGGACTGACGGCTTTAAGTCCTCTCTGATGGACTACGTATTGAGGGTTCATGCCTTACCAAAAGTATAGCGCATCGACCTATTTTCGAACCCGGGACCTGTCAGTTACGAGACCACCGTTCTCCCATTATAAGCGGCCACCGCGCATCCTGCAATGTTTATGTCCCATACTTTACGTTGCATCAAGTACTTCCTTGCACCTGGCTCCACTTATAATCGTACGACGTTCATCAAAGCCCTTGCTACTGCTTGGATCAGACCGACATCAAAGGAAAATTATACTCTGATTGTTGATCCCAAATCAGTATTCCACGCTACTTGGAAACATAAATACACACTTTGCACTAATTCCTCTGCATTTTTAGTGTAAACAGAGTAATATAATTGGAAAATCCTGATGTTTTTTGTTTTGTTGAGGGGGGGGGGGTAATAAAACAATAATTTCCTGGAAATTCATGGGGAAACACGTTAAAGAAAAAAGAAGAAGAGTTTTGAACAATTTACTAGAGAATGCATGTCTGACAATGTTTTACAATAGGGACTTTTAGATTTGCACGACAAGAACGTGGACTGCTCGTGTGACATCCTTTTTAAGGCAATGTGACGTCACTGCCAGTGCCTTAAATGGACGTCACATTGCCTTAAAAGGATGTCACACGTCGCAGTTCTCGTCGTGCAAATCTAAAAGTCCCTATCGTAAGAATCTGGTACGTCATGGTTGATTTTATAGGTGTACAATGTTCACATCCACCAATAAACATGATACAACTGGAGAGATGTCGTGGTCCAGTGGATACGCCACCGGACTGTGGATAACATAATTGTATTTGTCATATATTATATATTTGAAAGGTGTTGTAACGATTCAAGCCCTATTTGCTTATGTTTCATCACCTTTGTGTGTTCATTCTTCAAACTGTATATTAGTTGCAACTTGTCTTTGATAAAACAATGTTATATTCTTTTTCACGTGAAGTTAAGTCAAATGGATTGTAAAATTGAAAATTGAAAAATTTATTTGTCATATATTATATATTTGAAAGGTGTTGTAACGATTTAAGCTCTATTTGCATGTTTCAAATTGAAAATTGAAAATTTTATTTGTCATATATTATATATTTGAAAGGTGTTCTAACGATTCAAGCTCTATTTGCTTATGTTTCATCACCTTTGTGTGTTCATTCTTCAAACTGTATATTAGTTGCAACTTTTTTTTGATAAAACAATGTTATATTCTTTTTCACGTGAAGTTAAGTCAAATGGATTGTAAAATTGAAAATGATTTGTTATATTATATTAACTTTTCAGGTGATGTTAACTACAATGAATTGTGAAATTGTGAACATGCGTGCATGCATATATAAATAAATAAATAAACACGCTTCGCGGTTCGAGTCCTGCCGTTTGCAAGAAATTAATCTACATTTGCCACTCTCCGCCCAGGTGTTAAATGTGAACCCGGTAGGATTCGAACATTAATGTGATTGGATTTAGTGGCATGCGTGCGCTTGTAAAATGGCGTCTAGCCGGAAGACTCCTCATGGAGCGGAGCGTGTGCACTATCGTGTGTGGTTTAGCAATTGAATCCAATGACCGGGGTATTAATAATTACAATGTAAAGTGCTTCGAATCGTAGTCTAAAACGCTACACAAATGTGACTATCGTTATACAATAAATTGCTTAGGTAATCTTCCAAACTATCTTTCCCCAAACGTTACTGCCCTTTTCAAGAATTTGAGTTTACTTGATGATTGAATTAATTTGATAACTATACTGAACATGACTTAATTGACTTTGATTAGATCAAATGTCAAGTAAAATGATTTACATTTTTAAGACAACCCGAGTTCATAATGCTATGACAATGCTCCGTTTTACTTGACAATGTTTTGCAGCCGAAGGCTAAATTGCGCATCTTCACAACAATATCTCAATATAATTTTACTTCACCATACATTGCATTTTGAAAAGCTAATTTAAAGGAGAAAATACTTTGGAAATGTCCATCAACATCTCTAGTATTGGGTAAGCCCAAGCTATTTCATTCATTAATGTGTCGTCCTTTCAATTCGTTCAATTCAATTCAATAATTGTTTTATTTGACAATGATGTGCAGCTCAAGGCTGAAAGGTGTATATTCACCACAATAGAATATCATTTCACATCACATAATACAATTAAAAAATGCACTTTGGACAGCCAGTGAGAAAATGCCTTGGATTTATAGCCCCCATGCATAACGATTGCTTTTATAAAATGATACCATCCGCCATATAAAAACCTTTCATATGCATCAGTAAACTGGAATTTAGAATATTTCTAGGATTACAAGATACTCATCCAGGCGCGTACGAAGGGGGGGGGGGGGGGGGGGGGGGGTGGGGAGGGGTCGAACACCCCCCCCCCCCTCATCAAACTTTGTTTGTGTGTGTTTTGGAGGGAACCCCCCCCCCCTCAATAATAATAATTTTTTAAAAAATAAAAAATTGTGGTAATGGGTGACCAAAAAAGACGACCTTACCCTCCCCCCCCCCCCCCACCCCCGACGAAACGAAATATCGATCGGCCAAATAAAAAAAAGACCTTTTTCACTCCCCCTGGCTGGCTGAGTCGGCGTGATTTTCACATTTTAACCCCCCCCCCCCCCCCCCCCTTTAGAAAAAAATCCTGCGTACGCGCCTGTACTCATCTTCCCTTTGATAACATTTTGAAAGAAAATCATTGCTACATTTTAATGGATATTAATAGTTTGGTGTGATGCAATGATACATGTACCTAGTTCGTATACTACGGAAGCGAGACCAAAGTACAGTACAACCCTGCAAAATGTATTATAAAAACATCAAAGTGAAATGTCTTGTACAAGGACTTCCTTTATAGTTTCATTTAAGCCCCAGTCCCATATAAAGCAGGACCAGCACGGACGAGCACGGACCACTCCGGACCATCCCGGACCATGGTCTGGGGTGATCCGGGATGGTCCGGGATGTTTTGTTCAAAAAAGTGTGATGCTTTTAAGCTACAGTCCCATATACGTCCCGGACCGTCCCGGACCATCCCGGACCCCATCCGGGGTGATCCGGGATTCGGTCCGTGTTGACACCGTGTTGGCACCGGGGTGGTCCTGGATGGTCCTGGATGGTCCTGGATGGTCCTGGGCGGTCAATAACTCACTCCCGGACTGCCACGGATCAACACGGACCGCCCCGGCGCCACTACGGATGACCCCGGACCCAGCACGGTGGCTACACGGATCACCCCGGATCAAACTATTGTCCCGGACCGTCCCGGACCACCCCGGCAGTTTTTGACCGTCAAAAACATCCGGGGTCGACTCCCGGACCGCCCAGGACCATCCAGGACCATCCAGGACCATCCAGGACCATCCAGGACCACCCCGGTGCCAACACGGTGTCAACACGGACCGAATCCCGGATCACCCCGGATGGGGTCCGGGATGGTCCGGGACAGTGGCGGATCCAGGGGGGGGGCCCGGGGGGCCCGGGCCCCCCCCCCCCCCCTTGAGAAAAAAATCATGTAAAATCACGTGATTTTTACCTTTTTTGGGGGTTGGGCCCCCCCCCCCCTGGCGCTCAAGGGGGGGGGGGTGCAAATTGAAATTTTTTTGAGGATAAAAAAAAAACAAATGTGCTCACTACCCCCCCCCCCCCCCCCCCCACTGAGCGAATTTTTGGCCGGCGCGTTTTTTTAAATTTTCGGGAGCAAAAAAAAAAATTGTGTTCTGTACCCCCCCCCCCCCCCCCCCCCCCCCCACTGAGCGACTTTTCGGCCGGCGCGATTTTCAAATTTTCGGGAGCAAAAAACAAAAAAAGTTGGGCCCCCTCCCCTAAGAAATCCTGGATCCGCGCCTGGTCCGGGACGGTCCGGGACGTATATGGGACTGTAGCTTTAGTATCGTACAAGGCTTGTTAATTTCTTATACAGTAAATCCCGATAAGTAATCGTGTATGTAGGCTTCCCTTGTCAAATCAAAATAGTCTTAAACTAGTCGGGAAATAGTTGGGGAAACAGCACAGAAAATGTGTGTTTGTATAATTTTCATCTCTGAATATATTGTTCATCTATTTATTTTTCAAAATCCTTAGTCTGAAATATTTTTTTTGTCTACTTTCCATTTGTTTCCATTAAAAAATAGAAGTAAAATACTTTACTTTTCTTGGAAATGCCATAAAACTATAGAAGAAAGACAAGATATATATTTGCATTTGCATGTAAAAAATGACCAGGGTTGTTAAATGGAGTAGTCTTCTAAAGAGAAAAGAGTTGGAATTGAAATCTTGTAACTATAATATAAGTCAGTTCACGGAGATGAGATATGTGCACACAAGCAGACAAATAATCATAATGATAATGAATATTTATAATGCGCCATGTCTGTTAGAATTGACACTCCTGGCGCAGCTGTGTGAAAATTGTATAATTATGGACATACGACTATCAAGTAATTCAAGAAAGCGAGAAAAATACACATAAGCTTAAGTTTATCATATCGTAACAAAGATCATTTGTCCCAAATAATGTCATTTTCGTAAGGTAACCAAATTTATTGCATACAATGTTGTTAAAAGCTTAAGTTTATCATATCGTAACAAAGATCATTTGTCCCAAATAATGTCATTTTCGTAAGGTAACCAAATTTATTGCATACAATGTTGTTAAAAGCTTCGTTACGAAATTATTCGCCTGTTACAAATAATGATATTGTATATCAATAGTCAGAATGCGAACTGAATATCCCGTTATATAGTTAGGACAAGCATAATGGCTTGCCCTACCAGATTATGACTATTGGAAATTCCAATTTGGAATACCAAACAAAAATCGCAACAGGTAAATTAAATAATCAATAACGAGACACTTCAAAAAGACGTATGCATTGAATTTTGATCATATTATTAAACATGGCTTTTTATATTCAAATCGATCTTGCAACTACATCAGCCAGTTCGCGGACATGAGCAGACAAAGATTATTTGTGCCAAACGTAAGAAAACTGTAAAACTTTAAAGGTAATAGATAAGGGCTCATGATTGTTATGTAATCATTATTTGTTATACAATAGGTGATGCATCCAATGGTGTCAAGACTGTGGAGGTCTTTTTTACAAAAGGGAGCGGGAAGAGAAATATTTACGAATATAAATAAGTACCTCAATCAATAGACCATGGCGTGATTTTAGTATATTGGATACATCGTGTTGTTAGGTAAGACAAGCCATAATGTTTGTCCTACCTAGCAACAATTAATGTATGCTATTCGCATTCTGAATATTGCATGAAGTATAATTATTCGTAACAGATGAATGTGTGTAACGAGGCACTTAACAAAGATTTGGGCATAAATTTGATTACATTAAGAAAATCTATTTAAATCTATAGAAAGTCTATTTACCCGTCAAAATGCGTTTCCATAGATGTCTCTGATCGTCAGATGCAAACTGCAGTAGGTACCAGCCTACAGATATCGTGATCACTGCCACTGTTAAGAGCTTCAATCTGAGGAAAGAAGTTCCTTTCATGGTAGTTGTGTTGTTGTTGCGATGGTGGTGGTGGTGGTGGTGGTAACACTAGTTGGAATGTCCGACAGGCAACCGGGTCCAACTTATCACAGATTACGAAAACCGCACACGCCGCACCTTATACGATGAGTACTGGGCACGCATGGGGTTCGAACCGGGAGTTCGAACGAGAGAAATAGGCCAAAGTCAAAAACACTGTTCCTTGTATGAGTGAAGACCAAGTACATGTACAATAGCTGGTGTCAGTTTTGTGCACCGTATGAGGGTCAGGGGACCGACGCACTGCTCGCATGTTGCTGCACTCAACCGTGCCCCCGAATCAAGCACAAATCCATGGAATTGCCATTCATAGGAGTTAAACGAATCAATATTTCTTTATGAACACAATTCGAGTGATCCCTGACGTGTTCGCTTGGCATACTAGGGGGATGAAAATAGAGTGAAAAGTCACGAGAGACCTTTTTTTGTGTTAAATGTTTTTATTTTCTTTTGTTACTTCGATTTTCGAAATATAACATTCGCACAATAATCAAAGTATAATCAAAATATGACATTAATACGTTTACCGGTATGTACATAACATTTTACCGGCACAATCATGAACATAGTTTTAACGGAAGTTTTATTCTTTCATTCTTAGAAGTATCATATGGTTTTATAGCACTCTAAAATCCGTTGATATCGAATAATGCATCTATGTTTCTAAAAACCAACTTAAAAATCTGAGATCATCTATATTGTGTCATCTTTGAAACCATCTAAATCTAGTGGTTCCAGGCCCGTACGCAGTGGGGGGGGGGGGTTGGGGTTGAACCCCCCCCCCCCTCAATTTTGTTAATGTGTGTGATTTTTTATGAAACCCCCCCTAAAAAAAAAATAATTAAAAAAAAAAAAAAAAAATTGTGCAAAAGGGTGACCCCAAAAAAGTGACCTTACCCCCCCCCCCCCCGTTTATTCAGCGACCGGCTGAGTCGTTGCGAAATTTTTGGGACCCCAAACCTCCCCCCCCCCCCCCCCACAATAAAAAAACAACCCCAAAATGTTTTGCTTTTTTTGTTGTTGTTGTTGTTGGCATTTTCGTGTTGGTTATAATTATTACGCACAACCAGCCAGCCCATGTATTCTTATTTTTAATTCAATAATTGATTAACGGTCACCGTATTTTTTTGAAAGTAGAGCTGAATTGGTATGATCGGATTGGCTAAATTTCACACATTTTGGGGTCTAAAAATAGCCTTCATAGCAATTTTAGGTTCTAAAAGGGCACTAGAAATGTCTTACATAAGAATAAGACCAATAACCATGCACTTTGAAGGCATTTGCGGTCTGAAAACAGAACTCACCTATCCATTTAAATGAGTTTCTATCTTAAAAGAAAATCTTGATTCCTCAGCAGTGTGGTTTTCGTTAGCACTTCTCCACAAAATGGGTGGATTTAATTCATTAAGTAATATCATAAAAGCTATCGATGGGGATAAGTATGGTCTGGGGATATTCTCAGATCTATCTAAGGCGTTTGATACCATTGACCATGGTATCTTCCTCAGAAAAACTTGAGCATTATGGAATACGTAGTGTAGCACTGTCTTGGTTCCAAAGTTATTTGTTTGGCAGGACTCAATTTGTTGTGGTGGATGGTACTAGTTCCCAACTTGCTTCACTTAAATATGGTGTACCTCAGGGTTCAGTTCTTAGTCCCCTGTTGTTTTCAATCTACATAAATGATATGATACACTCATCAACATTATCTCACTTTTTGCTGCTGGTCGATAAGAAGGCTGAAGATTTATAACTAATTGCAAATCAAGAGATTCAGAAACTGTATGCATGGTATTGCTGTAATAATTTTATATTGTAAAAAAAATAATTTTCAAAAGACCAAATGTGTTATTTTCCGCTCAAAGGGTAAAAAGCTTCCAGATGTTATTACTTGTCTTAATGTTGGAGGCCATGATGTTGCGCTCAGTGAAAATGTTCAGTTCTTAGGGTTAACTATGAATGAGCATTTATCTTGGAAGAATCATTTAGATGCTGTATGCACTAAGTTGTCTCGAAGTGTAGGTGTCATTTTAGATTAAAATTTATTTTACCTGAAAGAGTGCTGATAACATTATATAACAGTATTGTTCTTCCTTATTTGGCACATTCTAATGTTGCTTGGGGAAACACTGTTAAGTCATATCTTGATAAGTTGAGAGTATTGCAGAAGAAGGCAACAAAGCTTATTACTAATTCTAATTATAGACATCCAAATTCTCTATTGTCCCTTCGACTAAGAATGTCTATACCTCATGAATGTACGTTTATATTCCGTAAAAACTCACAAATTCATGATTATAATACACGTCAAAAGGGTTTTGCAAGAACAAATACCACTCTGACCTCTTTCCATATCTCTTGCATCAAAGAATGGAACAGTTTGCCTGATGATATAAAAAATAGTTCAACTCTTTATAGGTTTAGAAGGTTATCTAAAACGTACCTACTTGGAAGACTGACATAATTCTACGTTGTATCTTACTATGCACAAGCATGTGCATGTCTACGTAATGATCGTGTCGTGTGTAATTCTAATGTATTCATGTCGTGTGTACATTGACTGTATATTCAACAATGATGTGTAATCGCCCATGACCTAGCATCGTTTATCCATTCATGAATGAACCTGCGTTCAATCAGCAGACGTATGAGATTCATTGTATTATTACCAACGCTCCTTCGCTCCCCTTTCCTTTTCTTCTCTGCAAGTCACTCTTTTTTTTTAATTTTTTTTTTTAAATTGTTATATCTAAGTTGAGGGCTGCGGGCACGTCAAGCTACTTTGCTTATTTCTGTAGCCCTCCTGCATCTATTGTATGTTAATTATGCATTCAAAATATTTGTTTAATTTCGTTTATTATCTGTATAAAATTATATACACTTAAAATATTGTATCAAACCATATTCCGTTCGTGAAAATGTATGATGAAAAAAAGAAAAAAGATGCAGAAACCAATAAATGAAATCAAATCAAATCAAAATACACGGGTGGCACCAAGTCCATCGCTGCAGGAGTGATTATTTCAAAATGTACAAAGTGGGACCTCTTCATGTTGTGAAGATCTGTGGATATTCGGGGTCATTTGGGACATGTGCTAACCGTGAACTGGTCTATTAACCTTGCAATGGGCATGCTGACTACTGAAAAGCAAATTTCCGTAACAGGTGAATTAAATATTTTGTAACATAGCACTTAATTTTGTGCATTGAATTTGATTACATTACGAAAAGGGTATATTGATAAAAACGTTATTCCGCCAAACATGATATAGCTTAATGGGAAATCTAAATAATTGCCTTTTTCCCCTCCACCCCACCCCAACAATTTTGAAATCCCGGCTCCTCCACAATGAAACCCGCAGTATGTGCTGTAATATTTTATTTTATTTACGCTTAATGTGTTGTTTGCAAGCTTGTATAATTATTGTGTCTTGTGAAACACAAAAGAAAAAAAACGTGCCTTTTGCTGCAGTTCCTATTGGCTGTATATAGGCCTATTATGTAAGTGGTTATATTTAGGCTTAAAGCCCCACTGCACTACTTATAGCTACTTGCGCCCTCTAGCAAACGATGCCTTAGCGGTGACCTTCGGTCCCCCATGATCCTCTTTTTCTAATATGTTAATTGAGAGCTGACTTGATGAGATAACCAACTGTCAGTGACTTTGCAGGGAGGTCTAATCCCTCCTGGCCAAACTAGTGCAGATAGGATTTAAACGCATTGAACACGTTGAATGAGATTTCGTCGAATTGCAACGTTTACAAAAGGAGTCTGTTTGTTGGAGAGCAGTCTGAGCAAACTCTTGGATTTGATGTTGAAATACATTATGGGTTTGGTCCCGCGATAATCATTACTACAGCGGTTGTATTACCTCACATTGAATTTGTATACTGTTTCCCATAAAGTTATAATAAATTTTCTTTACATCTTTTCATGAAATGGTTGTGACAATATGGTTTAGTCTTAATAGAAAAAGTTTATATCTTCTCAGAACTGTATTGATCGAGATAGATCAATACATTTCTAAGAAGATGTAAACTTTGTCTATAAACAAATATATTATTTTGTCACAACCATTTCATGAAAAAGGGAAAATGACAATATAATTCCAACATCATGGGCATCAGTGTTGTTGCAAGATTCGCTTAAACATGAATGTGTAATTTGGGGGGATGTTCGCGATCATCAAAGTCCGCGGATTTGGAAATAAAAGGTGTAGATCTATGCATGTTTTTTGGTTTTGAATTTGAAAAAAATGATTAATATGTTGTTTGAAAGAGCAAGACATTTTCCAAAAGGTGTCTTCTTTTCCTGATGGTACAAACATGTCAATGCGTACAAAGTTTACGAAAGGGGAAGTTTTTTTCGGTAAACCAAAAAGGGGGTCATATTGGGTGAAAATGTATCCTCTATTTATGGTAAATAGGGGGTGATTTTCGACTCCACTGAGAATAATGTGCTTTGTACACATCCTTCAATAAGGAGTTCCATCTCCCTTGGGTCACTACTGAAAATGTATAATGGTAGCCTATTATTATATGTCTAAAGATCTCTAAAGATAATCGACCCTCCTGACTCAGACACTATTGACAAATTGGAATTCGTTTTATATTGTGCGTTAGAACAAATGGGAACATTGTTCGCCACTACATCACAGAGACATTTTTTACCGATTTAGCCAATTCGAATAGCCCATACCTACAGTGATTACAAATTTAAAAATTCATAACCTTTTCATTTATGTTCGATTTCATTCCAACTTTCACCAGTCTACTTCTCTGAAATTGTTCTGCTTTCCTCTATATAACGGAGCTTGCTTTCTAAGTTGGATTTCCTTTTAACCTGCACCAATTGCATTACCCGGTTGCATTGTCAATTTCACTTTGATTTTCAGTCCGTTTTCTCCTCTGTTTATCATAATTATAGACTAGACTATAATAAAGAATCCGTGTCTCACTCTTTATCAACCACTTTTCGAGATACTCGTTGATATTTTTTTCCTTCTGAATTCGAAGATTTAGTAGTGTTTAGCATGGTTTGGAACTTTAGATCATCATTATTCTGTAACTAAACGAGCCAGAAATCAAGTCATCAAGAAAAGGATTCCTCATTTTCATTTCATGATGTAAAGCATATCATCTCTCTAATACATGTATTACAACATGTAACATAATTATCACCTGGTTTTTGCATATTTTTCACAAAATTTCAAAAATTACGCAGTTACACTCACTGACAAAAAATAACGCAATTATTTTTATTACCTCGGTTTTATTCTAGGTTCCAAATTTACAATTTACAGGTTACAATTACATATTTAGTGTCCATCTTGTCCATAGAGACTCTCAAAAGTTGTGGGTTCGAGCCCATGCACGCACTACAACAATGTTCTTCGACAAGACACATATCTACAGTTTCCACTCTTGATCCAGGTGAAGTAAGTGATCACCTGGTAGGATTCATTCGCCGAAAAGCACTGTCCGCTGGTATAGCGGTTACCGGAATCGTTATACTTTCCAAAGCGCTTTCAAAATTAAGATCAAACTCGAAGTACAGTTTATTTTCATCCATATTTTCATTTTAGTAAAATTATATAATGTAATATATATATAACCATGCACATAAACAATTTTGAAGAGCATGGTAATACAAAGATTATTTGATGGAAGCACATTTTGGGAGCAAGATTTGACCGTTTTTATTATGTGACATGAGTAGGCCTTTTATCAAAAATTATTTCATAATCATTAGAAAGAACAATCTAAATTTCCATCGTTCCGAGATTGACTTATGGAGTTATCCAGCATCAGTTTTAGAGTGGCTGCTGTACGGAGTTTCCTCGGAACCTTGTACTGGTTTGCAGAAGTTGCGCTGTTATCCAGGATGAAATCATGCAGACGATCAAATGTGCCGGGTTTCACGATGTGCACAACAGGAGGGGCTATGCATCCCTTCTCACGGAACGAGTTGTATGTGAAGGAATGATGACAGAGTTCCTCGTCAACCTGTCGATAAAAATGGCTCAGTCAATAAAACTTGAAATCCATTCTAGATTATGATGGCATCCTGTTCCTGAACAAACCTTGCAGACATTTTCCCACCATGGGCAGGATATGACTGTCTGTTTATTGAATGGACCAACAAACACATTTTGGGCGTCTAAATGGTAGATGTGACTACAAAATCGAAAATCCCATTTTTGTTCCCAGCTACTGAGGTTTGGATACTGAGAGGCCTCCAATACCCCAGTCTCACCGACGAGACCAACATCAGACAACACCCACGACGGACCGAACTAAAGAGAATTACATTACCCCGCTTGGCAGAGAAGACGGTTTAAAATCGATTCGATCGGTTGTAAGACTGAAGTGCCACATTTGTACCTTTCCCTTTGAAAACGATAGTTCTTTGTTATTTATTTACCGGAATCGAGATTTGACAATACTTTTACTTTCATTGGTATCCGAAAGTAGGCGCTAAAAGGCTGGAAGGCCTACCCATTAAAATAATTCTTGTTGATTTAATTTTTTATTATATTGGACGTCTTCATGAAATAAAGTACTTGATAATTGTAAACTAAGTTGCCTTGAGCTTAAATTCTTTCTCTAACCTGGTTTTCAATGAATTTACGATTCTCTATTAATAGTTTTGCTCATGATATTTTTTCTTTTATTTGAATGAAGAATTGGGGATAAGAACAATTTTGCTTACTTTATTGAGAGGGATATCAACCAAAGAATCTTCATCTGGTGTTGGATCTAACTCCAGGAAGACGATGTAATATGGGCGAAGGTCCTGGCTAGGTTTCACTGTACAAGAGCCAAAGGGAAAAATAGGTTTGAAAAACGATTCAACAATCTTACATTTCATTGAAAGTCATTCAATTGTGTATAATTTTGGCTCAAAAAACAAGAAAAATATCACAGAAAATTTAAAGAAACTTGATCAACGCCTAGCGAAGGATCAATGTTTGAATTTTCAATAACAATGAAAAGAATTTTACTCGTAACGCAGTATAAATAAATTGGGAATCACAAATAGAGGAAGTGTTTTTAATAAAGGAATTCCGTTTAATAACATTGTTAAAAATAAACTCCAGTTCTGGTAAAAAAAAATAATAATAATAATAATTCTCACAGAATCAAATGAAACTTAACTGAACGTTCAATATTACAGATAAATGACATGTGCCAAACAATTTTGGAAGAAAATACTTGCTGAGTAATGAGCATAGAATGACAAGGAAATCAAGGTATTACTAGCCCCGACACCATGAGAGTTGTCCCATATATAGCTTTCTGTGTACAGTGCTTGTTACTTTACCAAGACTCGGCCAAATTTATTATGATTTTGATGACTCCAGAACCTTGCAGTGCACACCAATACTTACATGCTACATGATCAACTGTTTCTGATCCATTCCGCATCTTTTCTTTCACAATGCAATCGCATTACCAGAACTCACCTTTATCTATAACATTTTTTTTCTTTTTTTTTTTAATTTTTTTTTTTAGTTGATTTGTTTTGGGTTTCATACTTTCGCCGTAATTCAGCGCAATTTCACATGTATTTTACAACATTCTCATTCATAAGCTTTAGTTCTTAGCTATACTGGAGTTGAATTTCTTACCAAGTTGTTCGAGTAGTGTACTCTCTGCCACAGCGTAAGATATTAGCGTCACATTGGGATAGTGACCCACTGCAGCTCCTATGGCGTCTTGTACTGTACTTTGGTCAACCTTCTCGTTACGGACATTCAGGATTTGACCAGATCTGAAATGCAATTTCAATATTCGAAACATATTTATTTCCTTCTTATACATGTATCAAATAAATAGAAATACAACGTTACATTAACAGTAACTTATTGCGCGTGAATATCAAGGGTATTCTAAATTTGATATACCAGGGGCGAAGAAGGAAGCAATCATTTCCTAAAAATTCGTTGGACGAGGCTTGTAACGGGGTCGCAAGACAATAACGACATAATTACATAATAATATAATCACAAATGACTTTTTAATTACCTGTACATGAATTCCACCACAGGGGTAGTGTTATGGTATCGTCTGACCCTGATGACGTCACCATATCGAAATCTATAGAAACCATACATCTGGGTGACGACGATCTCGTAGACGCCTCCGACTTGGAGCTCGTCGATGAAGAGCGTCTCCGGCTGATCTTCGTTTCTACGAAGAAGAAAAAAGGGATCTGTTGGGCCAGTTGTTGGATCACATACAAATTGTAAGAGCATTCCAACTTTACTGAATCTATTAAGCAAAGATTCTAATCAGCTTCTGTTCAACTAAAATGATCCAAGAATTTGATAATTTTATTTCAAACAGATGCCTGTATTTGTACCGAACGCATATTACTCAAAAGTTGTTGGTGTAAGTTTTCTGGAACCTATATTTGATTTTTTTTTGTATTGGTTCGTTACTCAGAAGCTTTACTCAAGAGCTTTGTCACAGATGATTAAGTTGAATAAACTACTGTATAAACCAAATGGTGAGTCTATATTATAACTTTCGGAGTGACGAATCTTCGTTCATGTTTTTAAATATCCCCGCAGTTATTCTGTTTTCGATCAAACTTTGTGCATACGAAGAAGAAAAAAACATTCTCATAGGTCATCGAACATGTTGAAGATTATTATGTTATACCTCAGTCATCCCGCAAAAGATACTCAAAACCAATCCATAACTTGGCCATTCGAGATTAATGTAATTTTCTGATCGGGGATTTTCGGTCTGCTGTCGCTTAATTATGTCAATGTGTGACTTGGGTATAACTACTATAAGCGTTTCATCATTACTAACATGTGAGCTTCTGGAATGAACTCCATGACAGAGAGAGATGGCAAGAGAACGTATTCATCCTTCCCATGATGCCTTGGCCAGATGTCAACACCGATCACCCCCTCAGTCGCAGCAAATAGAAAACCAAAGAGTGGTAAACCTGATAGCAAAGAACAGAAAAGAACGAAAAATAAGCCAGTTTGTAGATAAAGGTAATTATTTTTGTACAAAATTATAAAACCAACCGAGACGAATACTGGAAACATGCTCATGAAAGTTATGAAATCATTATTCATTTAGTACCGACGGTACATTGATACACAGGTGGAAGTATTCTTCTCAAGCCGATTAACAAAAGGTATTCATGAAGCCCCCCCCCCCCCCCACCCGTCACTTTGGCAGTGTTTACTCTAAAATTCTCAAAGTGGATATTCTCAAATATTAAAAGACCTGTGGATATTTTACGTCATTTGAACATTGTGCTAACTATGAACTGTTCTTTTAGCGGAGGTGTCGTCATATTATATTGATTCATTCACTTGTCTCTCAATTCAAGGGTTGAGGATTCTAATTCCAGTCCGGTACTAAATAAACGATCTTTGGCAAGGTATTAACAAATGTCAAGTCGGTCCCACGGCCCTCAGTCTCGTTGGCCTTCTGATAAATTTTCTGAAGGTCCACTAAACCGCAACATAAGGTACTTTTCGATTTGCACGTCGACATACTAGTGGACTGCTACGTGCAAATCGAAAAGTCCCTTTGGTCGATGTCGCGGGTTGTCAGTCTGATGAGCTGTCGGTCTCGTGAACCGTCGACATGGTAGGGTGTAGCCTATGACACCTTTCGATTACTGATTACACATTTGCACCTTTAACATATGAATTCAGCAGCTCATCTTTAAGGCCGGTGGAATCTATCGCTTGTACATGTTTCATGTAAGGCCAAACTCTTTTCATGATGCCTTCGAAACCCTTCTCGAACTCTCTATTCAGCTCTGCCGCTCTCTCCGGATCGCCACCACCCATCTCCCTGACGAGGACTTGATGAATCTCTGGAGGAACATTCGTAGTCGTCACCGTCCCGAGCTCGATGTCACGGATAATGTCGGGGTAGCGTTGCTCGACCATCCGCATAGCCAACATCAGGTTTGAGGTAAAGTTACAGGACATGTTGCGGAGATTCCGATCCCGAAACCCGAAGAGAAGATGTACATATACAGAGTCCTGAGGATCCTTGATTCGGAAACCCTCTGCTGGGGTAGAGTACATGACTAAAAGACGTCTATTCGATGAGTTTTTCATGGATGCAGGACCCATAAGAATACCCGCCTCCGTATACCTGATTTTCGGCGCCGTATAGATTGTCATTTCTCGCTGGAGGAAGCCTACACCGAACTCCTTTAGACGAAGATCTATGGCTAGACCCACAATTTCGTGATACATTTTTCTGAAGGATTTACCGAAAGGCATCATCTTGGACTTCCCAGTGGTGCCTGAAGTAAGAGCAAACCTCTCAACGTGTTCAGCCGTTAGAACACCCTCCTCACCTTTCGCCATACGATCTACGTATGGCCTGTAACGTTCGTAAGTCGTCAAAGGATGCTTCTTCCTAAGGTCCGCCATTGATGTAACAGAACTCAGTCCAAAATCTTGTGCGTAGTCTGTTTGGCCGTTGGCCTTGAGGATAGCCTTCAAGTAGTCTTCTTGAGATTTTCGAGCATTCTTCCACGATTCTGTGAACCTCCTGACCTTTCCATGGCGAGTGTAGACCAACAGTAACATGAGGATGACCTGTGTGTAGGCTGAGGGGAGACAATGGCCGTAGGAAATCGGTAGGGTAGTCATCCATGACGTCAGAATAGCCACAAAGACACATGCGACTCCGAGGATTCCTACAAAGAGGAAAACAAAGAGGAATAATATGAAAAATATAAAATTCTTTCATTCTGTAAAGGATTAAAATAGGATCTTCAGCCTGTAACATGCCACTAATCTTACTAATGTCGTGAATTTTGGGGTGCTTTCTTTTCAATTGATAATTAGATTTCAGATTCTTAAGTATAATTCATTTAGGTCTATCCTTCCCTTAAATAAATCTCAATTAATTCTTTTTACATTTGTCGACTGTAGCCTCAAACAACAGAAGATGCGACAATCACAAATCTGGAGCAAGCTCCTGTATTGACTATAGGCTAGAAGAGGAAAAAATTGGAAAAACACACGCAGGCCTAATAAAATGCTTACAAAAGACTTGTAAATGGTTCACAAGACCAAATATCGGAATTAAAAGGTCTTGGTCTCCTATAAGTATAGTGTGAATTGACCAAACTACGTTTTCATCATGACACGATTTCATTCACGGCCTATACCCATTGTACACAGTGCGTCATGTCGCAGTCTTCGACGGGCCACAATAGTCATGAGAGTGACATCGAGAGAAAAAAAAATGTCTTCAAAATTAACATTGCAAACATTATTTTGAATTACTGGTAAATGAGCTCATTGCCTTCATAGGTCTGTGTATCGTATAAATATATTAATGGAGATAGGCGTACGGAAAACTTTTCCAAGGGTATGTTGATTCTTCCTGCTTAAATGTCAAATGTATAGGTTTACACAGTCAAGTCAGTTTTATTCAATTGTGTTTCTCAGGGCTGGTTACGTAATAATTCTCCTTCATGACGTAGATCCATTTCATGCATTGCACTGCTACTTTCAGCATTGTAGTCTGAATCCTTGATTGTACCTGTGTCAGTGAAGCAGTCAATAAATGGGAAAGTTTTCTTATGAATGTTGTTAATCGCCATATGCCTATCAGAAGCAAGAAAATGAAGGATTAGAAGTCCCCATGGATGAATTCAGATATTTTTAAATTGATCAGAGAAAGGGATAAATTAAAACCAAAAGCTTGGAAAAATAAAGATGAGAAAAAGATGATAGAAATACAGAAAAATTAAGAAACAGAGTTACTTATGAAATTAAGAAAAGAAAGAAGAAATATTACTCTGAACAATTATTAAAATTTAAAGTAAATGCTTGTAGCACCTGAAAGGTGTTAAAATCATTATAACCTTGTAATAATAGTAACAAAAATATAATTCAAACCGATAAAAAAAGAATTGTTTGAACAAATTGAAAATTGTAATGAGTACTTTGCGAACGTTGGAAAACTTTAAGCATCTACAATTCCAATCACACATAGATCTGTTTTTATCGAGAGTGTCATAGTGTATTTGCATTTAATTTTGGAGTAATATCAGAAGAAAATGTTTTGAAAGAAGTTAAACTATTGAAAAATAAATGTTCATGAGGAATCTCTGCATTGCTATTGAAGTTGTCGGCTCCTGTTATAATTCCATCTTTAACATATTTGTTTAATAAATCATTGCTATATTGTGTTTATCCTAAACAATTTAAAACTGCTAAAGTGATACCATTGTTTAAATCAGGAAACAAAGATGATCCTTCTAATTTAAGACCCATATCCATTTTACCATCCGTCTCAAAAATTATTGAAAGACTAGTATGCAATCAACTGAAATCGTATATGAAAGAAAACAATATACTTTGCGCCGAGCAATCATGTTTCAAGCAAAAGCATTCGACTTAAACATCATTATTGAAAGTCACCGATGATTGGTTGGAAGCATTGGATGGAGGCCTTTATACTGGTGCTATGTTTTTCGATCTGAAAAAGGCGTTTGATACTGTTGACGTTCAAATACTTGTAAAACAAAGACTTTCCAGCATTGGTCTGTCGAGGGACACATTACCTTGGTTCGAAAGTTACCTGTATAACTGTAAGATGTATACCTGTATTGATTCTGCTACATCAAACATATTTTAGATATAGATTATGGAATTTCTCAAGGGTCCATACTTGACCCTATTTTATTTACTATTTATATAAATGATCTGGTGAAACAAGTAAACAAAATTGTAAATTGCATCTATATGCAGATGATACTGTGCCATATTTTTCTCATAAAAGTTTTGATAGTGTTGAAAAAAATCTCAATTTCGATCTACGTAAAAATACATAGCTGGCTATGCTGTAATAAACTCATTCTTAACGTTGACAAAACCATTTGTATGATATTTGGAACTGGGGCAATGTTATCGAAATGTAATATCTTAAATGTAAGTATATGTGGTAAAAGTATTGTCCAAAGGAATGATGCGAAATATCTTGGAATGCATCATCTTGATACCAAGTTAAAATGGGATATTAATATTGACGAAATGTGTAGAAAAATAAGTAAAGTTGTAAATTTTTTAGTTTTAGCTCGTCTTCGACATTTTATATCGGAATCCAATCTAAAGATGGTATATATTTCACTTATTCTTCCACTTTTTGATTATGCAGATATTGTTTATGATTCGGCAAGCAAGAAACACACTGACTGCCTCCAAAAATTCAAAAACAGGGCCGGTCGTATCATTTTGAAAATTAATCCTTTTAACCATGTTTCAAATAACGATATTCATATACAGTAGGTTTGCGGTTGCACCATGTGTGAGAGAGAGAGGGGGGGTTGAGGAGTCCTGAAAAGGACTCTGACTCGGTAATCTTTCTTGGAGGAACTATAGCGCTTGGAGCGCTATAGTTCTCCTTAGAACTATATGCTAAGAAAGATAAAAAAACAGTCCTTTTCAGGACTACACTCCTCCAAGAAAGATTACCGAGTCAGAGTCCTTTTCAGGACTCCTCAAACCTCTCTCTCTCTCTCTCTCTCTCGCACACATGGTGCAACCGCAAACCTACTGTATATCTAAATCACCATGCAAGCCGACACTTACAAGCAGCATCTAACGATATTCATGTTAAATTAGGGTGGAAATCTCTCCATTCAAGACGTAAATTGCATTTATATATGAAGGTCTATAAATCCCTGAACAATTTGGCTCCTCCTTATTTAGAGGAGTCCTTCAAATTCTGTAATTATCAATATTCTCTACGATCACAAGAAAATATTAAACTCCCCAAACCAAAGAGTGAATGCTGCCGTAAAATGTTTATGTATAAAGGCTCACGTGAGTACAATGACCTACCGTTAACTATTAAGCTATCAAACAGCTTACAAAAAAATTGCAAAAATATAAATTTAAGAAAACAGTTTTGCTCTGAACTGTAATGGAATATGCTTGGGATGGGGGTGTTTATGCTCCTCTTATATGTTTTAGGTATAATTATATTTATTCAAATTATGTTATGTTATGTTGTATTGTATATTGTATAATAACTGTTCCTGGACCCCAGGGAAGAACAGTTTTGTCATACTAACAAACTGAAAGGGTTATCCAGACATTCACTATACCATTCATTTTACTATGTACATGCATTTTCTTTGTATTGTTTGTTTTGATATTGTAATATGGAAAATATATACCAATACTAATCGACCACGTATTAGAACTTGGCTATATCTTTTTCAATATATCCTTGTATAGTTTTATGCTCTGTTATGGTGGATGGAAAGATAACCGAATGGTTTGATGTCATAATCGTCTGGGTTAAGACAAGGCTCCCTCTTCTCTCCAAGTCGCTTCAACCTATTCCTGGAATATGTGATGAGAACATCCCAAAAAATGGGTGACATGCGTATCAACAACATCCGATATGCAGATGACACCACCCTCATGGAACTCGTATTTGAAAATCTCAAAATACTGAAAATATGCTCATCTGACCTTAAAATTTAGTAGGGGGTTCGTCCCCCCCCCCCCCCCCCCCCCCCCATAAAATTCAAAGGTGGTTTATTTCTATTTCGATACCAGTGATTTACAAATGTTTCTGAAATGACATGAATTTTCCTCACTTTTTTGCAAATTATACTTTTTTTTGCGTTTGTTGGACAATGACAAACTCCCAAATTTACAGTCAGGCAAAAATATGCTTATGCTTTTTTGAAAAAGTATGTTAAATAGAATAGAAAGAAAGAAAGAATAGTGGCCTGAGTTATCAAAATATGCTCATCTGACCGTAATTAAAATATTGCTAAAACCCCTGAGCTTGTGGGGGTCCTGCCAGTGTCACAAATAACGTATCAAAATATGATCATCTGACCGTAATTAAACGCCCAAACCCGTGAGCTTGCGGAGGCTCTGCCCCCTGGCGCTCATCTCAGTTACCTAAGTATAATTCCTAACCCCCCTCCCCCCCCCCCCAAGCTTCCGGGGGCTCACCCTGAGGGCTCCCCAAACGTTTTTGCTCATTTAGCCTTAGGTCCTACACCACTGGTGACACCAACGGAATACAGATTTTTCTCTCGATTTTCGTCCCCCTGGTCATGAAACGAAATCGTCGCCCCTGGTGGAGACACAATCTTTTATGCAAATACACACTATGTTTGAGCTGACATTCTTTTCTTTTCATTTGGTTTGGACGGCGGTGTGCCGCTGAAGCATCAAAACCACTACTCATTTTTAAGGGCCATTTGGGGGATTTTTCTAGAAATAAAGCCCATTTTCCACAATTTTCAGATGTTTTGGCGAACACCCCCAAAACACCCGAAAATTTTGAAAAACAGACCCATTTTAAATGGTATTTTTCGTTTAAAATGGGACCCATGTTTAGGGAATTTTTGTGAAAAAGTTACCCATTAGAGCGACACACCCCCGTATGTTTTAATATGTGAGTACCCAACCCCCCCCCCCGGGCGTTTTCCTTTTTCTTCTTCCTGTACATCTTTAAAAAGTTTATTTCTCAGTATGCGTATTAACCCATGACTTCATATTACACACTTTTCAAATCTGAAAACGAATGAATCCTGCAATTGTTTTCTAATAAGCTGAAACTCGTGTGTCGGATTCTATTGTGAGTATATGTTTACAAAGTCTGTCAATTTTATTCAATTGTGTTTCTCAGGACTGGTTACGTAATAATTCTCCTTCATGACGTAGATCCATTTCATGCATTGCACTGCTACTTTCAGCATTGTAGTCTGGATCGACCACGTACTGGGCTATATCATTTTAATGTTTCCATGAATAGTTTTATGCTCTAATTTGGTGAATGGAAAGATAACCGAATGGAACTTTGATGTCATAATCGTCTGGGGTAAGACAAGGCGGCCTCTTCTCTCCAAGTCGCTTCAACCTATTCATGGAATATGCGATGAAGGACATCCCAAAAATAGATAGTGAACTCGTATTTGAAAATCTCCAAATCTCAACAAATGAACTGGAGAAGGCATGTAAAAGATGGGGAATTAATATCATTGCTACAAAATGCAAAATCAGTACAGAGGACCAACAAGATTTCACTAAACAACATCAACATTGAGAAAGTGGATAAACTTGTCTTTCTCGGCAGGACAGTTCCTTCCATAGAAGATGAGAAATAAGACTGGCTGCTTGGGCATATACTGACATCCTCTTTGGATGTATTTTGTATCCAATCATGATTATATAGACTGTTTTAGATATAATAACGTACATAATAAAGTAGGTTCCTTTCCTCCCGAATGAATACTCTCTCTCTCTCTCTCTCTCTCTTCTTATATGTCTCTCTCTCCCCCTCTTTCTCTCTCTCTCTCTCTCTCTTCTTCTTCTTCTCTCTCTCTCTCTCTCTTCTTATATGTCTCTCTCTCCCCCTCATTCTCACTCTCTCTCTCTTTTCTTCTTCTTCTTCTTCTCTCTCTCTCTCTCTCTCTCTCTCTCTCTCTCTTTTCTTCTTCTTCTTCTTCTTCTCTCTCTCTCTCTTTTCTTCTTCTTCTTCTTCTTCTTCTTCTTCTTCTTCTTCTCTCTCTCTTTTCTTCTTCTTCTTCTTCTTCTTCTCTCTCTCTCTCTCTCTCTTTTCTTCTTCTTCTTCTTCTTCTCTCTCTCTCTCTTGTGTTGATTATTTGTCACTTCCTCTCTCTTTCGGCAGTTCTAATATATACACAATAATTTCGAAGAGCAAGAAACAGTAACGGCAATATCAAACCAAAAACAGATCACGAATCAAACTGAAATAACTGCAAATACATGGATAACAAAATAATCATCTCCAAATTTTCTTAATTTTCAGTTGCGCTGTTTTGTCTCACCTAACAAGCAGCGTTGCCATAGCGATCCTTCTACGTTTACAGCAAACTGTAGTAAGTACAATCCTACAGAAATTGATGCCAGAGCTACCAATGCTAGCTTCGCTTTGATGACAGTTGTTCCTGCCATGTTGACTATGAATGGAGATCGATGCACCGTCTCACTTCGAAAAGGGTATGAATGAATTCCCTGTGGCTAGCCCTTCTTATACTAATGCAAATGCATCTCACGAATACAGCGGAGATACAATCGTCATGCAAATTGTGTTTGAGCTGACGTTCTTTTCTCTCTTCCTTTTGTCTTCAAGCTTGCCATATTTGCAGAGCCGTTCAGTGCGTGTAAAACAGGGCTCCTACTTAGCCGAGTTGGAGCCTCGAGTTGTGGCGAGCTGGCGCGATCTTATGGCAAGCAGTTTTATCATTAAAACATATTTCTTTATAGTAAGAATTCAATTCTTGATATCACGAAATCGAATTCCTGATATCACGTAATCGAATTCTTGATATCAAGAATTACCATTGCTTTACAACGTAAAATTATTTCTTGATATCAATTAATAATAAAACGGCTTGCCATAAGATCGCGCCAGCTCGCCACAACTCGAGGTTCCAACTCGGCTAAGTGGGAGCCCTGCTTTAGGAGTTGTAAGTAAGAATATTGATCCCTTTTGGCTGCAGCTCGAGCTTGTCGACAAACCTCCTATGTGAATTCGGGCCAATATGTTGCAAAAGGTTGTACGGTATCAATTTGTTCAGGGCACCTCAATCTCTGCAGTCTGCACAACTTCAGTAGTCTATATGGAGTAAAGACGGCGGCGCCATTTATAACTAATATTAAACGATTTTGAGGATCATTTTTTTAACAGAACCTCTTTTTACCATAATAATGTAATATGTCATATGGAAGAGAATTACATTTCCTACAATAAAATATCACATTCGATAAGTTTGGGGATACCTATTTCTCCATATTAAAAAATAGATATGATGACTACTGACTTGGAGCTTTCTGGAAAACTGCCCATCACATAAATTATAAATAAAATATTCCAATTCCAAGTTCATTACTTTTCTAACAAAACAGTAACGCTCTGAAGTGGACACTTTGATATGAGCTCAACTTGCAATTTTGGTTGCAAAGGGCTGTCTTCTCCTTTTCAGCGGTAACATAGCGAGATGAAAAATATACTATATCGCGAGTATAGATGACTATCGATCAAGCAGATGACTGTTTTGATAGAAAGTATGATTTCAGAGGAAGCAATTAATCATACTAATTTTAATGATATCTCTTCCTTAGCTCTAGCTTCCTTAACCTATGTATCAAATGTGTACTCAGAAACCAAATTAGGCTATCAGTCGAATAATACATAAAATAAGACATGGTTTGCAGTCTTAAAAATGTACGTAGTGCAAGGTATGGTTCAGGACTTTCCCCCTTCGCCCTCCTTTGAAATGTAACACCCCCACCCCCTCCGCCTAATGTAGATCAAAAGAAAAAATTGATTGAATTCTGCAGCGGTGGAATTCTGCCTCCCCCTTTCTCCTCTATCCTTTTCTCTATTTTTTTTGCGTTTGTGAGACCCCTTTTGGTGTCCTTTTCAATAATCTGCCCCTGTAGCTGCACCCATATAAATGTCACTGTGTAGTGTGTAGAGAGATAGGAATGTATATGTTTTGTTTTTTTTTCTTTCTGTTTTTATTGTTTTTTCTGAAAAATTAACAGAGTAAAAGCAGCAATATAAAATATAATATCATCTTAAAACTACAAAACAGGCACGCACTCATGCACCCATAAACACGTACACACACACACACACACACACACACCCACACTCATATACTTTCCCAGAGGGCAAGTTTACAATTCAAAAAGCCAATGAAGATGTTAATGACAACAGAGCTTTGCAAGACTACTCCTAAATTTCAGTTAAACTTGATAGACCATTTCTTAAAATGGACTTGTAACTTATTTTTCTTTTGGGCAATTTTATATTCTATTTTTTGTTTGAACTTTACCATTGAAACAAATGCTTCGAAAATAAGTTCTTTTCCCTGAAACCTACATGAGTAAATGTAATATTTTAAACATAAACAGAGAAAATTTATACAAGAGGCGTATTTGTCCCTTGACTGTATCCCAAACAATAGGAATGTATATGTTTGTAATTGATTGGAGCTGGGACTTTCGATCACATTGGAGTAATCACATCGCGTAATAAACACCTTTTACTGGACTCATGCTACTCCCCGGAGGGGGAGGGGTGGGGGGGGGGTACTATAGCCTATTACGGTATACGGGGATGCGCCGCTCCGATAGGTTACTTTTTTGCAAAAAATTCTTAATAAACATGGGATATGATTTTGTGCTGCAATATCCCTAAAAGTGACCCCACTTTTCAGATCTTGGCCTTAAAGATGCCTGTATTGGGCTACTTATTTCTTCAGGATAATATCTCAATCATAATCTCGCTACTGTGAAAATTCCAGATGCCAAATCCCGCATTAATAATTGAAATCATTTCGCTTTTTTATCCAAAGTCCTCGCCGATGGTCGCACAGATTAAAAGAAATTAAAGGAAAAACAAAAAGCTGTTGCTAAGTAAAGTGTATTAAGATATGTGAAAGTGCAAATCATTCATGCAAATGAAATACGGCAAAAGCTTAAATATGGGTTGCGTTTTGAATGGAAGTCCCTATAATAGATTTTTTTTCTGCCAAAATGACCACTAAAAATGGGTTTAGACGCTCAAGCCGCACACCCCCGTCCAAACCAGATCTGAGTACGGCACCCCCCCCCCCCCGGGTGTTACTGTATTTTAACTGATGACGTAGATTGGCTTGTTATATAAAGCAATGCTTGTATAATAAATTCAATTTGGATCAAAGTTATAAGGGGAGTGGAGGGATTTGGAGACAAAAGAAGGGTAGGGTATTGGCATGCATGTTCCCGTTTAACATTTCAAATAATTTGACTCTCCACCTTTCCCCATTATGATTTAATTCCAAGTACTTAACATTTAGGAAGTACATCTCGCTATGGTAAAAAACTGTCATGAAGAATACACCAAATAAGATTATTCAAGCACCTACCTGTATAATCGGCACCTTGCTGCCTGGATATATCGGTACTACTAAGCAATACATTTAAAATCTAAAGGTAAAAATCGCATGTGAACAAGTTTGTCCCACATGCGATTTTTACCTTTATATTTTAAATGATTGCTTAATAGAAGACAACCCTGGGGGGGGGGGCACATACAACAAGAAATTTTAATTAGCGCGTGTGTCCTTTAAGTCCTAGATCTAATGTATTAAACAGCAAAAATGCACTTGCCAATGTGTATCTTACAAGACAAAAATATATTCGTATATATTCAAATAATTATATTAAACAATAAGTTGCGTGCTTTAGATATTATACACTAACTCGACGAGTAGTGTAAATACTATTATTCTAAATAATTGTTGAGGTAGCCGCCCTGTCGAGAGAGAAAAAGGAGATAGAGAAGGGGGCGAGAGAATAATTAGAGAAAGTGATAAAGAAGGAGAGATAGAGAGAGAGAGAGAGAGAGAGAAGAGAGAGAGAGAGAGAGAGAGAGAGAGGGGGTGGAGAGAGAGAAAGAGAGAGAGGGAGAGAGAGAGAGAGAGAGACAGAGAGAGGGGGAGAGAGAGAGAGAGGGAGAGAGAGAGAGAGAGAGACGGTCATACCCAAGTACAAACATGTATGCTCATCTGAATGACGTGCTTCAATTTTTCAATTAAAAAAGCACTTGGAATTATAATTATCTGATCATCCTTTTTTCTTCTGTTTTTTCGCTTGTCAGATCGAATTACGTGGTCATCCTAATATATGATTTCCGATCCCTCTCCCCCATCAAGGGTCAACTAAAATACTAAGAAATTTGTGAAGTGACACTATGCCCGGCCTTCTGTCAGATTGGTTGCTCCATAATAATTGTTGACCAAATATTTTAGCAATAGACTATAAAAATAATAATATTATTGAAACCTTGAACAAGTTAACGGCGCCCTCTATGACTGATAAGGTTTACACGTACGACGGGAGCTAAACATTATTGCGCTAAACATTCACTCTTTGGACTCTTTCCTACCTTCCTGCCCAGTTATTAGTCTGTGTCTGGTAAGTTTGAACATAATCCAGCGTTGGAATGAATGGCAACATTTAGGATATCGTTTATTGCTATAATTAGCTTCTTCACCTGCCTGCCGTTATTTTGAATTTTGTTAGTTAAATCGAATTGGAATTTCAATTGACTTCAGTCCGATACCCCCACTTTTATGTTTTATGTTTTTTCTTCGGCGGGGTATTTAAAATATTTGCATTTTTCCGCCTATTTATTTCATACATGCAATAGACTATAGCTATACCTTTTCCTGATACATTGTGAGCTCCTAGTAGTCTATACACATTTCGACCACTAGCTTTAACTGGTGGGACTAGTATGACCTAGGCTGGACCGAATTTTCCGTCTCTTTCGTTCGTTAGCCTCTTTTTTGGGTAGGGTCGGCTCTCTCTTTAGAGACGGAAGCCGACTATACGCATTCCCTTGCTAACACCATGGCCATTTATGGCCATATTTTTATGCCCTGAAAATCCCCCCAAATGTCATTTTACCTCGTGCATGTTCATTTTTTTTATAGACCTATTGTAAATTAGGCCTAGCTCTAGATCTAGGCTATAAATAAATAGGTTCCACTTACCAACTTGACTGAAATAATCTGTTTAATGGTCCTTTTTTAGGAAATTATGGGTCAAAATCTAAATTCATGTTGAAAATCTTGCAAGACGTATATTAACTCTCGCTGCGCATGATGTCATCTAAATCTCATCTCTTCTATTCTAGTCTACGCCGAAGGCAAAATGATTATGAAGGAAAAACTGCGCGCGAGCTACACGTACTCACAGTTTTTCTTCATAATCATTTTTCATTCGGTGTAGACTAGAAGAGATGAGATTCTCTTATTATTGGTGCGATTTATTTCACACTTTAATCAATTTTTTTTCCACTTACATAGAAATGAAGTTATTACAAAGGGTTTGATTGCTTTTTAAGGCTAACTTGTAACTCCATTGCACTAATAAGTGTAAGAAAAAGAATGATGAAAACCTGATTTTGATTTAGGAGGCCACATTTTCCTGATTTTCTTCACACAAAAAATGTTTAAAATCTATTTTGAGTTTCTTCTTTAATTGAAAGCAAGTTATGCAGGGGGGGGGGGGTGGGGGGAAGGACTGTTCATACTGGCCAATTAGTAGACACACTTCCCGTTATGAGAACATTAATTTACGACCATGCTGGGTTTTCAAAATGTATTCTTTCCTGTCTCTTGCCTATTTCAGACTCTTCAGAGTAATGTAATGAGGATTTTCTGCCTGGACTGTGCAGGTTACCTCTCTTCATCTACAAAATGGAACATGTATCATCTGGAAAAGCACTGTGTTTTGGGACATAAGGAATTGATGTGTAATCACTGAGCCAAGACTGAACTCAAATCTCAAAAGATGTCCACCAAGATCCCGCTGATACGCTGTTTCTGTTATGGGATAACAATCTCATCCATAATATGGCTCATACTGATCTACATCTTCCTCAGTGACGTGGGCAAGGATGCCCCCAGTGGATTACCAGGGGTGAAGTACGCCCCTGGGAGGGTTAAGATGATCCCCAGGCACAGGGGCGGTGCCAGGCCTCCTCTGGGCGTCGGAGGAGGGGTTGAGGAGGAGGATAAACGATGGAGGGTTAATAACTTAGTGATGCAGGACGGAGGGGGTAATGACTTAAATGCAATGAGATTCAATCCAAAAGTCTTAAACCCAAAGAATGCACTCTACAAAAAACAAGGGAAGCCTATGAGAGAAAAACAGAGGCTTAAAGCAGGTAAATATGACACCGTTTGAGGGAAATTCTATGCAAAGTGTCCCGTATGTCATTGGCCATGTATTTCATCAAAAATGTGAAGAAAAAATTGGTGATACGACCATGAAATAATAGGAATGATATGATCAGAGAGATTAGTCAATGTTGTTGATGAAATATATGGATAAAAGTCATATGTATACTGTACAGGACACACATTTCAAAGAATAGTCATTAAACAAAAATTCAGCCATGTATTTGACTCATTATTAGATTGCATTAGATTCTGGTCTAAATCTTATATTGATTATTATAATAGAGTATTTATAGTACCTTTAACGTACTGAACTTTTTCTGGTGATCAGAAGTAGGCTATTGATCTTCTGGGTACAAAGGAATATGAGAGAGGTACTGGTACATTTACATATTTCATAAGTGAATGAGAGAGAGGGAGGGGGAGGAGGGGGGGGGGTTGCAGGAATCCACATTTTTCTTAGACCCCAAGCAGAGTTATCTGAGGCTAAATATTCATTGAGTTACTGTGATTGTAAAACCAGAAATGTCTACAACATAAAACTTCGGTTGAAACTTAATGACACCTATTTTCATAGAAAGAACTTTTTTTGTGTTGTGATGATGTGATATTTTGTGGCATGAAACTTTGCAAATTTCGAGAACTCACAAAATTTTCATTTTGTTTTCTTCTTCTGATTTACAGTAAAAGAAACTTTTGCTAATAAACTTTGTTCCTTTTCCCTTTCTGCAAGATGCCCAAGGCGACTGGGGAGAAGATGAGCTTGGTATGGTGAGGACTGATGAGGAGAGGTCAATACGAGATGGAGGCTACCGTCAGCATGCTTTCAACGAACTCATCAGCCAACGCATCGGGTTTCACAGAAATGTTACAGACACAAGAAATCCGCTGTAGGTATACTTGTCAATTTGGAGGTTGAATTACCTATGTGCATTTCACTCATCAGAATATTAATTTTGTTTCCTTTCTTTTTTTCTTTCCTTTGATTTTCTTTTTCTGTGCTAAAATGGCAGTAAGATGGTCCAATTGTTTCACGTTCCTATCAAAAAAAAAATTAAAGACAAAAGTTGTCGCAGACTCCGACATACCACCAGCAAGCAAAAGGCATCAAAGGATGTCAAAAGCAGGTTCTTTTTCTCTATGGTCAATAGCCTAGGTACTGTAGCTAACATAATTCCTTACCAAAACCCTGACTTAAACAACGCTCTGCTAAAACCCCAAATCCTGTATCTTTGAGGAAATGAGTCCTGGAACAATTATCGCCTTTGCAAATGTTGGGTCACCAAGTGACTTGCATCTGGAAAACGTTGACGTATCTTGTGAAAATGGCTTATATTTCTAGATGCAAATACCAGGTGTATTCGGAAGAGCTACCTACAGTAAGCATCGTGATCTGCTTCTATAACGAGGCTTGGTCTACACTGCTGCGGACTGTCTACAGTGTTCTTGATCGAACTCCTAGGAGGCTCATACACGAGCTCATTCTGGTCGACGACTTCAGCGAACTGAGTAAGTGTAATGGAATGCTTAAAGGGGACCAAAACCTTCATACTAAGTTACTTGGGATTGAGATAATCTACTTCCCCTGAAAGCAAGGTATAGAATGCAAAATGATATTCTACTTCACATGTTATGACGTCGGATCAAGAACACAAATAAATACAAAGAAAACGAAAAAAATGTGAAATGATGTCATCAAATTGAATATCGCCCTCTAGTGACTAGTCATTTCAAAAAGCTCTAACTTCCTTATTTCTTGCCCGATTTTGTTTAAATTTTCACTGATTTTATTCAAATCTTTTAAACTTTACAATAAAAGTAACTTAGTATGAAGGTTTTGGTTCCCTTTTATAGTTCGTTCTTATATTGAGCATTTCAGGGCCACAGGCCCTCTCAATGCACTTTACAGATTCATTATTACCCCGGTCGTCGGATTCAAGCTTACCCGCACACAATGTATGCAAATTCTCCACTCCCTGGGCCTGGGGAGCATTCCAGCCAGGCGTCATTTTTACAAGCATGCACTTGCTTGCATGAGCCTTGTTTTCAAATGATGTGATAATTAGAACAGGGATTTTTTTTTTCAAAGGCTAAATCAATCACATAAAGTTCTTCAAATGTGCAACAATAATAGTTTTCTTGTAATGCTACATTAGAAAATTGTTCTAATAAAATGCAAAGTCTCCGAAAACAGTATGCATGGGTGGAAATTTTGTCGAAAAGTTGAAAGAATTGCCCGTTTTGATTAATATGAATGACTTTGTTGAAATTTTGCCAATTAAAGGATTTTAAAGCTTATTTTCCTTTAAAAATCCCAGGCATCAAACACAATGTGGTATTGTAACAAAAATGGACACCATATCGTCCTTGTTTTCACGAAGTGACGGTAGTGAGGAAAATCGTAACGCAAAGTGAATGCAATTTTTTTTCACTACCGTCACTTCGTGAAAACAGCGACGATATGTGCAGAAATTGTTGTCTTTTCTTTTCATGCCTCTGGTACATGTATGTATTTGTGAGGGTTCTGAATCAAAAGTTATTGAGACAAACCACAAAATGCTGAATGCTTGTCATGAAAGAGTTCAATTAGAATGCTGTGACAATTTAGTACCATCTTATGTGAACATGTCTGGCAAGATAGGTGAGACATAAGTACCAATGTACTGTACATTTAGGTGCCCATGTAAAAGGTCCTTGAGTTTTCTCACTTGTCTGTGTTTTATAAGATATTAGGGACTTTTAGATTGCTACGATCGACGTCCTTTTAATGCACTGCCTTGAATGGACGTCACATGTATCAGTCCACGCAAATCTAAAAGTCCCTACTGTAATGTGAAGTGGACTATTCTTGTATTATTTCATTTTGCAGCAGAGGTTTTATGAAGGCAGTTTACTATGTGGAGTGAACAGGCCTGATAAAAACCCGATTTAAATCGGTTTCCCGATTTTTTTTGATTTTTCCCGATTTTTCCCCGATTTTTTTTTTCTTCCCGATTTAAAAAAAAAAAAGAAAAAAAAAAAAAGATTTTTTTTTTTTTTTTTTTTTTTTTTTTTTTACCAGATTTTTTTTTTCTTCCCTTTTTTATCCTGATTTTCCTGATTCCCCCCTTATTTTCTCTATTCTTCCCTATTTTGCCCTATTTTTTTCTCCCAATTTTCTTACTCGAAAGGGGGGAATGTTGTTAGATGCCGTTTTTTCCCCGCGAATCGCCTTTTTTTTTTTTTACTCAAGGGGGGCGTGGTTGAGGGGAAAACAAAAAACCTATTTTTTTTTTAGTGCTCACTATCACCCCTGGGAGTGAACAAGCCAGTCCTTGGGTGGGGAGTTAAAGAGAAGGTTGAGTTCTGGGAAGAGGTGAAAACTAATGCGTTATCATTCTTATTATGCAAGTGTGGAAGAACATCAGATAAGACATGTTCCCTGAAAAGCATGGCTCTTCAAATGCCTTTATATTCTAAATATGTCATGTAACTCGTAACGGGGGTAGGTTTTTTACTCCACGTGTTCGTGTAGTCCCATATACATCTTTCTGTGTACAGTGTTTGTAACTTAACAAAGACATGGCCAAATTTCTTACCATTTTGATGATTCCAGAACCTTGCAATACACACAAATTCTTATATGCTAGATGGTCGATTTCACACTGTTTCTTTCACAATGCAATCGCATGACCAGAACTCAACTTCATCTTTAAAGAAAGCATTCATGATAAAGGCTTGTTCAGATATAAAGAGGCAAACCTCAGCATTTTTGTTTTAACGTGTTAACTGAGCATATTCACTTAGCTTTGTGTTTAATACAGATATGAGAAACATATTACCGGTACACTTACTTCATTATTGAAAAAAGAATGTTAGGGTTCACCAGCTCGTATCTGAATAAGGCTTAGAATTTGTTCCTTTGAGCTGATGTACATGTATTCTGCTTCAAATTAATAAATACCGGTATATGCTTGTGCATTTTGTTTGCCTGTTTATTTACAAAAATTACAAGCCAAATTAGTAATAATTTGTTTTCGTTCCTAAGAAGATGAAAACATTGCAGTAAGTTTGTGTAAGTTGTGCACATTACAAAGTACTTGTTTAAATGCTTAAGTTCATTTTATTCTGTTATGTGTATTGATGAAAATGTATTTTAACCTGGTTGTTGTTGAATTATGTTTCCAGATTGCTGAAGAAAATAAATCAATGCATATCATATAAAATCAAATCAAATCAAATCTCTTTAAATGGTTGTCTCGCATTTCACAATAACAGCTCACCTGAAGAAAGAGCTTGACCAATACATGTCCAAGAACTTTAATGGGCTGGTGCATGTGATCCACAATGGGCAGCGGGAAGGACTGATTCGAGCCAGGACCATTGGGGCGAGGTATGCAACAGGGGATGTCCTCATGTTCCTGGACAGTCACTGTGAGGTGAGTGGTAAACAAACTTAAACCTGTCTTTAATAACCCCCAAAAGCTTGGCTTATTGAATGAATGGTGGTGGTTATTTTTTTTAAAAAAATTTAATAATTATTTTTTGACCTGACTGCTAAGAAAGCATAAATGCTTGTATAAGTAAGCAACCAGACGGCCGACGGCTTTAGGTCCTCTCCGAGAGACCTGGTAATGAGGATTAATGCCTTACCAAAGGGCACTAGCGCATCGCCTTGGTTTCGAACCCGGGTCACCGGATTACAAAACCACTGCTCTACCGATTGAGCTATCGAGCTATCGTGCTCTCTCAGCCAGTGGGGGGTTCCACCCTCCCTCTAAGTTATCAAGTCATTGTATTATTTATGAAGACCCATTTATATTTTAAAAGCTAGGAGGTACAATTTGTATTTAACACCGCAAAAATGTTTCATGCGTTAAACTGTGACCTGTGTATGGAGGCTAATATGTCTTGACTGTACTTTACTTGTGGTAGTCGGAGTATTGATGCACATTACTAAAGGCTTTTATCCATCACTTTTAACTAGAAAAGCAGTTTATGAAAACAGATATTAATACATGTTTAATTGTCATGGAAAGTTTGTTTTTCACAGATACAGGAGCCCCAGGAAGAATGGTATATCATGTGGAAATGGGGCCACCCTGCAATAGCACCATTTCCTTGGGTTAGGCACCTCAGGAAATTGGACCACTCTGTCACTACAACCTCATAGATTTAACTAGGCAGAGTATATTTGTATATTATTTCTTGTAGGTGAATGAACAGTGGCTGGAGCCCCTACTGGAGAGGATCAAAGCTGATTCACACACTGTAGTCTGCCCTATCATAGACATCATCAACCACGACACATTCGCTTACACTGCCTCGCCCCTCGTCAAAGGGGGCTTCAACTGGGGAATGCACTTCAAGTGGGACACCATTAGGTCCCGTCAGCTTGTCGGCAAAGAAGATTATGTGAAGCCAATAGAGTAAGTAACCACATGAGTTCATCACCATTTGGTCCAATGCCATTCACTCTAGTTTCCAGCTCGTCGAATTTCAAGAGCAAAAATATGGTTCTTGTACAGTTATTGTAAAGTTAGTGTAAAATTGTGTACTTTAAAAAGAGAATTCCAATACTAGAGATATTGAAATTGATTGAAATTGATTCGGTTTATTGAAATAAAAGAACATGCAGCTGGGAAGCTGAAATAATTCAATTTACAAAGTCACTATACAACACAATAAACGAACAAAATATGAATGACTAAAAAGTACGACTATAAATTATGCAAAATGAGAATCAAATATAACATCAAAATCTAAATATATTACAAACATTAAATCAAAATCTAAATATATTACGAATATTACATCAAAATCGAGATATATTACAAATATTACGTTAAAATTCAAATATATTACAAATATTAAAAACATTAAAAACCTTCTGTGTCATCAAAAAAAAAAGGGGAGAGAGAGAGAGAGAGAGAGAGAAAGAGAAAGACGGACCTAGAAATGTATTGTGTGAAGAAAGAAGAAAGAGGGAAAAGGTGATAATAGCTGAGGAAAGGGGTAAGCAAAGAGAAAGAAAAAAGAAAAAAGATGAGGACCCATGAGAAGAGGAAGGAGAAGGGTTTTCACACAAAGCATGAGTAACATGATAAAGCACGTAATGTAACAACCTAAAAGTACAAGGATAATATTATCAAAAAGATATTGCACGAGGTAAAGTAATATGAGTATATTACACTGAAGAACAATAAAATCAAAGTTATTAGAGGAAAGGTGCAATATGTCAACAACGTGTTAAAGAGAATAATTATACAAGTAAAGAATTGAGAATACACCATAAGGCAATACACTTGCATGTAAATGGATAGTGATACACAGTAAAACTATTTTCTTATAAGGGGGAAGAAAGAAGAAAGAAAGAAAGACAAAAAAAAGGAAAAAAAGAAAATTGTGATGACCCTACTGACATTTCAAGGAAAAGAGAAATCATGCAACTTATAAACGATAGAGAGGAAACAGATACGAATAGAAGAAGAGAGGGGAAGAGGGAAGACAGGAAAAAAGGGAGTATAGAAAAGTGAAAAATAAGATCAAAGAACAGGGAATATCCATGATAAATAGATTTGCAAATTAAAGTGAATTGCATTATAGATAATCATTGAAGATCATTGCATTTTAAAGTGTAATCTCAACAAAGTACCACAGTTATAAACAGTGAGAGAGATAAATAGATAAATAAATAAATAGTTGATATAGCTGCATTACAATGACGAATTCAAAACTAATGGCATTCAAGGAAAAGAAAAATCATGCATCTTATAAACAATAGAGAGGAAACAGATATGAATAGAAGAAGAGAGGGGGAGAGGGAAGACAAGAATAAAGGTAGTAAAGATAGTGTAGAATAAGATCAAAGAACAGGGAATATCCATGATAAATAGGTTTGCATATCAAAATGAACTGCATTATAGATGATCATTGAAGATCATTGCATATTACGTGAAATCTCACAAAAGTAGCACAGCTATGAACAGTGAGAAAGATAAATAGATAAATAAATAAGTTGATATACTGCATTACAATGAGGAATTCAAAAGGACTGACAGAGAAGGGATAGTTGATAGCCTATATCTCTGCGTTCTACAAAATGGAATGTCAAGACTTTGAGAGTTCCGAAGTTGTAATCGCGTACGGGACTGCGATTGTCTAGTAGGGGGCAAAAAGTTACGATAACGATCAGACTGGAGCAAACCTTCACCAAAACGAAGGAGAAGCTCATTCCTTCTTAGTTCCAAGGAAGTGAGTCCATACAGGATGAGTTGCTTACTATACGAGAGAACATTGGGGAAAGCTATGCAGCGGAGGACACGTTTTTGGACCCGCTCAAGTTCATCAACCTGAGCCTTGGTGAGACTTGATCCCCAGACAGGTGATCCAAACTCCAACAATGGACGAATATAGGACTTATAGATGATCAATAAATCCTCTACATTAGCACCATTCTTATTCAAGACACTTAGGATGTACAATCTACGTGCAGCACGAGAGACCATAGTCTGGACTTGACGATCCCATTTAAGATTCGCTTGTATCGCGATTCCAAGAAGAACTTGTGAGTAGACCCATTCTAAGCGAGTTCCGTTAATGGTAAACGGTACTTTCGGTGGAGGATTTCTCAAGAAACTAAATCGCATGACTTTGCATTTCTCTGGTTTGGGCTTCATATCATTTACATTGCACCATTCACTCAGCGCATCGAATTGGGTTTGCAGGGAACTTTCTTGTGATTTATGAACAACTTCCAACATACTGAGATCATCCACATACTTCCACCTATCCTCAGTAGTAAGGGCCACATCGTTCACCATAACGAGGAAAATGATCGGACCCAATTTGGTCCCTTGGGGGACGCCGCAAGTGAGGTTCAACGATGTTGAGGTTTTACTCTGGTACCTCACTGTTTGAGAGCGATCGCTGAGAAAGCTGCACATAGTTGGTAGGATAGAGGCGTCTACACCTATTCCAATAAGCTTTTCAATTGCAATTCTGTGATTAACTAGATCAAAAGCCTTCATGAAGTCTACTGTGCAAAGGTTCACATGACATCCCTGTTTGTCAAGATTACTTTGGATGACGTCTAACATGCTTATCAAATAATGATTAACAGAGCTACCTTTAATATTTCCGAATTGAGAAGGATCTATGTGGGATTTCAAATCTGACATTATCCAGTCCGCCAAAAAACTCTCAAAGACTCTAGCAAAAACAGAAGTGATGGATATCGGGCGGAGTTGAGAAAATTCAGACGCTCGAGGAACCTTCGGGATTGCAAAGATAGGGCTTTCCTCCCCCACATGCTCCCTCACATGTCTGCTACTTTAGTTAAGTAACCTATCTGAACTTAAAAGTATTAAATTGGTGACCCAACACTTGCTCCATGCTTTATTTCGTCAAAGGAATTGGGTAAGATGAAGGGTTCCTGTTGGGTACAAGGTTGGGTACAAGGTTGTGGTCCACAGGAAGAGCAGTATTAATACTGGGGGGCGTTTCATCAACATTTGTCTGCCGACAACTGTCAGTGCTGACTAAATTTGACCAATCAGAGGCCTGGAAAACAGTCAGTGACAATAAAATTGTCGGTGAAAATGATATTAGTCCGTGAAAACCACTGAATAATTGTTTCATGATGTGGCTACAGCAGTTAAATAATGACAAATCGTAACCATTGTTAGGTTTAGGGTTAGGATTGGGATTAATTCAAGGTTTAATGTTTAGTCCAGGGTTCAAACTATACATTTGCTTAGTGTATGGAATTGGCCTGAAGCAATGAATTGTCACCAGAGCATGTGTAGTAGATAGGGTAAATTAAAATCATCATGATCTTTTGCTTGGTTTACAGGTCACCTACGATGGCTGGTGGTCTGTTTGCGATGAACAGGGAGTACTTCCATAAGCTAGGAGACTATGATGAAGGCATGGATATCTGGGGTGGAGAGAATCTAGAGATCTCCTTCCGGGTAAGAACATTCTTCTTCTCTTTTAACCTAATATATTTAATTCAATTCAATACAATTCAATTCAATATAATTCAATTCAATACAATTCAATTTGTTTATTTCAATTCCAGGAAATACAAACATGTAGGTAAATACATGAAATATATACATATACACAAGTTTTATTTTTTTTAATACAGTTTTTTTCTCCTACTGAATACTTTTAATTAATTTCCTTGTAATTAATTAGGATGTCGTACAAGGAGTTGGTTTCAACCAATTCTCCTCCACATCATTTTCGTTTCAGATATGGCAGTGTGGTGGGAAACTGGAGATTGTCCCATGTTCACGAGTCGGTCATGTTTTCAGAAAGCGACGACCTTATGGCTCTCCAAACCGGCAGGACACAACGACTAAAAATGCTGTGAGAGTTGCAGAAGTCTGGATGGATGAATACAAGGTATCACATTGCTCTTATTTCTTGCTTTCCGCCTCTTGTAGAGAGTATTGTGCTTATTTTGTGATCCAACATTTGATCCAGGCTAAATTTTGTCAAAAACATAGGATTGGGGCTTTCGGTTTTGAATGGGTTTGTTCTAAGGGTTAGGATAACAGTGAGGATTAGGAGTTGTGTTTAGTATAGGATTGAAATATTAAAGATAGTAATGATAATAGTATTAGGTCTTTGCCTGTCCCAGTGCACTTTTCAAGTCCTTGCAAATAATGATCTTTAGCTCCTAGAGCCATTATTTCAAGGGACATATTCTTTCAGGTACCCACTTAACATGATACTTGGAAACATGTTGGATACAGAACAACCAGGAATCTTTGACTAAGCCAGCTACAGATCTTTAGAATCTGATTGCATGTCTTTGATTATCCATCTTTGGAGCATTTCTACCAAGTCCAGCCCAAGACAAAGAACTTGGATTACGGGGACATTTCATCTCTTGTAGCCTTTTGTGAGAAACTGAAATACAAAACCTTTTGAATCATAATATTAAGGAAAAGTATACTTATGGGACACAAAATAACCAAAAACCAAAGACTTTTATAACCTCCTAATTCACCACTTCTTCTATTTCTTGTTTTCAACTTTCATCACAAATCTTTTGAAGGAGCATTTCTACCAAGTCCAGCCCAAGGCAAAGGACTTGGATTACGGGGACATTTCATCTCTTGTATTAAACCTTCTGTGAGAAACTGAAATACAAAACCTTTTGAATCATAATATTAAGGAAAAGTATACATATCGGACAAAAAACAACCAAAAGCCAAAGACTTTTATAACCTCCTAATTCACCACTTCTTCTCTTTCTTGTTTTTAACTTTCATCACATATCTTTTGAAGGAGCATTTCTACCAAGTCCAGCCCAAGGCAAAGAATATTGACTATGGGGACATCTCATCTCGTGTAGCCCTGCGGGAGGAGCTCAAATGCAAGTCCTTCAAGTGGTACCTGGACACCGTCTATCCAGAGATGAGGACACCAAATGATACAAAGGGCAGAACAGGTGGGGTGGTAGAAGGAGGAGGAGGAATGCAAAGGATGCAGAGGAAAGCACCACAAACATCACTTCGTAAGGGCAAGGTATGTACATATCATTGAGAATTCAACTCTGAATGGAGACCTTTTGTGTTCAATCTTTGAATTTACAATCACAATTCGGGACATGTTCTTTCATTCTCACTTATATGAACATTTAGTTGCACTGAGTGCACCTGATCTTGTTATCCAGAATAAAAAATCCTTGAATTAAATTAATAAATAAAGAAATAAAGACATAAACATAGAAGAACATGCTATGATGAAAGTGTTGGTCTTATAAAATAATATTCTAATGCTTGGGCAAGAAGTTTTATGATTTACTTGGTTATTAATCGTAGAGAGGTGTCATAGTTGAGTAGTTTAAGCATTTGACTGAAAATGCAAAGGTCATGGGTTCTATCCCCCGACATTCCAATGAGCTATTCAGGATACAGAACCTGTCCGTATTGTGTATGATGCTGCAAATTTGGAATCACTTTCTTTCTATTACAGATGAAGCATTCTCTGAGTTGCCTGTGTCTTGTGCCCGAAGACCTGTTTTTTACAAAATTAATAGGTTATTGTGGCGTTTGGGATTTAGGTTAGGTTTGGTATTTGCCCATAGGGTTAGGGTCAGGTATAGTTTTGGGTCCAGACATAAAGTTAGGAAATTACCTCAGAGCAATTGTTGCAGGAGCATGTGTCATACAACGGCCCGAAGTTGCATTGGTCGAGGGTCCTCTCTTTATATCATACTGAAAATATATATTAATTTGATTTCTTTTCCAGCTTGTTCCATTATTTGAGAGGCTTTTCTCTGGTGCCCAGCTGAGCCGATCAAGTGTATTGAGCTCATCCACACTATAACAACTCCTGAAAATGAGATATATGTTCTTTCATTTCTAGCTGAAGCATTCTTTAACTGGCCTGTGTCTGGTGCCTAAAGCTGAGCTGATCAAGTGTATTGAGCTCATCCACACTATAACAACTCCTGAAAATGAGATATATGTTCTTTCATTTCTAGCTGAAGCATTCTTTAACTGGCCTGTGTCTGGTGCCTAAAGCAGAGCTGGTCAAAGGGACAGAGCTTATCCTTGGAGACTGTGATCGGCTAGGAGACACCAATACCATGGTAAATTCTTCCAAACTCTAAAGGCTTGTTCAGATATGACATGGTTAACCACTGCAAAAAGGGCGCCTCGTTTCTGTTTATGTGTGAATGAATGATTCACATAGCTCTGTGTGTTATAAGATACAGGAATGTGAAGGGTATTAACTTTCTGTCATTAAAAAAAAAAAAGGCTTTGGTTGATTTTGAAAATATGTGTTAGAATTGGTTTACTGTAGGAGGCAAGGTAATACCAGAACCTGAAGGGGAGGGCAGTCTCTTTACCTGGGTCTTTCTTTGCCTTGTCCTACATACTGAATGCTGGTTCAATATGTTATATCAAGAATAGAGAATGAAATCCTGATTCCCCCCCCCCCCCCCGATATATACCCTTGCAGTATATCTCCAGATATTCCACATTCCTTCTCTTAAAACACACTACCGGTACTGCAAACACAGAACTAGATTTCAGTAGGAATAGTGAAGGTGCCCAACACCATGTGCTTCAAACGTTAAAGGTACAGCAGTCCATTGCTGAGTTAATCTAGTTATTCTCATTTCAGTCATCATACAGCACGTGGTTAATGAAAGAATATAATGTATCTTTCCTCTTATTCAGACATGGTACCAAACCTCCGTAGAAGAACTAAAACTGGGCGATGCCATTTGCATGGACATGTCGGAGAGTAACAGCGCTTCTTTACCTCAGCTACGGAAGTGTGATGGTATGGGAGGCTCCCAGCGCTGGCGTATTAAAGACAAGGTAGGTCCTAGTAACTTGAGGGGGGGGGGGGGGCAGAGTGGTGCAGGTGGACAGTTTTAGGGTTGTTTTTCACTCTCCCCCCGAGTGTGGGGGTTATGGTCGATGCAGTGCATGAGAGTATTCACTATGGTGCAATAAAATTCATGCTGCGTAGCCTAGTGTATTTTGTGCCATTGTGAATACCCGAATAGCGCTGCATCAACATAATATAATGTTACTAACAAAAACCTGTGTATTATTTGTTTTATAAAATGGGTCGACAATCTTACTTAGCAAGGCCCGCAACCTTCATCCAGGTTGTTATCACAAAAATGTACCCAATGCAGATGGTACCGTGCATATAGTAAAAAAGAATGCATGATCACGTGATCCATTTTGGCGTTTCTCATTGGCTACATTCTTGAACCCATGTTATAAAACATAATAACAGGGTACATAAAGGGCAAAAGGCCCACCTTATGAAACAGAAAGAGCTGTCATAGTCGAGCGGTTTGAGCATGTGACTGGAAATGCTATGGTCACAGGTTTAATCCCTAACATGGCGCTAATGTTCTTTGGCAAGGCATTAATCTACAATTGCTACTCCATACCCAGGAGAGAAATGGGGACCTGATAAAGAGAACAAAGCCTTTGTAATTGCTTTATGCTATGATGGTGACCATATGGTAGAAACACTCTCCTGGGAGTGGAGATGGTGCACACTTCTAAGGTGAATGAATCCAATGACCAATGAAACGGGTACATTGTAGACTAACCCAAAGAATATTAAACTTAAGTTGTTCTGAGAGATTGATTGAATTCTTTCCCATCAATCTACAAGATTCCCCCTCCAAAGTACATGAGAAAGGCATAATTAATGAAGCAAGAATAAAGTTCAGTTTCTCAGAAAGACATGGGCATCGCCATTTTCTTGATTGTATGACATACTATGCCAGGGCGCGACAAACCCGCTTGCCCGACGTCCCGGGGCAACCAAATTGAGCCGTCGGGCAAGTAAATCAAATTATCACTTGCCCGATTCGGGCAAGTGATACTTTTACAGTAATTTCCTAGTGTCCAAGAACTCTACCATTCACCCGTCAACTTCTTACCCGTCGTCAAAATCCAGAAGCAAAAAAGCGATCGTTCCGATTTCGAAAAAACTTCACAGACAGCTAGCCAGCTCAGCTAGCTCAGCGCGCATGCAACAGTGACACTTCAAGCCATGAATGCCGCTCCGCCTCCACGCACGGCCGGCCGTGAGCTAGCTAGAGACAGCTAGCGCGATCGTACCAGCTGCGAGCTTATTCGCGCTCTCTCTCTCTAGCTCTGCAGGCCGCACCGACAGGCCTTTGCTATTCTCTGATTGCCGATTGGTTGAATCACGCCAAATATGACGTCATTATTCTAGGGAAATGAACACGTGCGAATCGGAATGGAATAAACAACAGGGATTTTCTAGTAAGTACAAAAAGTCAAATGTTTGATATTTATTCATAATGACTGTTAATGATTGTGAACATATTATTTAAAACTCGCTGCTCATATAAATCAGATGAATGTTTTTGTCTCGTTTTCAATTTATTACTGCGGTCTCAAGATCCGACCGAGCGAGTCATTTTGATAATAGTATCGAGACCCCCAGAATATAAGCCGTTGTTGTTTTGTTTTCATGGTTTTAGCGACGTTGTTTAGTCTAGTTTTCGCATACTTATCCGAGATTTATCGTAAAATATCTTCAATATTATTATTTAGTAAGAATTTACAAATTTTGGCATGATATTTATAGCAGTGAATGATGAAATAAAAATGTCCGTACTTTATTTAAAATAGTTGATTACCCATTATTTACATGACGTTTCTTGATGGAAGAGTTGACCCAAATTACACTGTACATGTATGTGCATTAATTTGCTATCTAAAACACTAACTTATCATTACGAGATAATAAATGCTTTAACCTCGAGTCCTTTTTCGCTTTAAAGTTTTGGGCAAGTGGAAATATTGTTTGGGCAAGTAAATTGAAAACCCACTTGCCCGACAGGGCAAGTGGTGAAAAAAATTCTTGTAGCACCCTGTATGCGGAGTCGTTTATCAACTAAATTTATTCAAATGTATGGATGCTTCCTTCCTTCCCAGGTGTTTGTGGTGTTGAAGTATTTCATTCACCTGCTATTATCCTTTGTACTCCAATTGCCAGAATGCAAATTGCATAAATATGTTGGTGCTGTTCTGGGGAGAAAGTTTTGTATAAATGAAAGAGATTTTTCAACCGCTATATTTTAGTATTTTTAAATAAATGAGTTACGATTGTTACCCTATTATATATTTTTCACCTTCTATGATTTTGCCTCATTGAAAGTAAAGGCTTTGTTATTGAATTAAAAAGTCTTTCCAATTAAAGCTCGGGGCATGATATATGTACAACTCCGCCTGGTATGTCACATTTTCAAGAAAATGGCTGCACCCATGCCAAGAAATCTTCATTTATATAGCTCTTGTACACGTTTGTAAGATTTATTGTACATCAAAATGCAGGAATTCATCTCATTTTACAGAATACCTTCAATTATTCTTTGGGGTTAGTTCTCCTTTAAAGAGAAGATCGAGTTCTGGCGAGAGGTGAAAAATAATTTGTGAGCGTTTACATTGTAATATTATGCAAGTGTGGAAGAACATCAAAGGAAAACACAATTCAAACACATGACCCTATTCAACTTTATCTTTAAGTGCTATCAAAATCCAGATGTATTATATGTGTGAAAAAAAGAAGTTTACTTTTTTGTGTACCGTAAACAGTTTTTTGAAGTCGAATATTGATGAAAGAATAAACAAATTAGGTTTTCTGCATACCATGGAAAACCCAAATTATGTATTCTTTTATCAATTTTTGTCTTCAAACACATATTTTTTTTTTTTTTTTTGGGGGGGGGGGGGTGGGGGGATCTTTGCAGAAGTGTGTCTTAAATGACATCCTCTTTCACATTATGATACAATTTAAGTGAAATTTTGCAATCAAATATTTGCGCCAATTTGGGGCTTCAAACACTTTAGAGGGGCTTAACCCTTTTGCTGCTAAATTCTTTCATTCCTGTAAGCTTCGATACAGGGACATCCCAGTAGTTCCTAATACGCAATGAGTTAGTAATCTCCTTCATCGCACCATCTTCTTTTTTACAGAATATCTACCATCCCGTTTCCGGGCAGTGCCTGAGCATAAAGCAGTTTGGCAGTATACAGATGGCACAATTGGATATCTGCAGTAGCGACCCTATGCAAGAATGGGAATACTTGATACACAGGTGACAAAGGGAAATATTGGAAGAAGGTCGCATGTCACAAATTCCCATATTTGAGCCAGGGTAGAATATGAAGTAATACAGAAATGATGATAGTAATTCTTGCTTATGATAAAATAGCCTTGACATCTGTCAGAAGAAGGTGATAATGAAATGAAAAGGAACTAAATGATCAAAATGATCAAGCAAGCAAAGAGCTTGTGATCAAGTCATCTGCATTTTTCCCCATATGACAATTGTTTTTGTTAATACAGTTGTATGTACCTGATTGTATTAGCTGATAGCCCTATGGTAGGTTGAACTAGACAAATACAGAAGAAAATAATTCTTCAGATATGAATTATGTTCCTTATTCTACGCTATGTAATAAGGCATGAACACAAAATGACAAAATGCCTTGGACTTGCTTCTATACTTTTATATGGGCAAGTTCAAGGCATTGTCCCACACATACCAAGTAATATTTAATTTTATTATAGATTTGTGATCATTGGCATTAATATATTATTCATGATTCTTGGTAATGTATTTGACACAAAATCAAATGCCTTGGACCTGCTTCTATATTATATATATATATATACAGGCAAGTCCAATGGTATGTCCCTTACATTACCAAATGTTATAGAATTGTATTATGGAATTGTGATGATAAATTGACATCAAAATATAATTTTAATTTACCTTTTTTCTGATTCAATCTCTAGTATGGCTATCAGGGCCCTGTAACAGAAAGCTTAGCAATGGGTTGTATGATTGATTGATCTGTCATACAATCAAATGATTGTTCATCATGGATTAATGGTCAATTGCAAAATAGCAACCAGTTGCTTAATTATCTTTGTGTTACAGGGCTTAGGTTTCAGAGCCCCTCTTAAAGTGTTGGGAGCCCCAAATTCGCCAAAAATTTGATGGCAACATTTCACTTCAATTGTATCATAATGTGAAAGAGGATGTCATTTAAGACAAACTTCTGCAAAGATTTTCCCGAAAAATGTGTTTGAAGACAAATATGGATTAAAAAGAGAGTACATAATTTGTGTTTTCTGTTTTTTTCATCAATATTCAACCTCAAACACATTTGTTTTGAAAATTCTTGTAGAAATGTGACGAATGTGACAAATTAGCTTTGTACTTGCCCATACCCAATATTCCTGTGATGCATATTTTCTGTGGATCATGTTCTCTTTACTTCAGATCCTGATTCCTGTTAGCAATTGGTCCATCCATGACATTTAACATTTAGTAGATTTAGTAGATAACCAAGCTAACATGATTTTATTAACTCCTTTTGCAATACCCTTCACAGTGTAACATAAAGCAGCTTGTGACGGTCCATTGTCTTCTTTTCATAGGAATTTGTTTTTTTGCAAATTCTGAAAAATGTCAGTCTCTGACTGACCCCCAAGGCTTATTAATATTTCTATTATTATACTGCCATTTTGCTTTAGATTTTTCTCGTAAACCTAGCTTGTACTGGCAAGTTATTTCTTACATGAACTGGCCTGAAATCAGTTTGACGATACATGTACCACCTTTTAGTTTGGGTTTGTTTGTTTTATTGCTATAATGTTGATATGTTTTTTTGAAAGAGTTTTCCCATTTCTCCTTCTCATATGAAAATGAGAAGTAAACAGTACTAGACTAGTAGTGTGTGCATTGTAGAAATTATGATTTGAATTTTATTTGTGTTTACTTAAACGAACTACAAACGAAAACGCTGCTTAAATTGCATTGAATGTTGGTAAGTAGTGTATTGAAAATGACATCTTGTAGGCCACGTTACTTCATATAGCATCATGTGCTGTGATTATTAAAAGCAATGTGACTGTTTTTTGTTCATTTTTACTCAAATGAATGCAAGAAAAGAAACTAAATCCATGCAAGTAGACAGGTTGGCATGCATGTTGTTTTTTGTAGGTGTAGTTTTGTATAGAGGTATGTGGTATATATGTATGTGTAGTTAAGTATGAGATTATATATTTTTCTATTTTGAGTTTTATTTTTATAGTATGAATTAGAAAGCGGACTTTGAGGCATGCTAAGTAATCCTACATGTGTAATGTTTTTTTGTTATTGACCTATGAGACTGAGTACGAGTGTTTTATGTCAAATGACACTATGCTAAGTACATATGATGATATACATGTACCGGTATATGATATTTGGGGACTTTTTATTTACAGTTGCTTATACCCTTTTCTATAATTATGTAGTAACTTTATAACAAATTGAAGAGTAATTCCTCTGTTTAGACCTGGAAAAAAGAATATGCATATACATGTATGACTTTTGTACGACACACTTTTAGACATATATGATGTCATTAAATGTGGCCGTCATGAATGTTCTACATGTAAAGCAATTGATGATCATGAGATGACTGGCTTTTTTTATCTTTGATCAAGTATTGTTATCAGTGTACTTCACATATATTTGATGAGTAATTGCATTCCAATATTTCCAGAATCATGAATTGAAATCTATATCAAAGAGGCTTTTCTGTAAGGTATTGTTGCATAGGGGTTGCTAAAGGGATACACTACTTTTAGAGATTGTAAAATCTAGAGGATTATGGATTTTCTACATGTAGTTCAATATTTAGAGGCAAAGAAAAAAAAGGAAAGGAGAAAAAAGAACCAGTATAATAATGACCAATACAAGGGCTAGGCTTCTTGTACTAAGGGCTCCACTTTAACACTTTCTATTGTCTTCCAAATTATGCATCTCATTTATACTTCATGGGTATGGTTCTTGGCTGCTATTTAAATGATGTGGGAAAGTCCATTATGCTTTATATATTCCCCTGTAGTGTGTTGAATTTAAACATGTTTTTCATGCATATTTTAATGTTACCCTTTCATTGAATGGAAAATCCCACCAAGATTTGAATGTTGTACAATTATTTGCACTAAAGGCTTGTTCACATCTGTTTGCATTTACGGTGGGGGGGGGGGGGGGTTACTAAGCAAAGTTTTAGGGCTAGGCTACAAAGGGCTGTACTAAAACTATTTATATCGTCTTCTAAATTATACATCTCATTTATACTTTATGGGTATATATAACAGCATTTAAGCATGCTGCACTTCATATTTGTGTACCGTATCTTATAAACACAGATCAGCGTGTACATATAAGTGTAGGACCATTTATTGCGCAGTTACTTTTTGAAATATCTCCACGGCTACTTGTGATTCATTTATTACACAAACAAACTGCAACATATGTGTACAAGCCTTGGTCTGGATTTAATCTTCTTCTTCTTTTTTCTTCCTTCCTTTTTCTTCTTTCCTTTTTCTTCTTCTTTCCTTCCTGCCTTCCTTCTTTTTTCGTCTTCTATCTTTCTTTCTCTTTTTTCCTTAATTTCTTCTCTTTTTTTTCCTTCTTGATAGAGAAAGGTAAATCATTTTGAAATGTATTCCAATGAAAGATATGCCATGCACAATCTTACAATTGGAAATAGGTTCACATTTCAAAATTTGGCAGTCAGAATTTCATGACAAAAATGTTTATAGGCTATTAGCTCAGATGAAAATTCATATTTCAGCCAGTGTTAAATGTATCAAGTCTAATTCTTAAACTGAAATATCATGAAAACTACTGTATGTGTATTATAAGAGGTGTCTCAATCTACAGACAAGATTTTGATTGGCAATCTTAGAAAGTACTCATCCATCCTTAATGAAATTTCATGGGTAATGCTGTCCTATTGTCTCCTCTACCTAGTGTGAATGAATTTCACAAGGATTTATGCTACAACTGCAAAGTTATGACTGTTTTTGAAAGACGAACCATTTTCCAAATGTTATTAGGAAAGCAGGTTGCATAGCACCAATGCAAAATACGCCATATACCTGTCGCTTCTGCATTTCATGGAAAACCTTGCCATTGAAGCCGTTGAAGTCATTCTAATGAAAATTGCCGTTTAAATATTTTTTATTGAATTTCATTTGTAAAATGTAATGAATATGTATTTAGAATATATTCAAGTACAAGAAACAACATAATATATTCCAAGAATTTTGTTATGCTTACTATTTCGATCATTATGACATGATAAATGTACTGTAGGAAACAAGTAAGTATTTTTGTAAAAGATAATACCAACTGTATTTTTTATTCAGCTATTCAAATGTCTATTTCAAGTTGAGCAACTACCACCAAAAATTGGTTTTAGGATATGCATACCCAGGATGTCTATTAATATTTTTTAATATGTCCTTAAAGTGTCTTCAGATATTTCATTTTATTAGATAAGGCCACTATGTACTATAATGATACTAAAGACATTATAGTCCATGTGTAACACTCATTTTGTAACAAGAATTTAAGTTGATTTGAGGGCTTACCTGGAAATGTCCTGCATCAGGTATAATTCTACACTGGTGCTATTCAACGCTATATCCTATAACTATTAAAAGTCATAAGTTTACAAATATAATCATGATTTCGTTATATCCTTGTGTAATTTACACACATATTAGGGGATAACCCTGCACTACCTTCAAAGTAACATTTAGAGTGGACGAGTTCTTTTTTAAAGATACACATATTTCCAATCAAAATTTTGTAACATGTTTTATGTTTTTTAGACACCCTGTATTGTGTCATATGTATTCATTCTGAATGTATTATTCTTGGCTCTTTTAAAGACTGCCAATTCTTTTGTATAGAGGAAAAAATTGTTCTGATATTTTTGTTTCTTTATGATATATATAAATATACAGTAGGCTTGCGAGTGCACCGGAGGATTGAGGAGTCCTGAAAAGGACTTTTGGTAATCTTTCTTGAGGGTGTGTAGTCCTGTGTGTATAAAGGTATATATAAAGGTATTCGGGTTTAGTATGTAATGCATCCTTGAAACATTTTTTTAAAATTATTTTGACCTGCTCTTCAAATGTACATTTCAGTAATGAAGCAATTCACCAGGTACAACCTGTAACAAAATTGATGATTTAGAAAAATTTCTATAGTTGGCATCATGGTGCTTCAACATTTCTAGTGACAATTGTTCATGGCTTTATTTTGTCGAAGATCCAGGACAAGGGTTGTCATTGGGTTTCAAGTCAAGTTTTGGTTTTTGAAATCTAGGATTGATGTCTGGAACACACATGCATGGGTATCTTGTGGACCGCAGAGCCTTTGTTAGCAGGAACTTGTGTCATACAACCGACACTAAACCTTTCAAAAAAGTCTCAATGCACTTTTGACGACACATAGGCAGTAACAAATATATTGTCAGCCTCAGGTCAAAGTAGCATAAACTTTACGCAAAGAGATATAATTGCCCTTCTGGCCCCAAGCACAAAACATATATTTTGTACAACTGAAAAGAGTAATGTCTTGCTGGAAGTGTGTAAATGTATGGTTTAATACAGTGATGAGTGTCCTTAGGCCAAGTATGAAGTTTTATATGTATTTGGCCTCAGGAATAGAATGTCTGCACAATTGTGAAATAGCAATTGAATTCCAATTTTGGATCAACTCAATTTCATTTGTATCTTTCTTCTTTTCTTGCATCTACTATTCCGAGCTCAAAACACGCACAAAGTGTGACCATATTTGTGACTTTACTTATTATTTTGTACTTAAATCTGTGAAAACTTAGGTGAGTTTGTATATTTGTGCATGTTCTAGCTGGAAGCTGTAGATTTTATTTATCTTGTAATACAGTAATAAATTTACTCTATTCTTAAATATTAAAAGGATGAAAAATGAAATCCAACCTAGGCTGTAGTTCTCAACGTCATTATTTTGTTTGGTGCCAGTGCTCAACACTAAGACTCATGCTCTACATCTTCCACTCATTAGAGTAATTGCAAGAATGAACAGAAACAATCCGAGATCACACAATATAAACAGAGAGCTAAAGGAACAATGTGCAGAAATTTCATACTTTTTTTTCCTTTGTTCTTTAGCTTCAATTTATATTGTCTGATTTCAGTTTTCTGTTCATTTGATTTTGTGGTACTAACACCTGTCTTCTCTATTCTTATCTTTGATTGTATTTAATGTATTCTAAAGATCGTTTTTTAAATATTTTGTCATTGAGAGGGGTATGTTAATTTTCTTCACCAATCAAAATTCCATGGAATATGAACTACATTTGTGAGATGCATGGAATAGATTATCCAATTATCATTGGTGCTTGTGCAGATCCCTTAAACTATAGTTAAATAGTTAGTAATGCACAGAAATTAACCAATGACTTGTCCCACATTAGTTTTATGACAATCAACATACCTCTCAATATAATACATGTAGCATAAAAGATACAGGTATATTTTGTTTCTCAGAATACCACTTCTTGATTCCATTTTCCCTACATACAATTACGAATGCTTTATATTTTGTTTTGTTTGGAGAACATTGTTTATTGCTACATCAAGTTTACTGGCCTGTAACCACACTATACATTTAAAAAGGAGAGAAAAAATGTGCACACATGAATAAAATAAACACACAATAGCAACTACCGGTATGTAAAATATTTCAAGGTTTCAGAATACCATTCCTACATTTCTTTTCTTCCCCTTTCCGACAGTTATGAATGCTATAAAAATGTTATTATTGTTTGGAGAACATACTGTTTGGATGGCAGTAACTATAAAACTTATCTTGCACAGAAATAATTCATATTTAGTGAATGAAGCGACTAAAAACATAAGAATATTCTATGAAAACAGGAGAACATGCTTGGAGGGTTCATTATTTATATCCATGTAAAACTTTATCCAGGAAAAAAAGGTTAATGTCCGTTATCTCCAGTTTCTGTAATGATTAAGAATTGTACACTGGAAAATTGTGAATAATATTTCAATTGATTATTATAAATTTATTATGTACATTGAAATGAAAGGATGATCATAAATAACCTTTAATACATAAATAACTAAATTTACTGAGTGTTTTAATATTAGATCTAGTCATCTTTGTGGTAGTTTCCTGTTGTTTTCTCCTTTAAGTAAGCAATGAGGTCGGCTCGTTCCTTGGTCTTCTTGAGGCCAGCAAAAACCATCTTGGTGCCAGGGATGTACTTCTTTGGATTCTCCAGGTAGACCCATAATGTGTCCATACTCCATGTGATACCTACATGTGAAATAAGAAGAGAGAATGCAAAGAAATGTATCCCATGCAGCAGCTGTTCTGGAAGTATTTTTTTGGGGGGAGGGGGGGGGGGGTCTCCTCTGCCCCAAACAAACAAAATAGCGAGGTATATGTAGAAAATGAACATAAGAACCCCAATACCCCTTAAAAAAAGATATTTATATATATATATATATATATATATATATATATATATACGGTATATTCTAAAATTGTGTACAATTACATTTTCATTTTATCATTACTAATGTATGGACTACACGACTTACTACTGCCTAGTAGTTTAGAAAAATATTCTGAGTAATGAAACTAAATAAACCATATAGATCTATGTCATACATCGACATCCCTAAATCTAGGCCTACAAATACAATGCAAATAATGCCATCCATATTTTCCTTTTCAAGGTAAAGTAATATGAAAACCCCCTCAAAAAATTCTTGGCAAATTATCTATCATCCTGTAGATTTTGAGGTCAACAGGAGAGAGGGCGCTTCACTGATGTCCTAGGTTAATTCATCAGTGTTCTACAATTAGGATTAGGGTTTGCATTAAAAATACATTCTTTTCAATTTAATTCTCGGTCTTCAGAATCTAAAGCCAGTAGTCTATGACCCAATTTTAAATTCATGATTTTGTGTAGATAAACTCTACCCAACCCTCCCTTCTCAATGTTTTGTCTGGTTACTTTTCAAAAACCTGTTCATTCTTACAAAAATGTTTTTCTATTTTAATTGTATGCCAGCTTAGTTTTGTGCCCCGTCCACTTTCACTCACCTTTGTTTACATTTGCATCAGTGTACTTGAAGCCTGCACCCTGCCCAGTTTTCCTGCCCCACAATCCCATCAGGTTGGGTCCTTGTTTGTGCTTGCCACTGTTGTCAATCACATGGCACTGAAGGCATTTGGTCTTGAAGATTTTAGCCCCCTTATCAGGGTCTCCCATAGTTGGGCTATCCTTTCCCATCTGTTGCAATCACAATGAGAGAAAAAAAAGGATTAGGTCTAAGTTATACTGCGACTTTGAAATTATTTATTATTGAAACAAACATCTAGATTATTTTTAGGTTTTAAACTTTTTTTACTAAATTATGCCGCTAAAATTAAAAATTAAAAGAATATTCTTAGATTTAACTAGCTGATCTTCGATCTACGACTACGGAGGAGTCCACTCACTAACAGTTAGCCTCTAATTCCTAAATAGATTGTTTACTGTAGTGTTAGTTAGTAACTAGACCAGTATTAGATGACATAAAGCCTTGGCCCCTCCCCCATGCCCTAGGTCTAGGCCTAGTATTTATAGTAATCTAACTTTGATCTCGATCTAGGCCCTACCAAAATCGTTTGAGCATTCATACCACGGATCAAACTTAATGTTGCCTGTGAATTGTGATTGTAAGTGTGAATGCCATTATAAGCTAAATTACATCTAGTTCATGACAAAATTGTGCAACTAACTGCACGAACTAGATTCTCACAATTAGTGACTTCCAAGTTCAAAGCCAATCGAATTTGTCGGGCTCACACCCAGTGACCATGCATGATGTACCAGTCAATGTCATAATCATATCACCATTCACACTCACGCAGCGTTCTAAATTTAATTTAGTTTCGAAACTTTGTTCCTAAAATTCTCAAGAATAAACTTAAAATGTTGACGGAAAGTTAAATAAATAGATTGGTGGTATGGGCCCGCTTACCGTGAACTAGTAGTATAGACTAGTAGAAAGCTGACAATCCACAGCAAACTTGTTCTTGAAAATCGGTTATTTTCACAAAAAGTCACGTCATCCACACGAAATTACTTTTGCGCGTAATATGCAAAATGCAATGTCATGTTAATTACGTGTGCTGCGCGTAAATGCGCAACAGATTTGAGTCGGCGTTGCCCCCCCCCCCCCCCCCCCCCCCCCATTATTTTTGTAATCTTGGATCTTGGATTCTTTTCCTCCTAAATACTCCGAAGAAGAGTTTTGACAAGAGGTGGTGGAGGGTGGACGATTACATTTTGGAAAAAAGTTCTTTAGTTTAGTAACTGCATTTTTAAATGAGAGCGGGGAGGTTTGGTCGATGGTTGCTTGTTGTAGGTTGTTCCATGTCTTTACAGTCCTTGGGAAATATGAGTTGGCATAGACGTCCGAGTTGGTGTGGCAAATTTCAAATGCATCTCCCCTTCCCCTTTCTTGGTTCTTGCTTGGTTGGTCCTCCAAAATACTCGTCTAAGTTTTAACTGTAGATGGGGGGGGGGGGGGGACGTCAGGGCAATTTTTAATTTGACAGGGTCAGTGTGGGCGATAGTCTCCTTTCATTTTTTGTTTTTTAATTGAGTCGAATTGTTTATGTTTGTCAGTTGTTTTTTTTTCTCTCTGGTGATATCAAGAGCAAAACTAGTTTTGTACATACGTTCATTTGGTAGGCCCCATTATCTTTATTATTACTAGTATAACCCCCCCCCCCATCCCTCGATCCCCCGATTATGATGGATCAACTTGAATAAGGGCGATTCAAAGTTGAAAGTAAAGGAGGAGAAACGAAGAAAAAAAAGTGAAAAGATATGAAATAAAGAAAAGAAGGGAAGGAAAGTATAGGAAAGAGATAAAGTAAGCAAAGGATATCAAATAAAAGGAGAAGAAAAAGAAAAAGAAAGGGAAAGTGTGTGTGTGTGTGTGTGTGTGCGTGTGTGTGTGTGTGTGTGTGTGCGTGTGTGTGTGAGAGAGAGAGAGAGAGAGAGAGCGCGCGCGAGGGGGGAGGGGGAGTCCAGTATATCTCTCTCTCTCTTTCTCAATTTGCATTCCTCTCACTCTCATATCCGATCTTGCCCATCCAGTCTCTCCCTCTTTCTTCTGCACATCTTTTTCCCTTTCTTCGTCTTCCCCCTTTTTTTTTACCATCTACCCCCCCCCCCCTTCTCTCGCTCACCCTCTCTAAAAAGAAAATGAGAGCACCTCATGTTAAGTCGCCTTTATTATGCCCCAGTTCCGATATTAGATCTACAATTAAACCAAACAAGAACATTTCCCTTTTCCTCCTCATTTGTTTTCCCACCCACCCCGTCCCTCTCTCTCTCTCCTTCTCTCATACATTTTCACTCTCATTTCCTTTCTATTAAAGTAACATCTCCTCTCTCTTACAAATGGCAGTCGCTACATAACATTGTGTCATTCAAATACCGCAGTAACACCAAGACAAACACCAGAGTGACCAGACAAACAGAAATAGAAAACAAATACCGACTGGCCAATAAGTTGTCTCATTGGGGTTGGTTTGATCATGGTTTGATGGCTTGGCTGAGGTAGTAGGAGAGGAGAAGGGAAAGTTACTCTACAATAATTGTAACACACGCACATTCATTGACATAGAAATAACAAATCAGAAGCAACTCTATTTTTAAGGATTCAACACCATTTTCTTTTTCTTTTTTAATCTCTCCTCCAATTACAGGAACATGATAAAAATGAAGCAATAAAACTGTTTTGTCTATACATGTACACCTTCAAAACCCACAAAACAACACATTGGTATACAATATGAAGAACAAAGAAAAAAAAATACCTGTAATAATAAGCACATCAGAACCTTAAGGGGAAAAATATCTTACACTTGTATCCCAACTAGTATGAATACTGTATTTTAGTAAAATACTTTCCCATGTTGGTAGGTTAATTTTGCTAACTTCATGATTATGTCATTCTTATATAATTTGGTGGTCACACATTTCATGAACCTCAAAAAGCACTTCATGTATTCCATTTTGGAATCCAATCTCCAAAATAGTATATTCACTCCAAGTTTTGTTGACCTGTACAACATGCAGCATATAACACAAACACAAAGCCTATCTCCTATAATAATGATAATCATAACAAAACGGGGGAGAATACACATAAGGTATACTCTTGAAATTTCAAAGGCTTTGGTTCAATATGCACATCTTTTTCACTATCCTACACATCTGCTTTATCGCAAGATGACTTCTTCAACATAGTAACATATCTGATTTGTTGGGGCTAATAATCACTGGACTTTTATCCCAATAAATATGATGCCAGTTTCAACAATTTTCTCCACAAGCATCAATTAGGGGTAACTTTTTAACTCTTTATCACTGAAGCAAATCGAGCAATTCATCACAGAGAAGTTAAAATTCAGCGATTCAGTGAAAATGAAACCAACCATTTCCTTCGTTTCAATTGGTTATTGCTTATCTACACTTTTATAATCACAAAATTATTAATGAGGGACTATTTTTTCTGAAACAAAATTCACACACAAAGCACAATTATGTATAACCTACAATTCAAAATACACACAACTTTTGTGCACATGAATATAAAAACCCAGTGAATATATTAGTGCTCTTTATCAAATGGCAAAGTGAGGTATCAATATACAATGGGAGAGAATAGTTATGAAGAAAACCAGCCACACGTCCGAATACAGACTTTCCCATCTCATTAAAATTCAATTATTCATGATTAATTCGTCATGAGCAATGACCAATTACTTCCACATCCATAAGCATCATCGAGGAACAATTGCTTCACTTTCTCTGCCAATACTGTGAAAGAATCTAATGACTCAATCACTCTTTACAAATGTAAGTAGCTATTCTGTCGACCTGTAATATTGAGAAAATGGAAAGCTGTTTCTATGAGGAATATGTTGTTTCCAATGGAAGATAATGGGGGTTCTTAAGTTACGTCAAGTTATACATAGTCAATAAAAAGTAGTGTTGACCATTTTTTTTGTAGTTTTTTTTTTCTTTATAATTTTTTTTTGTTTGGTTTTAGTATTATATATTATCATTATGAAATGCTGTAGGTCCCGTTGCACCTAGCTAATGTGTCGTTAATCATCTTTGGTGTAGTTTCCCGTTGTTTTCTCCTTTAAGTAAGCGATGAGGTCAGCTCGTTCCTTGGTCTTCTTGAGGCCAGCGAAGACCATCTTGGTGCCTGGGATATATGCCTTGGGATTCTCCAGGTAGACCCATAACGTGTCCAGACCCCATGTGATACCTACACGAAAAAAGGTAAAAATTTGAAGGGTAAAAAGAAAACGATTTGAAATCACGGTCGAAAACATTAGCACACATGAACATACATGTTTGAAAGAGAAACACTCAGAGAAAATAATTATTTTAAAAGCAAAACAGAATTATTAAAAAAACAGGAATCCAACAATATTGTCTTAAAGGAATTAAAGCATGAAATTTTAACTAGTGTAAAAATTCATCTAGCAAAGTTTTGGGTGTACAAAGTCAATACAAAATCTGTACTGTTGTCTCACTATGTACCGGTAGAAATTTATCAGAGCATTGGGGCCCAAGTTTCAAATGCGTGTACAAACCTTTGTTCTTGTTGGCTTCTGTGTACTTGAATCCTTCAGCCGAGCCAGTTTTCCTGCCCCACAGTCCCATCAGGTTGGGTCCTTGCTTGTGCTTGCCACTGTTGTCGATAACGTGACATTGGGTGCATTTGACCTTGAAGATCTTGGCGCCCTTGTCGGGGTCTCCAACTGATGGAGTGGTAGCCTTCGGTTCCTTTCCCATGCTGAATTAGAATTGATTGGTACTGATACAATTTCAAATCTAAATGCAGAAAAGAAAAAAAGAGACGTAGATAAATTAACTTACAGAGAATGACAAAAAGTTCAGTTTTCGTTAAAGGTAATACAAGTTCTGGGAAATTTTGAAAATTGGGTGGGGAGTGATTCTTTACAATTTTGATATATTTGGATGCCCCTGTAGATGACACGATCACTGAATATTGTACGACCACATATGCGTCCAATATGTTCATTTCAACCAAATTTATGACCCCATACCAAAACTTTGTATTACCTTAACTTTGGTTACATTTATGATGACTAAAGTTATTGAAATGAATACATATGTACATGTACACATTGGTATAAGAAATTAACATTCACAATTTCATTTGACATGTACATTACATTCATTTCATGAAATTGCTATATTGTATTGCTCACATATGACACACATGTATCTGGATGATTGGATCCAATGTATTTTATTACCGGTAATATACAAATTACACAGAGTTTAAAGTCCTTGCTTTCATTAAAAAGAAAATCAGGGCATTATACTGTAGTAGCCTGTATACATGTACATAGGCTGATAAGACACCGATTCTGAAACTGATATGGCTATGAGCGACCTTTTGGTGACCTTTTTTTACTGATGCACTGAGTCATTAGCCAATCATACATGTACATGTATGACCCAGTAGCTTTTTCCTGCCTCTCAATATGGAAATAATAGAGTACATGTAGGTTTATGACCTCGCTGTCATGTAACAAATGCCATGAAAGTACAGGTATGACAAGTCCTCAATGTTTTTCTATTTTTTCTCTCATAATTTTTGTGTTGATTAAGGCACACAGAGGAACATCGTAAAAGAGATCCCAGTTACAACAAACTCTCATTTTCGCTGGTCCATTTTTTTCTTTTAAAGCCCTGAACAAGGTTACGATATATCAAGGCAATTCCCTGGGTTCAACAAAAGAGTTTGTTGAATATAAGATAGACTGTAGTAACACCATATGATACAACTGTGTAAACTCCACTGAATTTCATACAATAATACAGTCATCAAACAAACATAATTTTTGTCACCTTGCAAACAAATGTCACTACATGCTTGTACAACATGTACTGTACAGGTGTACAATCATTTTTATTCTAGTGAACCACTTTCTCCCATCCCTTTGTTTCAAAGAAATCAATTCTAAATGACCTACACACTGTAGCATTAAAGGGTGAAGCTCGACTCATACCACTTCTTCACTGGACAGGGGAAAGTACAATGAATTACACATAATTCAGTCAGCAAACTATCACCATCATATCTGGCACAAGGCAAGCAATTGCATTTCATACTTTTACTTTTTACAAAATGTATACTTGTGTCTCATTTACATTCTCTTGAAATTTGAGTGAACCCCCCTCCCCCTTCAAAAATATATTTGTAACTGCATAGTGTTTGATTTTTTCTCTTTAATTGATAAGGGAATTGTTAATGCGATTCAGTCATCACAATATCAAGTAAATTTTTTTCACCAAGCAAATAACTGAATTTGCTACAAGAGATTTCCCAGAAAGATATATGTAATCACACGCATTTAAGGGTGAACCAGTGAATCCCCCCTCCCCCTCCCCCTCCCTTAAAGATCATCAACTGCATAGAATTTAAGGAGAAAACTTCAAGAAGAAAATTCCCATTCAATCATCATGACCTATTTCCTTCCTATGTCCATGATCTCTCTTATGCAAAGTGGCCATTCATGGTCACATGACCTCCCATTCATAAGCTGATGCTTGTTACATCGATCAATGGGCTTCAAGGATGCACCCAATGAGCACTGACAATAGCATGGTCCCAATGAGCACTGACAATAGCATGATCCAGTTTCAATAGGACCTGGACCTTAGTTTGAATAGGACCTGGACCTTGGTTTGAATAGGACCTGGACCTTGGTTTGAATAGGACATGGACCTTACTATGAACGATTCCAGCCTTTACCAGATTACATGTAGATTTTTTTTTTCTACTTAAATTTAGTTTTTTTAAATACACTCTTAGAGTTTTTTTGTAGTATTTATGGTAGTTGCTTAGAAACTTCCAACCAAACACCAGTGGCCCATCACAAAAACTGGTCTTTATTAAATGGCAACTTCCATGGAAACCTTGATTTCATTGGCCATTGAGTGAGGTTGCTTAGTTGCCATGGTAGTTCATATTGATGGGGAAACTAACCATCAGTGCTAAGTTTTATGCAACGGGCGCAGAAAGTGAGAAAAATCGATATTTGCTTGCAGAGTAAATGCACCGTACATGTACTAGTAGCTACTGTCACAGAGCTGCCAACCTTGTGCGACCAAAAAAAGGATTCGTGATTGCAAAAAAAAGGAATTTCAAGCAAAAAAAGGAATTTCAAGCAAAAGAAAGGAATTCATAAAAACGAAACTAAGCACCACGCGCGATACACTTCCAATGCAGAAATGTTCATTCATCATGCTGTTTTTTCCATACCAGCAGAATTTTTTTTAGGTGGTTTAATATTTTGGTATTATCGGCATTTCATTCTTTTTTGAGAATATTTTTCTTTTCAAGTATGTTTTAAATTTAGTTTTCTATTGAATTTGTGATCAAATCACCATTTTAAGGCAGTTGTTTGACGTGCGGTATGTAAAAAAAAATTATAAAACAAATTATAAAAATTTAAAAAACATATTTTATGAAGAAAAAACGTAATACCGTAATTTGGAGGAAAAAACAGAGTAATTCCGGCAACAACGTCAGAGTTGTTTACTGTCAGAGTTGTTAACTTTCAGAACAAAGGTCACAAGAAATGATTTCTGTAGACTGTAGACCATTTAAGGTACAAACTCGAAAGTTGTACTGAAATGTTCGTTGATTTTTCTTTTATATATGTGTGTGCCAAGTGTGTGTCAGTTATTTGTAAAGTGCGTCACCTGTTTAAAGCATGACATGTCAGTGTGTTATGTACCTATTGTTGGCATTGGCATCGCGCTCTTTGTTAAGTGAGCCCTCTCTTACTTAAATTCAAGAGAGAGCGTAAACTAAGTGCACAGCGCTCAATGCGGAAAGTTCTACGTGCGTCACACACGATCGGACATCAAATTTTTAGATCGCGATACCTCCAAATCCTTCAACGATGAATTTTAGTAGTAGTAAAAAACTTTGCTGTCCATTTGGTAAGACTAATTGAAATAAACAAATTTGTGTAGAATATGAGAAATCATAGATCGAATATCACATTTTGTAATATGTTTCTAAATTAAAATGACTCACACACTCACAGCTCAGTACAGCCAGACAGTGCAGTGTCGGACTCGCTATTTTTTTACTCATCACACTCACACTCACAGTCACAGAGTCACACGAAAACCTGATTAAAATTTAGAGAAATTCAAACATTTAAAACGGTAAAATGTCCCTAACCATCAATCAATGACATCAGCAACATTCGTTCATTCACATGATTCAAGCCAAATCAGCAGAATAAGTTTCAACAAATCTATACTTTAAAGAGATCACTTACATAAATCCTCGGTTCGCCTCAGTTGATCGTTGATTTCAGTATGGATATTGCACGTAGCAAATACACATGTTACATGCATGCAATGCTCTTTTCGGTTGCACAAGATGGGCAGGTTGTGCGCACGCGTAATGGACTCTCATTTCGAGTTCTAGCGTCTGCACAGGCTTATTCTTTATTGGATAAAGGGTACTGGTTTTAAAATCAACTTTTTTTTCGTTTATATCATTACAATATTAAACATTATTGCAATTAAATTTCATCTTAACTAAAGAATTGATGAAAATACCGATAAAAGTATTATAAATTTAACTGATATATCATTCTTATTGATGTGAGTCTGGGGCAAAATATACAGTACTTGTTAACAGACTATCTAAAGGTTACTCACGTACATGATGCGTCATACGTCGACAACCATATTTGGAAAACACCGGTAATACGCCGTTCTGATTGGTTATTTGATGTCGAATATTCTGAAAAAAGGGACGAATGTTCTTTTCCCCGATTCCCCCAGCCTGCAGAGGTCATCAAAAGCCGTGATGTTACATAACATTCATCCGAAATAATTTAATAAGGTCCAACTCCGGAGAAGAAATGGTAAATACAAACTTTCACATTATCACCACAAAAAAAAGCAATAACAATGCATTATATAGCCACTCTAAATTCTAATAAGACATAAACATAATTGATTTTTAAATTCAGAATATTTACCTCCCTGGTCAGTGGTCAGAGTCGGTGATTAGGTGACCACTAGACAGGCATGAAGCAAAAATGATGAGCGAAAATTTTGAAGCAATGAGCCACTATATTTTCTTGGCGGGCAGAAACGTAAAACTTATGCAACTTTGGTGCAAATTAAGTTTGTAGGGAGGGGGCGCATATTCCTTATGGGCTTGATGCAGCCTACCGTTACTTCACTCCTAATAACATAACTTTACTCTTTTTATTCAAAACATCCACAAGAACAACGAAATACGAAAATATGCTGCCATCAGGACAAATTTAATTTCAAGTAAATAAAATCTGCATGAAATGTTTGTTTCATAGTCCAGGTCATTCCCTGATATAAAGATAAAAATGGAAAGAAAAAGAACTAACGATAGCACAACTGTCGCGGTAAAAAAAAATCCTCCTCGTAGTGGGTTCGTGACCCCCTTTTAGGTAGGTTTCTTTGAGAATGTGGTTTTTGTAAAAGTCCATATGCTATCACACGGTTAGGCCACAGAACTGTAAAATATTTTATTTTAGAGTTCTGTGGGTTAGGATGCTGGACTCTGACGATAGGGGGCGTTGTCAAATGAGACTAATCGGAGCTATATGGATGTTTATGATAGACTGGCAGAAAATATAAAGGCTTATTTGAAAATTGGGAAATTTCTCAGTGACAAGCAAAATAATATTCATTACATTGATACTAATTTAGGCGGGGTTCTTTTCTCCAAAATTCATTGCCAAACAATAAATGATAAATAATTATAAAGTTGAAAATATTTTACTATTTGAAAAAAAAAAATTAAGGAGTTAACTGGGAAGTCCACCCTAAATATTTAATATAAGCAGACAATTAGAGAAACTATTTGTTACAAGTTTGAGAAAAATCGGACCAAAAAAATTAATAAGAATATTTTTCAAAATCATGAAAATCATGGACTCTTTGAGACAAATTGGCAATGCGATCAGAAAGTGTGATATTATCCCTTCACAATAATTGTTAATTATTAACCACTGATCTTAATGACAGACTGATGACCCGAAATCTCCATTTCTCTTGGAATGCTGTAAGCCTATCAAGGCTATCATAATAGATGTGCATGCATGCATGCATGAAAGAACATGACTTACGGTAATCCGTGATATAATGATCGCCTATAGGCATGAAGAAAATAATCAAAATGGAGTTCAATGACATTTCTTTCATTCAACAAAAGATAAAATGTGAGGCGGTCAGAAAGATACAATGCTGCAGTATGTCCCTTTTGCAGCCAACATCAAATTCTGTAGAACTTTGCAGCAATTATGAATATGTCATGAATGTCCTATATAATTATCTGTGAAATTTAAACGTTAGCAGTGTCCCAGTAATCAAATTATGCAAGGAAACCCGTTTAATTTCTAGACTTCATAGCTGTCAGACACTAAATTAACTGACTGACTGACATCTTTTTTTTCTTTGGTATAATAACATAATAAAATGAGCTATGTCTACATCAATAACCCGCTATACTTGTAATGGCCCAAATACAGGCGCGTAGCCACGGGGGGGCACGGGGGGGCACGTGCCCCCCCTAAAATTTCCAGGATCGGTTGAAATTTTGTAGACCCCTTTTTTTGACCTCGATCGATTACATGTATGTGCCCCCCCAAACATCAAACTCTGGCTACGCGCCTGCCCAAATACAAACTGATTGAATCTTTGTGTAGCACAAACGTATGACCATTCGGTACAAGGGTCTGAAAATCAGACTATTACTTAGGTGATTGCATTCATTTATGTCGATTCGACAACAGAAATGGTCGTTATTTTCCCACAAAAAGCCATTTTCAAACTCTTTCGTTTTTGAGGGAAGTTCCGTTAGTATTATCTTTCTAATGCCGTCGGAATATAACCTTTCATTTTTTTGTATACAACAGTACCTTTAAAAGTCATAGTACCTGTAAAAGACCGTGTTGCTGATTTGACTTACATATTTGAAGTATTTCATGAAAAGTTATGGATTTTAAAAATCCATAACTTTCTTATTTTATAGTACTATGTCCGATTTTTCTCAAACCTTCACTGATCTGTTCTTCTCATTTCCTCCATGTATCAAAACAAACTTATTATCAGGGTGCAATTCCCTTGCAGGCAGTCGCATAAGTATACATTTTGAGAAAATACAAACTTTTAACACACTTTGTTTTGAGGCCAGACCTTGCAAAATTTTGAATTGAATACGCGGCGTTTCTGCATGCAGTTATAGTTTCAAATGGTTTGTTTTTATGCTGTCCCTTTATTTTTAGCCGGTTCTGAAAACAACACTGGTAATGACATTTTTTTTCTTCAATTCTTCTTAGTTTTATGTCGCCTTTTCTATACCTTGAGGCCACCATTGGAGACAATCGAGTTGCCCATGATGGCAGTCTCCTGTGTTAAAAATTCTGTTTATTAGAGAATGTTAATTTCCCATAAGTATTTTATTTATGTGTTTAAAAGCAATTTGTAAATGGCTGAATATGTGTTAAGTTTATATTTTTTCTGTAATACTGATTCTGTATTACGTTATTAAACTAAGAAATAACATTCAATTACATAAAAAAACACAGGTCGAGATCATTAAAAAATAAGTATGGACATGCAATTTTCATTTTATTGTTTGTATCCTTGTACATGAATGATTATAATCCCCTTTCTCCTTTGAGTATTCAGATTCAAATTCAGATTCAGATTCAGATTTTATTGTCCTCGTTAAAAACACAGAAATATGACCTCCATTGCATGGCTGCAGTAGATACAGGAGATAACAATGAATAACATGAGAATACATAAATGTGCACAAAACACAAACAGTGGAATACATTCTGACGAGAGTAAGAGATAGCAGATGAGAAAAGGAATGAAGGAAGCTGAGCAAGACAAGACAGGAATGTAGGTAAGGGAAAGAGAGAATAAAAACCGCTTGCATAACACGTTTAAAGTGTTTAGTAAAGCAGAAGTTTGGAGTTATAATAACTTATTATAACTCCAAACATCTACTTTACTGAAGGTAAAAGGTAAGAAGGCAGTAATACTATTCCGTACTTAGGGTCTAGGTTAAAAAAGGAAAGGATACGAAGGAAAGAAATACAAATTGGAAGAGAGAGAGATAAAGAAGAAAAAGGAGAAGAGGAAAGAAGAAAGAAGAAAAAAACAGAAGAAAGATAAAAGCTTAAACGCAATAATGTGAAATCATGAATTTCAGTTTGTTGCATCATCACGACTAAGGAAACAAAAAGATAAATTAATTATCATGTTGACATATTCACCTTCGAAGGTGAATATGTCAACATGATAATTAATTTATCTTTTTGTTTCCTTCGTCGTGATGATGCAACAAACTGAAATTCATGATTTCACATTATTGCGTTTATTGTTCATACTTATAAGGAGGGGTCAATCTTCAGGATCTCGGGTGCCGGGCACTCATCACATTAACCTGCTATTGCTACTCTCCACCCAGGTATATAAATGGGTACCCGGTAGAATGCACCGTCATTGTTAGTCAAACAGTTTTTGAATGTCAAGTAACGTCTGGCTGGAATGCTCCCCAGGGAGTGGAGATTGTGCACACAGTGTGTGCAGGCCTGAATCCAATGACCGGGGGTAATAATATATCTGTAAAAGCGCTTAAAGACATCGTAGATGTATTAAGCGTTATATAAAAGTGGAACATATCCTTTGCCTCCCCCCCCCCCCCCCCCCCCCCGGGCTCCACTTTCTGAAAAGATGCCTCTGTCCTCTCAGGTCACGTCCCTCTTCTATCTAAATAAAAATTATAGTCGTTTCAGCAAATCAATAAGATATATAAGAATTAAAAAAGATAAAAACTGTTAACATTATTTACTTTGATATTGCATCATCATACCAATTAATCTACTACTACTAAAGTAGAGGTCTACTAGGCTGATATGTATTCACACGCGATCGATCGAAAGGACATCGACAGTAGAGGCACTGTACAGGGCGAGAGAGAGCAAGTGTAAAAATGGCGGACACCGGAGAAAAACTGAGCAAAAAGTGAGTCTTTATTCCATTAAATAATTATAAATTCTGTTACTTGAAGCACCAACATTTGTATGATTGAGAGTTATATATAATGGTTTAATCTCGTTTTTTCTAACAATTTTAAAGGTATTTTTTGCTTTCTATTACCATGATTACCGTGAGTCGACAGTGCATATTGCCGAAGTGAATGTTTTCCATGGGAGACACGTGGGCTGTAGTCTACATAGAGAGTTGCCCGTGATCGCTGGCGTGGCAAGGCATAGCTAGCACCTGTAAGCTTTGCAACCGTCTGTTGGTCCATGGACCTAGATCTACTACAAAGTAGTAGTAGTAGTAAGTCCATGGTTGGTCGCATTGACAGTGCCATTGCATTGACTGGGACTGGTTGCTTTGTCAGCAGGTCAGATTTCAGGGCTGCCAACACTCCCTCATTGAGATTGAGACTCTAGCATTTCACTCAATTCCCACACACAAATCTTAAATAGACTAGGGCTAGTAGATTTAGAGTCTAATAAAAACAGATAAATTTGAATGAATTATAGACCTTTCTACGGCCAAAATCAAGAATTTAGAAAGTTTTCCTTCCTTTTATCAAGACAAAAGCCTCAATCTCACTTCTCGCACGTGTGCGTGTGTATTAAAGATCGACGCATATAAATAGCTAGCTAGCCTGATGTAGTCTAGAGTCTAAGTATCCTCCCACCGTACCCATATACAGCTAGCCAGGTCGGCCCCGCCCCGGATATGGATCAGAAGTACCATGTACAAGTAGCGAGCTCATGGTAGATCTACGTCATCAGTTGACAATTCAATTGATCTAGCATTCAACAGCAAAGATTTCACGGTTCTGTACATACTAAATAGGTCTAGGTCTACTTTGTATTTATTCTATGCTTTTTTCTTAAGAAGGCCTAATATTACGGTACATAGAATGAGAGGGATCATAACAATATAAAGTGAGTTTTGAGAGTGAAAAATGACTTGTGATTATGTAACAACATGAACGAAAAACTTGCCTTTGGCTTTGTCTCAGTGAGTGAGCGTGTGGGGCCCTCAGCACCTCGCTCTACGCCTAGCCCAGCGACCCACGTTAGGTCGGTCGGACTAACTAAGGGTATGTTTATGCTCAACTTTTTCTGGCCAGAATCAGGCATCTGTTACGCGTTTAGTTCAAAACATGGTTGCGTCCTTTCTCACTTTTGTAGAATCACCGAAAAACGGTGATCACGATCACCGATCAGAAACTCACAAAAAGGTGTGTTTACGATCAGCGATTCTGGGGAAGCATAGTGGGCCTTCGTAGCATTCGCAGTGCAGGTTTGCGAATCCAGCTGCAAGGCCACCCAGCGAGAATTGCCTGGAGGAGCCAGAGAAGTGAGCATAAAGAGTACACCGTGGAACTGCGATTACGATGAGCGTTTACGATGAGCGTTTACGATGAGCGTTTCACATCGCTCATTCTGCCTTCAAAATTGAGCTTAAACACACCCTAAGAGTAAGAGGAGAGTGTGTTGAATTGTTGTGGACAGAAATAACCATCTGGAATGGGGAATTATTTATTAAAACTGACATTGGCCAACCTTCCCCACACACAGGCAGTACCCCTTGCTGCATGCTCAAGATCAAGGTGGAGGTGAAGAGTAATGCTACGGTTACAAAGGTTCGTACGAAGGATAATTTCGTACGAATCTCCCTGTTTTTCCATTGTCTTCCCGAATTTCCATTGTCTGAAAATCGTCCGTACAGCTTTCGTAGCAGTTTTAATGGCATTTGTGACCGAGGCTTTAACTAGCAATTTTTGACGAAATGTGGGGCAAAACTTTCTCCCCGGTTTTCTTTACCGGTATGCATATCTAATGTAAATCTGACATAAAGAATGTATGTAGACCTATGTTTGTTGTTCATAAAAAAAAATATATAAGTGTAAATATAAACCTAAAATATCAACATTCAAGGGCTAACTTCACATGAATCTGCCCAATTCTGTTTTACTTTTAGAACTTGTGAGCTGTAGCATTCAATGTATTTGAACTGTGATCTATGACCCGGGCCAAAGTATTTCAGGGTCAACCTCAAAACCAAAACAATGGCCAATCAGAATTCTTTGAGATTGGGTTAATGAATATTAAAATATCAATGGGTCAGATGGGCGGGACTTGTACGTAGTATACCTAGGGATGTTCAAAAACTTTTTGATGAATATTCATGATACTCAAATCAAGATGGCTGACAACGAATCATGCTGACAAGTCTTTCATGAAATAGATATTGATTTGGGAGGAATTGTGAGTCAAAGTTTATTTTGGGGTATAATTTTCTAAGGGATAGTTATCTTGAAGACCATGAAATCATTCTTGATAAATAAATGTTGGCCCTTCCCCCTACCTGAATAAGGCAACGCTTGACACAAATATGGCTTTGGTTAGCATCCCCCCCCCCCCCCCCCCCCGTCCAATTTACATGAGCCCCTTTAAATTCATATAATTTACATAATATTTTTTTTTAATGGCCCAATTGCACCTAACTCTTGAATTTCCAATCTGGAACCTCAGACTTTATCACAGAAATGTGGACTTAATATGGAATACCGTCTACACTGTACCTGTTACCTTGGTCATTGGATTCATTCACCTCAGAAGTGTGCACCATCTCCACTCCCAGGAGAGTGTTCCTACCATATGGTCACCATCATAGCATATGCAAATCACAAAGGCTTTGTCCTTAACAGCATTGGCATCACTGTCTCCCTTTCTGTCTCTTTCTTTGCTAAATCACTCAGATCATGAGAGGGTACACAACAAGCTGATTTTGCCTTTCTTCTAGATCTCCACCAATCATTCTAAATGTTTCAGAGGGCCGTCCAAGTTGGAAGGGTGGGATGTAGGCTCTTAAGGGGACCCCACTCCACACAACTCTTTCCTAAATGTATGAATGCAAGCCTCACCAGGACAGTATCGTCTCAAACTGATAATCCGAGGTGGGTGTTTGTCTGTGGATCATCTCTTGACCTCTGTTGACCTCTGAAATATCAAGAAATTAGGGCATTCTCATCATTTTGTAAAATAAGCCACCATTCGTTCATTCAGTCCGCACACTAGCAGTTCATTATTGCATGAAATGGAACTGGGAGTTCTTTTTATGAGTTATGTCACGTTTTATCAAAATAACTGGAAAAAAGTGCCGTTTGGTCTTTATCGTTCAGGCGTTGGGACATGATGATATTTTGTGGACTTGGTAAACCCGTGCTCACAACAATAACAACAACATTAACAATTATTTAAACATATTTGTGGCTTACACCCAGTAAATAAGATTGATTGATCGATCTGTATTGAAAAACAAGTCAGAAAAAATCTTGGAACCAGCGGGACTTGAATCAATACAGATCGATCTTGATTACTGGGTGTAAGCCACAAATATGTTTAAATAATTGAAAATTCTCCCAGGAAGCATTACATTTATAAAAACATTAACAATGTTTAATAAAAAATAATGACAAAAAAAAGATCAATAAAATCAATGGTGCCTCTTTTCAAATGTTCAACACAGATATGTGCCCTGCAGATGGAATAATCTTGTCCAGGGGGAAAGAAAAATTGAGAAGCTCCTAAATTTAGATGGCTTCATTGGAAGGGCATAAAGCCTAAAGGTTCATATGAATCTAGGCTTAGATCTTTCATGCCCAAGGCTTGTAATTACCACAAATGCATGCTTGATTTTATTTCCATATCTATCCATTCTTGTATCTTTTATCAATCATCCCATCTATCCATTCTTCTATTTCTCAATCCATCTACCATTCTATCTATTCGTCCCTACATTTGTTTGTCTATCCATCTGATTTTCCATCTATCATTGTATCCATCTCTTCACCCATTCCTCTTTCATTCTATCTTTAGCGAGCTGAAGAGGAGGGAGAAAGCTGTCAAGAAGGCCAAAGAGAAGGAGGAGAAGGCGCAGGCTCTAGCTGAAAAGCAAGCTCCAGCTGGGCAGACCTCTAAGAAGAAGGCAGAAGATGAGGAAACCCTTGACCCAAGAGTGAGTTGAGTTTGTCAAATGCCAAAGTAGTACTTTATTTCAATAGTATTAAAATTGTAGCTTGTTCATGTAAATATCAATATTAAACTAATGCTTTAACAAAAATCTAAATAACAGAAAATCAAGTCCCCTTTTAAATTCAAAATTCTGTGTACCGTATTTGCCGGCGATAAGGCCGCAGCGCTGCATAGGCCGCACCCCCAAATTTGACATTTCAACAACAACAAAGGGGGAAAAAACAAATGGACAAAACAAAAAAAATCATAATTTTCTCTCAGAACACTATTTTTTTTCTTCAAACTGATACCAAATTCATCAATATTCTAATAAATTACCGGAAGTTTAGCTAAATGCATGCCTACATTATAATCCAAACTGGCGGCCTGCATGTTTTGTCTCTTCTCTTAGACCAAGATTATTAATTTCAAAGTCATGAAAAGGCACTAAATATCAACAAATGTGGTCTACAACAACTCCAATGAGATATAATCCCAGCTATGCATTTTTTTTAAAGCATTTGATAGACCAAATCCCAAAAAATTTGATCACCGGTGCGAGGGTGTCGCTCCGATCTTCCGATCCGATCAAAGCCCCAACTTACAAGCCAGGTTACTAACACACTTCTGGCTCCAAACAGATGATATGGTATGTGATAATATTTACCAATTTGTTTGTATATCCTCAGGAGTACTTCAAGATCCGTTCCCAGGCTGTGGAAGCTCTGAAGGCAGCAGGGGATCACCCGTACCCTCACAAGTACCATGTCACCATCTCCCTCACTGACTTCTTAGAGAAATATGACTACCTTAAAGCAGAGGATATTGCAGAGGAAGTTCTCTCTCTCTCGGGTTAGTGCATCCTTTCCTATTGTGGAGGAATGATTCAAACTAATGTTACGAGCTCGACATTCCTTTCCTTTGCTTGAAACTTCTGGGCAACAATATACAAAATAGACTGGACTCCTTTGAGAGATTCCTAAATTTTACTGTAAATAGGTTGGGATGTATGTATAGGGACCACTCAAGGTAGACCAAAAAAGGTCGTCACAGGCTCAAATTTTGTCAGTTGGTGTAGGTTTTTGTCCACATCTGAAAAATTTAAGTTTTGAATTTTAGTCTCTTGAAAACAATTTTTTCCTTGATTAAACATTGTATAGTCATGGATGCAACATAGATGGGAATTAAAGATTACAAAATTTCCTTAAATTTTCCTTAAAACATTAATTGAAGTAGAGAGTATATAGAGAAGAAAGTATGCATTTTACATGTTTTTCATTAGAAAAAGAATCTTTGGATTCTCAATTACATATCATGTTGGATATCACTCTGAATTCAAGCCTTGTTGTTCCATGACAATGGTAGAATCATGTATCCTAAGGTTTCAAGAACTGTGCTTCATGTTAGAGTAATAAGCTGTTGATTGGTGACCATATTTATCTGATCTCTTGATTGTTTTATAGGGCGTGTCCATGCCAAGAGGGCGTCGGGAGCCAAGCTCATCTTCTACGACCTCAGAGGGGAAGGGGTCAAACTGCAGGTCATGTCAAATGCAAGGTCAGTATCCAAACCGTAGTCATACAATCTGTCTGGAGCCAGGAGGGTGTTAAAGATAAACTTGAGTTATGGTAAAAAAAAAAGAAAATGAATTCTCACAGAATCAAACGAAACTTACACTGAATGTAGAAAATGTATACAGGCTGAGTAATGAGCATAGAAAGATAAGGAAACCAAGGTAAGTAGGCTGACACCATTTGTGTAGTCCCATATACATCTTTCTGTGTACAATACTTGTTACTTTACCAAGACTGGGCCAAATTTATTATGATTTTGAGGACTCCAAAACCTTGCAGTACATACCAATACTTATATGCTAGATGGTCAACTGATCCATTCCACACCTTTTCTTTCACAATGCGATCGCATGACCAGAACTCAACTTTATCTTTAAGTCTGTGCTAAAGTATATCAGTGGTCGTCTTGCCCAAACATAGACATCTAGAAAGCAGCACATGATGATGTTATATGGAATGGGACTCTGTCCTATTTACAACATATTTTATATTCTCATAATTATCCAGTATGACGTCATGATTTGGGGGAAGTTTCCATAACCGACTATAGTCGGTATAAAATTTTCCCCATAACGATACCGAACAAATGTCATACCAACGTAGTTTATCACTTTCACATACCTGCCAACCACCCCGATTTAGGCGGAGTTCCTCCGCGTTTTTCATACCAACTCCGAATTCCGAGTGCATGCCTCAAAACTCCGATTTTTTTAAATTTTAAAATATTTTTAAAACAAACGACTGTTGCATAAGACTAAAGCATAACACAGCACTGATAACCAGATCACGCCGACATCCGCGCTCGCGCTCATAGAAGATATTGCATAGTAACTGCATGCGTATAGCCCACGTGCATAAACACTGTATACATTGGCGTGTTTTCTTCAATGCTTGTGCGATGACTGCGATCGTGGAAGCTTGTTATTTACTGGACTTCCTCGGATTTATTTTGGATTACTACTACTATATTCTTCTTCTTCGTTGATTTCTCCATTTTTGAAGGACAAAATGGGTAAGACTCGTGCTGTTCATAATCAGAAGTATAAGAAAGAATACGGGAAACAATTTCCAGTTGCAGAATCAGCACTCGGACTTCAACACACATTTTGCATTGTGTGTTCGGCCGACTTCTGTATCAACCATGGGGGAATGAATGACATTCAGAAACACATGAACTCGAAGAAACATAAAGCTTTCAGCGAAATGAAGGACAAGGCTCGTCCAATTTCAACCTTGTACATCAGCTGGATTGGTTGGTTCCAGTAGCCAGTAATTCTGAATCTTTCTACCTTTGCAAAATAGGGCTCCTAAATGAGGTGGGTAGTGAAACATGTAGTTTTGTGAGTGTTCACATTTTGATATTTCAAAAATTGTTTATGTGTGGGGCGAAAAGGTTGAAGGAAAAGGCCCATTTGCACCATTAAAATGGAGAGAAAAAAAAATAGACCCTAAAGTCCTGTGTACCCCCCCCCCCCCCAATCTACGGGCTACTACCCCAATCCTTCGGTGGTTCGCGACCTCGTAGTCCATCCAGAAAAATTTACTCCTAATTTCTCTTGTCTCAGGTTGGCAGGCATGCTTTCATCTGACTGATAATACTAACTTAGAACTCCCCTTAAAAAAAGGGGGCTTGAAAATGTCTTTAAGTGGGAAAATAACGGCTCTTAGTTGTCAAATCGACTTAGGAGCTACAGAGCCAATAAGTAATAGTCTTGATTTTCAGACCACTGTACCGCATGGTCGTACGTTTGATGCTGCGCAAAGATTCAATTTGTTTAATTTTGGCCATTACAAGAAGTGGGTTATTGTAGTAGACAAATCCTTTACAGCTCATTTTATGTATGTTATTACCAAAGAAGAAGAAAAAGCCAGTCAGTCACTCAATACTGACAAAAGTGTCTGACAGTGAAGTCTAGCAAGTAAACAGGTTTCCTTGCATAATTTGAATATTAGGACACTGCTAATGTTTAAATTTCACAGATAGGACATATACATGGCATATTCATAATTCCTGCAAAGTTCTACAGAATTTGAGGTTGGCTGCAAAAGGGAGATAGTATCTTTAAAACACAGGGTTTGAAATAAACTATCATTAATAAACTTATACTTCCCAAAATCATTTAAACCCAGTAAATATTATTAAGAAAAGCACTAAAGCTTCAGGGGAACTGTGTCTACCTAGCCTCCCTCCCCCCTCCCCCCCCCCCCCTTAGCAATGTCTGGTTGCTTAGTATTCCGTTCAATTTCCCTGCTATTAGTTAACTTAGGAAGACCCTGAGTAGTGAGTTTGTATGTGTAGGAATATATTCCTTGAATGCTTTAGTATCACCTTAGGACAGCTGGGCTTAAAAAGCCAGGGTAATAAAACTATTTTGTACGTGCCTTGCACATGGATACGTGTGCAATCTCACTGTAGTTATTATCATTAGTATTATTTTGATTTGTCTTGTATTCCACCTGCAGGTACTTTGCCTCAGAGGACGAGTTTACCAGATTAAATGAGAAGATTAGGAGAGGTGATATCATCGGTGTGAAAGGGAGACCAGGTAAGCAATGTCATATATCTTTTTTATAGAGATCTATGCCAGTTAAATAATTATCAGGCTTAAAGGGACTTTGTAACATTGCTCAGATGAGAAACAATGGTGCTAAGGTAGTGACTTAAATGTTAGATGTGGAATTAAAGATAATTTAAAAGTTTGAGTGGAAACAGACCTTCATAATGATGAAGATTAGGAAAAAATGATCTGATTGATTCCTTAATTCTCCCAACTACATTATTACAATTGAATTACACTTACACATAGATCACAAATATATCAAGACAAGGGTTTAGGCATTAATAAGGCATTTATTACAGAAATGAGAGATGTAATGAACCCTACTAATTTTCTCCTATTGCAATTCTTTTGATAAAGTAGAACCAAGAAAGGAGAGTTGAGTATAATATATGTGGAGGTGACATGGCATAGTGGTTCATTCACTTGACTCTCAAGACAAGGGTTGAGAGCTCAAATCTCAGCCTGGCACTAACATCCTTTGGCAAGACATTAATCCACATATCCACTCTCCACCCAGATGTAAATGGGTACCTGGCAATTGCTGGGGTAATAATAATTGCAGGGCCCTCAGGGGGAACAGCAATGAAGCTGATGAGGCTACCCTGGGTAAACAAAATTGTTATAGTATACTACCATCATAGAACACTGTACGTTCACCTTGTCTTCATATGCCTCCTCATGTATGGTTACACAAATTTGAGATTAAATGATGTTTAGATGAATTAGATATTTAATGAAATCCATGATATTCTCTTTTATTTTATTAGGGAGGACAAAGAAGGGAGAGTTGAGTATACTTCCATCAGAGATCACTCTGCTCTCACCGTGCCTTCATATGCTTCCTCATTTGCATTATGGCGTCACCAACAAGGTAAGCAGAGTTCTGCAGCAGTTGTGTTGCATACTATTCATTGGGCTTTTAAAGATTTAGGGACTCAGTACGAAGAAATTCCTCAGACTCTTTAGCACTTTATCATAGTTGCTCAACTAAAGCCACGATCATACTATGACACGTTGTAAAATGCAGAAGGTTTATTTCTTTTTTGTAATCCAGATTTTTAGGATTATGTAAGTTTTCATTTTTATTTTGTGTATGATTCTTCTTGTTGTAAGCGCTTTGGGCCACTCTGGGAAAAGCGCAGTATATAAATAATAATAATAATAATAATAATAATAATAATAGGAACTGTGCTATAAAAATGGATTGACTATTGTTCTTGTTGCTGTTTTCATCATCATCAGATTATATTGGTTACCTAGTACACAAATCTTCCTTGTTCTATATCCATCGCATATAGTTGACTTGTTAAATGCAGGAGTCAGGACAAACATTTCATTGCCATTTTCTTTTTGTGTACGCAAGATCTGATTGTAATTATGTCAACACCTATATCGATTTGGGTTAGGGTTAAGAACCCCCCAAAACCAGTTTCTGTACAAAAAGTCTTTTTGAATGTATTTTGTGTGTTATGTATTATTAAGTGAAAGGTAGTCTCTTTTGTTTGATAAATTCAGCACTGGCCACCGGTCAATATTGTCTTTTTTTATTAATTTAGGAAACTCGCTTCAGACAGAGATATCTGGACCTGATCATGAATGACTATGTCAGAGACAAGTTCATAACCCGCTCAAAGATTGTTTCCTACCTCCGTCGATTCTTTGATGAACTTGGTTTCCTAGAGGTGAGTACTATCAGGATGTTTCTCTGTAAAGATGAGATGATGTCTCATAGTAGTCTTAGTCTTTCACAAATTTACGTTCCATTGGCAAAAATTAATAATAAAATGACTTTTATTTGAGGCAATTTTTTATGCATATCTTAAAGGACCACACAGGGAGGTCACTGACAGGTGGCTATCTCATTAACTCAGCTCTCAATTAACATAAGAGAAAGAGGATCATGGGGGACCAATAGGCACTGATTGGGGAAGTTTTCTATATAGAGGGAGCAAGTAGCTACAAGTAGGACAGTGTGCCTTTAAATGCTTCAGATGATATATGCAACACTTGCCCTGCAGCCATCATTTTACAAAGCTTTTATACCTAATCCAAACCTTCAGGCTACTCCGAATGTGACCTAAAATCCAGTTGTAACATATGTGAGAAGATGTCATGCATGTTTTGTGATGCTGCATAAAGAAAATTGTGGAAGGTCCCTCAAGGTACCTTTCTATTTTAGCAAATGTCTGTAATTCTTTTTACTTCTGGGTAGAAGTGTCGTAGTCAAGTGGTTTAAGCACTTGACTTGAAATTGAAAGGTCGTGGTTCGATCCCCGATACGGCACTAATGTCCTTTGGCAAGGCATTACTCTTCATTTGCCACACTCTACCCAGGTGAAGTAAATGGGTACCTGGCAGGAATTAATTCCTTGAAATGCTAGAGCGCTGTAATGGCAGCTAGGCTAAAGCCGAGGTAATAAATAGTGTGCCTCCGAATAGAATTTCTAGACAGATGGTGCTATAGAAATGCCTATAATTATTATTTGTGCTATTCCATGTGTTTGTTTTGTCTTGTAGGTGGAGACACCGATGATGAACATGATAGCTGGTGGAGCTACAGCCAAGCCCTTCATAACCCATCACAATGATCTCAACATGGATCTCTTTATGAGAGTTGCACCAGAACTATACCTCAAGGTAAAAACTAGAAGCTCTTATCAGCCAACACTCCATCCTAACTTTTTTTGTTCACACAGTGGGTCATGGTTTGAGTATTTTCTTTACATGTCTGCTTGCATGCGTGGGCCCCCTGTTCAAATTTGGTAGTCTGGAGTTGGAATTTAGAAGTTTGGGGCCCTTAGAAGTTAGGGGCCCATGGAGTCATGGGAGCATGATAGCCAAGCCTTTCATCACAATAATCTCAACATGGAGAGTAGCACCTGAAAGCTACCTCAAGGTACATACTATCCCTCTGCAGTAATATCAATACATCGTCCAGGACATTGCGCGCCAATGAACTTGCTCATTGCCCCCCAATTTCTTAAAACTTGAAGAAGATAAAAATTGGGGAGGGGAGGGTTGCATACTTAATACCTTATATATATTGAAGAACAAAACATAAAATAAATGTAGAGCCCTGCATTTCTCTGGACTCTATAAGTTTAGCCAATAAAGAAATGCATTAGCATTTCCTCAAGGTGGTGACAGAAATCTAGCTTAAGCTACTTTCATTATTGTACTTTCACAACGGTAGGGTTTGGAGAACATTCAATCACACACTTGATATTGAGATGCATTTGAATTAATAGAAGATTCAACATCAACATCTGGTCACAATGCTGGCTCCAATTTCGCAGCCTTAACCGATACAACTCCGTATCTTCTTTGGCCTTTGTACAGATGCTTGTAGTGGGTGGTCTGCAGAGAGTGTATGAGATTGGAAGGCAGTTCCGTAACGAGGGCATCGACCTTACCCATAATCCCGAGTTCACAACACTGGAGTTTTACATGGCCTATGCAGACTACAATGACCTCATGGATATTGCAGAAAGATTACTGTCAGGTATGAAGAAGAAGTAGTAGCAATAGAAGCAGTTGTTTAGATAAATGTCATGGCGCCTAAGTTAGCACTGCTATAAATTTGTGCTCTTTTCTCACAGACTGCATTGGTTTTATGGATATCAATGACCACAACTCGCTGTTAATGAGTATAAAGAAGCAATGGCAATATTTGAAATGATAGAGACAATTATCTCAGATTATTCATCACTATTATAATGGTTGACTTGGTATACTTACATTGGTTCATTGTGGAGAGGGATAGATGATTTGGTAAGGGTTCTCCTTGGCTCATAGTTTTAACATAAATATTTAAAAATGTCAATCTTATTATCAAGAATTTAAAATGATGTTGATTTCTCTGATGACACCAATGATTGTTTTGGTTAAAGTGACAATAAAATGATCCTGAAGATTGTGATTTTTAAATAGATTAGGGCCCTCTGTCACATTGCCACTCTCTCCCCTTCAAAATTACTTCATTTTCACATTAGTATTTTCTTCTTGTGCTTAATTTAGTTTTTATTTAGCTTTTCGGGTTGTCCGTCCGTACGTCCGTCCCGTTTGACCGTTATCACAATATCTCAAGAACCATTTAAGATTTAAACTTAAGACTCGGGAATAGTATTTATCACCATAGGAAGACGATCTGATTAGATTTTGGAGTACGTAGGTCAAAGGTCACAGGTCACAGAGGTCAACTTATGAAATTCCTTGTATTGAGATTGTTAGCGCGATATCTCAAGAACCATTTGAGATTTAAACTTCAAACTTAAGGATAGTATGTATTACCATAGGAAGACGATCTGATTAGATTTTGGAGCACGTATGTCAAAGGTCAAGGGTCACAGAGGTTAACTTATGAAATTCCATACATTGAGATTGTTATCATGATATCTCAAGAACCACTGGAGATTTAAACTTCAAACTTAGTGATAGTGTGTATCACTATAGGAAAACAATCTGATTACATTTTGGAGCACGTAGGTCAAAGGTCAAGGGTCATAGAGGTCAACTTATGAAATTCCATACATTGAGATTGTTATCATGATATCTTAAGAACCACTGGAGATGTAAAAACTTCAAACTTAAGGATAGTATGTATCACCATAGGAAGACGATCTGATTAGATTTTGGAGCACGTAGGTCAAAGGTCAAGGGTCACAGAGGTCAACTTATGAAATTCCATACATTGAGATTGTTATCATAATATCTCAAGAACCACTGGAGATTTAAACTTCAAACTTAATGATAGTGTGTATCACCATAGGAAGACAATCTGATTAGATTTTGGAGCACGTAGGTCAAAGGTCAAGGGTCACAGAGGTCAACTTATGAAATTCCATACATTGAGATCGTTATCGCGATATCTCAAGAACCACTGGAGAATTTTCACTTCAAACTTAATGATAGTATGTATCACCTAGTGCTGTAGTCAAACGTTTAACCGTCCGGTATCCGACCGCCCATGGCGGATTCCGTTTCCAATTGGACGGTTTCGTTTTCCCGTTTTTTTTTTTTTTTTTTTTGTTTTTTTTTTATAATTTTTTTTTTTTTATAATTTTTTTTTTTTATTATTTTTTTTTTTTTTAAGTTTCGATTTATGCCCCTCCACCTGGCACTATGCCTGGCAATGTCTCCCAGCTCAGTAATCGGTGTGATGACTTACCACTTGGAAACTAGAACAACACTCCAATTTGTCTGTCATCTTGGTTTGAAAGTAATCTTTGTAATAGATCTCAATATATATTCATCCAAGTTTAACACACGGTGTACCACAAGGTTCTATCCTAGGTCCTCTACTGTTTTTAATTTACTTTAATGATCTTACACATTATTCTAAAACGACATTGTTACTATTATTTGTGACTTGTTCACAAGCACAAATCGGCGCCTTCAGTTAAATCACCTTCCTGCTTTTTCACACGGCAAAAAAAAAAAAAAAAAAAAAAAAAAAAAAACGATTGTTTTTTTTTTTTTTTTTTTTTTTTTTTTTTTTTTTTTTTTTTTTAATAAATCGTTTAACCGAAAACCGTCCGGTTTTGTCAGGCGGTTAAACGGAATTGGAGATATCCGTGATGTTACAGCACATATCTCAAGAACCACTGGAGATTTAAACTTCAAACTTAATGATAGTGTGTATCACCATAGGAAGACAATCTGATTAGATTTTGGAGCACGTAGGTCAAAGGTCAAGGGTCACAGAGGTCAACTTATGAAATTCCATACATTGAGATTGTTATCATGATATCTCAAGAACCACTGGAGATTTAAACTCCAAACTTGTTTAAATTGCTCTATGGCGGAGGCATCATTTTCGACTGCGCGCAGTCAAAATTCCATCTAGTTTAAACAAGGATCCCACTGACCTAGTGTAAACATTACAAAAATGATTAAACAAGCTCCAGAACAGGTGTGATGGGCAGCTGCCCAAAGCCAAAGATTACCAGGGACCATCGTAGACACGATCTCTCAGGCATAACTCTGCCCCCCCCCCCTTCCCTTTCCATTTACAGCCCTTTATGATTAAACCTGGGCATCATTTTCTTTGAGATGTCCAGGTTAACAGGAAACCAGTCCCCATCCCCAATGAAATTCAGCTTATATCAACAGTAATTTTCCTTTTATTGACTTTTTAATCTTTTTTCCCTCCATGTTTTTCTCCTATTAGGTATGGTCAAGTTTGTGACTGGGTCTACCAAGGTGACCTATCACCCCGATGGCCCAGAGGGAGAACCCATGGAGATTGACTTCACCCCTCCCTTCAGAAGAATATCAATGATAAATGAGCTTCAGAAAGTACTGAAAGTGCAGTTCCCCCCTCTGGAAAACTTTGGCAGTGATGGTATGTAGACTTTCCAGGTTTTAACATGTTTAATTGCTAAGCCTAAGATAACTTAGACTCAAGTCTATGGATATTGTCTGTTTTAAAAGAATCAAATTGTGTTCTACAAGTTAGGTGATGAATTTCAATCAACTTTTATTCTTTAAGGTTTTATTTTCCAATAAGTACCCAAGTGGTCAATTAGAATTTAATGGCAGAGTCATGCATGTCCAATCCAAGTTAGATATTGATGTGTCCAACGTGTAAAACAATGAAGAAGACATATTGAAAGTAATATATTTTTGTTTAATTATAATTATAACAGCTGCTGCAGCTTCTCTTATTTTCTCTTCTCTCTTCTCTCCAGTGTAACTGGGAGTGTGTGGGGAGTTTCTACGTCATTTTTTTTGGGGGGGGGGGGGGAGGGGGGTATAAGGCTTTAATGTTTTAGTGTTAGGATTATGTTTAGGTGTAGTGTTTGGCCTATGATTGAAGTTAAGAATTTAGTCAGTGTAGAAAATAGCGCAAGAACAAAGTGTCATACAACAAGTAATGTATTAATACACCAACACCAATTTTATCCTGTATAACCATTTGATCACTGGTATTTTTTGATTGCTTGGTAGAGACCAACAAGTTCCTAGATGACCTATGTCGCAAGCATGAGGTTGAATGCACGTCTCCAAGGACTACAGCCAGGCTGCTGGATAAGGTGGGTTATTATCACAGACATTGAGTAAGAACGGTTTGAATGATGTATGGTTTGATATGAAGCAAGCATATAGAGACTGAGGCCCCTCCTTTCTTCACAATTCATTTTCATTGAAAATGACCAGCATATGCAACACTGTATTATTTTCAAGAGTTTTATAATTTTTTACAAATTTCATGAATTTTCCGAAATGTTGCAACAACACACACAAAAGTTGTATCCTTGTCTAAACCTGAATTGCTAATATGCTATGTTTTGGAATAAATTATATTAATTTATCATATGCTATCTTTTTGAATATTTTACTGACTGATAAAATTGATATTGGTCAAAAATTTGTTTTTATGTTCTGAATTCTATTGCTTCTTTTGACGAGTCAGGTCATGCACAAAGTAACTAATCTTTTGAAAACATTTTCTCTGTATGAAGTTGATGCTTTAAGAATTTCGTATACAAATTATATTTACACTTCTTTTAACTTCTACAACTCAATAAAATTAAATAAATAAACTCTCAGTACAATTCTTGAAAATATCTAGATCAAGTCTCGTTTTAAACTTTTAAATATTTACTCACATTCAATGAATAAGACTGATACAGAATCTCTAAAATTACCAATACAGTTACACTCTGAAATATTGTTAAAATTGTGCCTTAGGCCGCGGCAATTAAAATGGAGTAATTCAACACGTCCCGTGCATCATAATTTTCTGTTAACATCGATGTCAAACATACTGCATTTTCGAGCAGTTATCGGTAGCCTTCTGACTTTATATTTAGCTGCATTATAAGACAAACTTGCACTGAACAGACAAACAAGTTGCATTGAATACAAAATGAAATGTTTGAAAAATGATAAAGAAAAAGAAACGTACATTATGTCAACTTGTATTTTAGAACAAATGCAGTACACTTGAAATTGAATTGAATTGAATTGGTTTGGTTTATTGCAAAAACACTTCAAACAAGCAGCTCGCAGGCTGAAAATGTTCAATTTACAAATAAATTTAAAATGTAGAGAGATATAAACATATACAAAACTAAAATACGTATTGTAAGTCAACTTTTGCGGAAATTATTTAGCATTGGTAAGATGAAATCGAAATTGCAAAAAAAATGTTTAGTAATTTAGTATTTTCTATTGATACATAAATACAATCCTTAAAAGCAAGAACCATAAATTATTTCATCATTCTTTTAGGTAGATTTGTTTTCTGTTGTGTGGTATACAAGTAAATTCATATGTTAATTATATTTCTCAAGAGAAGTATGATATCACTTAAAACCTTGGGATGTAAATTCAAAGTCGTAAACATATCACAACATTATCATGCATACATAAGAATACTGTGTAATGTGATTCGCTAGCATAACACACTATTGTTCTATTGAAAACAAAAGATTTTAAATATGTAATCATGCCTTTCAAACAGCAAAATGTAAATATTGTACCAAAGTTATCCATGAAAATAAAGAAAGAGTCCATATGCGGTTCATTTAAGGCTATCTTGGAGACAGTTACTGATTAGATTTTGCTTCAGTCACTGATGAAATTCTCTTTCTCACAGGCTTTCAATTTGTGGCTTTTGATGGCACGATGACTTTCCCGTCAGTTGACCATGCTGCATTAACTTGTTCATTCTTTTCTACACCGTTGGCTTTGGAAAGTAAATTCCTGTTTCCTGCGGTTAGGTCTTCTTTGATCCCGATATGTGTGTCTTTCAGCAGTTTGCGTTTCAACAGAACAACTTTGTCTCGTGCGATATGAGGTGAATTTTACAATGATTGATCATGGTGAAGATGGTTTCCTAGAATCTTGTGCTAATTTCGAAACGTTGCTTTTATACTTACAACCTCATCATCATCATTTCCTGGATCAGGATCTTCATCTGGATCTTCATCTGGATCAGGATCTTCATCTGGATCTTCATCTGGATCTCGATCTTCATCTGGATCTTCATCTGGATCTTCATCTGGATCATGATCTTCATCTGGATCAGGATCTTCATCTGGACCTGGGTCTTCATCAGGATCTTGAATTGATTGTTGGTTTGGTTATTGGTTTTCAAGATGTACTTCATGTACTTGATCTTCATCCTCATCTAGATATCCATGCAGTTCTTGATTTTGAGCAGGAATCTCATGCTCTTCTGGAACTTCATCTGGAACATGGTCTTCATCAAGATAGAGGACATGTCCAGGATCAATGCGATGCAATCGATCTATTTCATCTGGTTTTATCTTGGGACTGAGCTTTTCACGTGCAAGATTGATTATCACTTGATCGGTATTTTTACTCATCTTCTAAGCGATCCTGTATAGTCGCACACAGGTTCTTTGAGAATATTGTTGTGCTGTGTTTATGTCTCGTTGCAGCATTGCTATTTCCACCAGGCTACTCCCATATGTTCCTTGCAGCGAGGCGTTTGTGTTGTCTTTGGATCGAAGTTGAGATTCTTGATATATAACTTTGCTCAAGAATTAAGATACTTTATTGTCTGATTTAAAATATACAGAAATTAGTCCTCCACTGGCGAGTGACATACATATACAAACAACATAAACAATATATACATTCGAGGATACAAAGAAAATACAATGAAAATACATCAATAATAATAACAATAATAGCAAATAACAAAACTGGCATTGAAAATTGAATCTCCACAATGCTCTCTATCTTTTCCAAACGATCACAGAGTCTCTGTATCTCCGCTTTCACAGCAACAATAAGTGCAGATTGGAAAAGCTCTTTGGATAGCAGACTATTGAAATAGTCTCTGGCTTCATCACTTACCTGTATATGTAGTCAATAGATGGAATAGATAGAAATGGTTTATTAAGAAGATCATCGCAGCCAAACGGCTAAATTGCGATCCATTTCACATAGATACAATACAATCGCAATTCAAATTCCAATAACACAAAATATGACATAAATAAAAAATCAAACATTAAAACATTTCATAAAATTCATTGATGAGATTGGACACATATAATGAGGACAATTAGTATTCAGTTTACTTTCACTTTTGGTTTCATTAATTTCTCCTCAAGAGATTAACAGATAAAAATACATATATAAACAGACAAATGTATGACAATACATAAGATGAATTATAAAAGTGAGGAGGGCAGTGGCCAAAAAGGAAACAAACCTTGTAAGAGGCCAACCCTTTAAGAAAACAAGATATGCAATATACCCGGTAGGATGCGGCCGTCATTGTTGGTCAAACGGCTTGTGAGCGTCAAGTAACGCCCGGCTGGAATGCTCCCCAGGGAGTGGAGATTGTGCACACAGTGTGTGCGAGCAAGCACTGAATCCAATGACCGGGGTAATAGTATATTTGTAAAGTGCTTAGAGACATTTGTATTAAGCGCTATATAAAAATTAAATATTATTATTATTATATTATTAATATGTAACATAAAAACACATTAAAAAAGGAACACAAAATAAGATAAGATAAGAATTTAGAAATGAAGTATTTAAACTAACCTACTAAAATACTAACAAAAGAGCCTAATACTGAACCTAGGAAGGAGGCTGATAATGGCTGGGTGCACAGTCACAATGCTCCGGAATGATATATACCTTCACTTCAACTCCAGGGAAAATGATTGGATCATTCTCCTACATGGAAAGTTGCATATGGGACCAGAGTAGACACTCATGATTCAGGTTTCATAGATGTGGGCATTGAATGACACCAGAAATCATGTTAGCTCAATGGGTTCAGGTGTACATACCAGTTTATCCCATTCTAAGAAGTCAGCAAAACATCTTCAAAGTGTTGAACTAGCATAGAAAGATACAACGTTGATACTTAGTCCAAATGAAGCAAGTTTGGTATTATAGTGAATCCAGAAAATGAGGACGCAGGCTGAAGTATATTCAGTTCAAAGTCGTTCTGCTTTATTTAGGTCAAGGCAATGAATATCAAACACATAATAGAACAGGTGGTCTAATAGACTCGTATCTATTGGCAGTCTTGCCACTCCCTGCAGATACATCTCATCTCTACAGTCCCTAGTCTATCTGCCCCCGTGCCATTACACGAGGCCCCACTTTTATCCGTTCTTGTAGCATGTTAATCCAGACATATTAGAGCATGAGTACAAAACATTTGCATCACATTATCAATAAGAGGTAAAGCTATCTACCCCCTGACTGCCTGCCCGGTTGCTATGTCAGGCATCCAGCCATGCAAGTCAACAGACATCAAACAAAAGTAACAAAGTCATGTCATTACAAATCTACCCTGCAAACTGAATCTCTCCCAGGAGATTATACTTTCTCTACCTCATAATACATTCAATATCATGGTATCAATATATTTTTGTTCAATTTCAAATTCTAACGATTGTTAGAAAACAGGCTTGCAAGTCAGGCAGACATCAAACAAAAGCTACATTGTCATTTATTTAAAGTATTGTTTTCTTCAGACCCTTACTGGCTTAACATGAATAGCTTATGCCAATCCTATCGTGATAAACAGTTACTAATAACATTGTGTTGATCTTTATTTCCAGCTGGTTGGAGAGTATATAGAAACCCAGTGCATCAGTCCAACCTTCATCATGGATCACCCTGAAATCATGAGCCCTCTATCCAAATGGTAAGACTTATCCCAAGTACAATTGACTGTGCTATCAAAAAAAAAAAAAAAAAAAAATACAGTTATCAAATCAGTCCAAACATTCCCACCCTTAGTAAATTTAATTTGTTTTTGTGTTTTTCATAACACAAGAAAGAAAGGTGGACTCGTTGAATTAGGGCCATGGCTTAACCCTTACTGTACTGGGCTATTTCGTACATAGACGACAGACTTAATGCATGGCTGATTGTCAACGAAACAGAGTTAAGTCTTTTGTCAATTCTGCTAGTTGTAAGAGCAGGCAGCCAGTGAAAACGAATTTGTTTGATAAAATTATGGAAATGCAAGCACTACTTTAAACAAACAGAACTTTGTCATTCCTTGCTCATTTTTCCTGATTGAGGTGTCATATGAAAGGGCAGAAACTCAACTTTCTAGAAATTGTGATTTTCTCTTTGAAATTCAGATACCGTCCGCCAAATGACTTTTTGGTTTTCTCTCTTCAAATTCATTTTAATCACTCATGCGTGAAATATGCATCATATAAATGGCATCAAATGAAAGAGGAGGATCTAAGCTTTCCAAACATGTGTCATTTATTAATTATAAATGTGAATAAGTTATGATAAAACATCGATAATTCTCGGTTTCGTTCTTTCTGGGACGCACTGCATTATGATGTACATGTATATTACCATTAACTATGGTATTTTTTGTGGTACCACTACATGCAACAGATGTGTAAAAGCCGTGGTTTGCTTTGTGTCCAAGATTTTGTTGCAGGGAGGAGGGGAGTGTCGAGGATTCTAGCATGTTTGCAAGCATGTGCCTGGCAGATATTTAAACTTAAATTCATCCAAAATTATGGATTGCTAAATATCTTGCATACATGTCTTTCAATACAATGAGCACAATATGAATCTATGGTGAATATGTTTTTTTAAAAATCTATTCCATAGTACTCTTCATCATCTTCACCTTTTTGTTCTCAGGCATAGATCCATCCCTGGACTCACTGAACGCTTTGAGCTATTTGTTGCCCGTAAAGAGATCTGCAACGCCTACACAGAGTTGAATGATCCCATGGTCCAGAGGGAAAGATTCGCCACCCAAGCCAAGGTATTTATAAGGACTTCAAGATAGATTGGAATACTGTTCATAAAATGGCATTGTGAAAAAGACTGTCAATAACTCTTACAAATTGGTTGATGGTGAAATAAATAAGATAGTTATCTCTCCTGAGGGTTTGGAATCATAATTAGATTATTAAAAATTGACTTAAAGCCCCACTGCACTACTTATAGCTACTTGCGCCCCCTACATAGCAAACAATGCCTAATCGGTGACCATTGGTCCCCCATGATCCTCTTTTTCTCCCATTAATTGAGAGCTTATTTGATGAGATAACCACCTGTTAGTGACCATGCAGGGAGGTCTAATCCTCCTGGGTAAACTAGTGTGGGGGGGGGGGGGGGGCTGTAAACTTGCTGTAAAGCACAAACATTGAAAACACTGGATATAGATGTAGTTACATTAGACTACAAAACATGTGGCATCAGCATCTGTTCAAAGTTTTATTGTTCAAATGACTTTGTAGTCATGTTTTGGATTATAAGGATGCAGCAAGAGCAATTCTTTTCATGGGACATAGCTACTATAACATTCTTCAGCTAGGGAATTTATAAAATATGAAAGCTAATATTATATTTTACCTTTACCAGAAAGTAAATTTACTTCAATTTAGTCGTGCTCAAATAACTATCAAACTATGTTTGGTGACCAAGTAAACCATTTTAGAAAGGTCACCTTTATAAAACTGTTTTCTTCAATAGAATATTTTTCTCTATTTACTTGGGCAATATTTCACTTTATTAATATGCCTTTGCCAGTGTGTTGTAGGTTTTTCTTTTTAGTGGTGGTGGTTGCCTGTCTGTTTGTCCCTCCAGCAGTTATCTAGCCCTCTTTTTTACCACGACTATAGAACTATAGAGGTGATTTGCTGATTTTATCCCAACCTCTCTCAAATATAGATGGTATAAAGGTGAACTTAAAAGGATTTTAGATTTAATAGTTCGAAGGTCACAGGACCCGGGTTCGAAACCAAGTCGATGCGCTAGTGCCATTCGGTAAGGCATTAATCCTCATTACCAGGTCCCTTGTAGTGGACCTAAAGCTGTCGGTCCTCTGGTTGCTTACTAACAAGCATTTATGCTTTCTTAGCAGTCGGGTAAAATAACCACCACCACCACCACTATTATTCCATAATCATTTTAACATGGGCACTGCAGAGGCATATCGGAGATGCAGTCACATGCACCTAGATCTATGAAGCAAATAGTTTTGACACTACTTGATTTCTCTGTTGCCATGTAGGACCATGCAGCAGGAGACGATGAGGCCCAGCTGATTGATGAAAACTTCTGTACAGCTCTGGAGTATGGCTTGCCTCCTACTGGTGGGTTCGGTCTAGGTATCGACCGTCTTGCCATGTTCCTTACCGACTCAAACAACATCAAGGTATGCATCTTAGTTCCTTTCCTACTTCTCTATAAACCGATTTCTTTCTTATTTTGATTTTCAACAAAAAAAAAAAAAAAAAAAAATTGAGTGGCTAAGAAACGTAGGATTCATGTCTGTACATATATTGTCAGCTCATATGTGCATGTTGTTGTCTATGAAGTATATGCAGCATTTTCCTCACAAGAATTTTGATGCTGTACAAACTTTTGGGAATTCAGAATGGCTGTTTGTTCTCCCTTCATAAAAGGTACATGCATTGTAAAGCTTTCTCATGTAGGAGATATATTGCGGAACACAGGTTTAACAAACCCCATGGAACCAAGGGAATTATGTTTTATCAGAACTTTCGTTTGAAACCTTGTTACATGTATCAGGGCTCACTTTTACAAAAAATCCTATTTCTTCTTTAATATTCTTTCAAAGCATCCTGGACTCATATTTATAAAAGTGCACTTAGCCTGATTGTCAACTAACTATGTAATATAGCCAGTGTAATTTGTTGACAACTAGCTTAACACTTTATGAAGATGGGCCCTTATTTCAAAGTTTGGTCTTGTTTTAAATCAAAATAAATGTATGCGGTATCTATAGGAGAAAGAAATAAATGATGCAACATAATCCAGAAGTTGTTTTTTATTACTGACCATTAAATTTTATGTTTCTTTCAATATTAGGAAGTTTTGTTTTTCCCTGCAATGAAGCCAGACGATGGCAGAGCTGTCGATGGGCAACCTGAAGAGGGCGCTACAGAAACTCTGATCAAGTCAAGTTAAAGACTGACAAACCCAGTCTAGACTTTATACCCTAGATTTGACTATTCCTGTTTTTCACCTAAAATGATAAAAGCTTAAATGTCTTCTGTATTTAAGATTGGTAATAGATATAATGCATTTACTTTTAGAATAGGGGTACTGTATGTCATAATAATGCTTATACTTTATTATTTGTGTAAAACCTAGTTGTAACCCAAAACTTCACAAATAAATATAAATAGTAAATGACAGCAATCATTATGCCAAGAAACTTTTGTGAATCACAAAATCACAGAAGAATGTCAGTTGCGATATGAGTTATTCTGTAGCGTGATGCTGAAGCATATTTTACCCTTTGGCAAAATTTGAGAAAACCTTTCTTCATTCCTTTCTTTACTTTGTGTGTAGGGTATGTATTTCATCACAACAAAGACTAAATGATGAAATTAATCCCCTGTTTCAAGGTAGAATGAGAGAAATATGCTGATATTCAAAATGCCAATCAAACATCAGGGCCTTCAGATTTTTATTATGGAATATGAAGATATATCACTTATGCTTTCCTTTATACAGACCTAGTACAACCGTTTGGAAGATTTTAGGAAGATGAAAACAGTTTAAGAGAGAAAAAGACGAGCTTAAAATGCAAAATACCAACATGGCATACAAAAAGGATACTGAATATCAAATTTGAATTTTCTCAATGTGTTCTGAAAAGAAACCACTTTTGTTTATATTCCATGAAATTATGTTTAAATCAAACCTTAAATTATGTTTTCATCTTCTGATAGAGTGACCGTCGGTTTATAATGAAGTACATGTAACTTGTATTCTGTAATGTTAAAAATAGAATGGTTTATTCATACATGTTGTAAAACTGAATCATTTTGCCTTTTGCTAAAATACTGGGTATTCAAGAACTTTTGTTCAATCTTGTGGTAGACATGATTAAAGATGAATAATATTGAATATCTTTTTGTCTTGAAGGCATTTTAAAAACAATCATGTGGGCTTGTAAAAATGCTTTGGATAACTTTGAGTCATTTTAATAATTATGTCAACATACTTTTTATAGCCTTGGAAAGGTATCCTCCTATATGTATAACATTCTGGTCAATGTAATTGTATCACCAGACACTATGAACATGATGGACAAAAAAGCGGACAAAGTATACAGTTCCTCATTCTACCCTCAACAATTGCTATGGTAGACAAATGAACATCCCTTCACTGTCATTACTGGTATGTAAAAATCTGTAGAACAGGTGTCACATGCATATTCACCTGTTCTACACATGTTTACATATAGCAGTGAAGGGATGTTCCTTTGTCTACCATAGCAATTGTTGAGGGTAGAATGAGGAACTGTATATTTTGTCCGTCATGTTCATAGTGAGATTCGCTCTTATTTTGATATACATGTACATGTATAATATATTTGCAAGAAAGCTACCTATTATTTCTGAATTCTTTTGTAAATTGTTATGACTAAGAAAATAAACTATTTAGTAGCTGTGAAGTTTGTCTTTAGTCTGCAGTACATATTATACAAATCAAAGGTGACACAAATCCAATTACTGGTACACAAGCTAAATTACTTCTTGTCTTCCTTCAATTTCATTCTTTGAAACTATCAACCATTTCAAGATAGATTTAAAATGAGTCATGTTTTAAAGCATGATTGTTCATTTTGACATTACTTATTAAGAAGATCTTAGACATATCGCACTATAATGTGATGGACTAAGAAATTCAATATTATTATGATAATAATCCTTATTATTACTGTACATACATGTATACTTGGGTCTTTTAGCAGTTGCTGAGAATAAGTGGTACCGGTATATAATACCTCACCCCCTAGATTTCTTTATTTGCTGTTGTCTTATTCGCTTTATTTAACGTCTATTTGGTGAAATATCAAGTGATACATGTACATACATGATCCAAACCAAGACTAAATTATTACCTTGTTGTCACAGGAAATAAACAGGTTAAAATTTGGAATAAAACTTGATGTATACTGGTAGTCTCTTTTTGTGCATATTGAATGTTTGGTTCAGCTTGATCTTGAGCTCTGGTATGGGCATTGTATGTCGAGAGAACATGGCTATAACTCATTCTGGATTGTTTATCCTGCAGTAGATTGATTGTTTGAAACAGTAAAATAAAAAAAACCTCACAAAAACTTGCTGGAAATCATCTTCAATAAAAACCACAACTCTCATTTGCACATAATGACCTGTGTTAAGCACATGGTGTCGGTCCTACTTCCCTTGATTTCCTTATATATCATAATGCTCATTACTCGGCCCCTATCTATTTTCTACCAAAATTGTTTGGCACTTGTCATTTATTTTAAATTTTGAACATTCAGTGTAATTTCTGTATTTATCACAATATTGAGATACCTGTTTGAATTTATATACACCTGCTATGGCATTGAGGTCAGCCAGTGATCCTCTCCGTTTCACATATTCAGTTACCCGCACATTAGTCGGTGATAGGACATTTACTGTATCTGCTTCAAAATGTTGGAATGATCTACCACTTAGAATCAGGCAGTCTCCATCAGCTTCAGAAAGGCCTTAAAAACACTCCTTTTTTTTTGCTGTTTGTAGTTGTAAGACTGTTTTTTTCTAATTATATGTATTTATGTAAGTTTTCATTCACTATAAGCGCTTTGGGCCTTATGGAAAAAGCGCGGTATAAGTAATAATAATAAATAAAACAAATTAAAAAATCATTATATCCTTCCCCCTTGTTGCTACGAGGGTTAGATATCCCACTCCCAAAATACAAATAACAACAAATTTCTCACGGCATTTTCATTTTTTTTTTTTTTGCACTAGACATTATCAGACCTCCTTGTCCATCACCTCCACCACCAAGTTTCAGAAAATCAAGATTGTGGATAAATAAAGTTAGGTCAATTAATATGATTACCTGTATCCTGAGGAATGATAATTCCTGAGAAAAAAACGAAAATATTGAAACTCTTCATCGGCTAAAATTGAAGAGCTTCTGGCACTGGATATTGCTAAGGCTATTAAGTTTGTAGGTCCATAGGCTATTTTCCACAAAAACATTATTGACATAAAACAATTAGGCCTACTAGTTTCTAAAATGCTTTGTCTACTTAATCTCTCATTGGCGTAGCCAGAATAAGCTCAGTCGATCGGAAGCAGGGTAGTGGGGTAAGATTTCCAACACGGGGGACAAATTACTTTTTACCTTAGGATCGGGCAAATATATCATCTTTGTTAATTATAAAGAGACATCCCCATAACCTAATGGGGATGTCTATATAATTATCAAAATAAAAAGGTAAAATATACTTTTTTAAAAGACATATAATACAGGGGACGCCATCGTTCACATAATGCCTAACGGCCCAAAAATTGTATCTTATTTGTCTTAAAATCTTGAAAATCTAACTTCCTTACTAATATGGAAAATATATCGTGAAATATAGTATATTTACGAAAAGCTTGAATATGGTTTATAACTTAAAGGTAATACAAAGTTTTGGAAAATTATGAGAATCGGGTGGATAGTGAATCTTTACAATTTTGATATATTTGGATGCCCCTGTGGATGTATTATAAGCAATAAAAAAAATTAGCCCCTAAAACACTTCAGTTTTCGAGAAAATTTGAATATAAAAACTTACCGGTGCTCCCGGTAAATTTTGATAAATTTCAAATAGCGCCTATGACCGTACAGTCGTAGCTGCGACCATGAAAATCTCAGAATATGTAGTTGGGATATATAATTTCCAAACGGGAATAGCTAATCGGTCGATTTCAGCCAAGAAATATTGTTTCATAGCTAAATTAATATCTTGACCTTAAGAGGGAGCTATACAACATAAAGAGTTTATTATTTATAATTTCATAACTTTAAACTCGATTTCAACCGCGACAACGATCAATGTATATTGTAGGGACGCATATGCTTCCAGTATGTTAATTTGAACCAAATTCATGACCCCATACTAAAACTTTGTAATACCTTTAAGTCCCTATATCGACCCCCTCCGGCTCCGTCGCTTCCTTCCTTTGCTGAGGGTTAGGGACATGATAGAACAGCTCCTTGATATGGCAACGCTGCTACACCCAGTGGCGGATCCAGGGGGGCGGCAGCCTGGCTACACCCCCTCACCCCTCCCCTCCCACGCACACAGGCTACTCCATCTATAGTCTATGAATTACTTTGACAAAATTTTCAGTAATATGTAATTGTACCATGGGAATACTGCGGGGAGGATGGGCCGAATGGCACAGCTTGGTCATGGGGGCACGCCTTTTTTTTCATTTTTTGTTCAGAAATATGTATGCTTTCAATAGAAAGTTTTCCACAAATATTCTGGGCCATGTCTCGTCCCTCCCCCCCCCCCCCTCATGGCTAGCCACCGTCCGTGGGGGTGTTCCCCGGCCACCCAATATTTTCCTGTCTTATCATTTTGTAGCGACCTTCATTCCGTGGAATGAGCGACCCGTACCCTCTTTTCGTATTATGAATAGCGCCCCTTCCTCATGTTTATGAATGGCGACCCTAATTTCCTATTATGAATAACGGTCCTTATTAGTAACGACCTTCAATTTGTATTATGAAAAGCGACCCTCGATCATCTCAAATTTTGAATAGCGCATATATGGTCCTTCATAGAGTTACCCCCCTAGCCTTCCGTTTTATGAATGGCGCGGTCCAGAGGTATTGGAAGTTCTACGTTATGAATAGCGGTCTTGTGAGAACAAATTGAAAGGTGTAAATATTCTATGAGAGAACGAAACGCCGATAATACCAAAAAACAACAACAACAACAATATCGAGGTTACCCCTCGATCCTTGTCGACCCCTTGCTTGCATGTGTACGCAAGCGGGCGCCTTGGACCACAACTAGCGCTAGCGGAAGTCATGTTGCGCGCGTAATTTAGACATAAGCCTAAGACTAAGATTGAATGGAAGTTGGCCGGATTCCAGCCGGAAAACCAATTTGAAGGATGTGAAAAGTATAAGGGTCTACGATTAAAATTGAATTAATGTAACTAAATAAATTATTTATTCACCTGAATTTTAACAAAAACGAACAAAAATAATGAATTATATTATTATTAATATTAAACTAGAAAAGTTAAGGTTAAAAAAGACAGTAATTTTCCTATTAATCTCTATGTGTAATACATATATAACAATTGGAGGGGGGGGGGGGGTAACTTTGGATCGGTCCGCTAGCGCTCAGAGAAAATACGTATTAAAGAGATTAATGGAGGTTCAAGATTAAGGTCTGATCTTTCGAAAAAATGATATTTTATCAAAAGTTAGGTGGTTCTTCGATAGTGGACTAGTCTTCTTGCAGACGGTCATTTTCCTAACTCTACGTGTACAACATAATGATGGAAAATTGGAAGGGGGAGTAACTTTAGATCGGTCCGCTAGCGCTCAGAGAAAATACGTATTAAAGAGATTAATGGAAGTTCAAGAACAAGGTCTGATCTTTCGAAAAAATGATATTTTATCAAAAGTTAGATGGTTCTTCGATAGCGGACTAGTCTTCCTGCAGACGGTCATTTTCCTAACTCTACGTGTACAACCTATGGGACAATCGGAGGGGGGGGGGGGTAACTTTGGATCGGTCCGCTAGTGCTCAGAGAAAATACCTATTTAAGAGATCAATGGAAGTTCAAGAATAAGGTCTCATCTTTCGAAAAAATGACATTTTATCAAAAGTTAGGTGGTTCTTCGATAGTGGACTAGTCTTCTTGCAGACGGTCATTTTCCTAACTCTGCGTGTACAACCTATGGAAAATTGGAGGGGGGGGGGGTAACTTTGGATCGGTCCGCTAGCGCTCAGAGAAAATACATATTAAAGAGATTAATGGAAGTTCAAGAACAAGGTCTGATCTTTCGAAAAAATGACATTTTATCAAAAGTTAGATGGTTCTTCGATAGCGGACTAGTCTTCCTGCAGACGGTCATTTTCCTAACTATACGTGTACAACATATGGACAATTGGAGGGGGGTGGGGGTAACTTTGGATCGGTCCGCTAGCGCTCAGAGAAAATACATATTAAAGAGATTAATGGAATTTCAAGAAAAAGGTCTGATCTTTCGAAAAAATGATATTTTATCAAAAG